ATATAAAAGCATGAATATTTTTTTCTAGTTATCAAGGAAATATGTTTGTACAAACTAAAAGTATATTTTTCACTGGTTCTCTGAGGGTATTTCTACCGGGTTTTCACCTCAGAAAGGCAGACAAAAATTGTGTACAAATTTATTCTAATAGAGAAAGAAAATAGAATTATTTTTATTCTGTTATCAAGAAAAAACCTTTGAACAAACTAAAAGAAAGTGGTAATATTTTTCTGAAGTTTTTAAAGCAAAACCTTTATACAAACTAAAAGTATATTTTTTCCTATTATCTTTCTTCCTTACAGTTAACTTCTAAATAATTTTTGCCGCCTTATCCGAGGTGAAAAGGCAGTAGAAAAACCACCAGAGGGACGGTGAAAATATACTTTTAGTTTGTACAAAGGTTTTGCCTTGATAACTACAGAAAAATATTTCTACTATCTATCTCGGTTAGAGTTCACTTGTACACAATTTTTGTCACTCTTTCTGTGGTGCAAAGGCAGTAGAAAAACCACCAGAGAGACGGTGAAAAATATAGTTTTATTTTATACAAATATTTTTGCTTGTTAACTACAGAAAATTATTTCTTCTTTCTTTTTCGCCTGGAATTAGGTTTTACACAATTTTTATCTCCCTTTCTGAAGTGAAAAGGCAGAATTTAGTTCAATTTCGTAGCTGTAGGTGGCGTCTTCCAAAAGGTTCCTTTTTTGGTGCACTTGATTCCGGACAATCATTTATATATAAATTCAAAAGGAAATCTCTTCATAAAGGTTTATTCTAGACAATAAACCTAAAAAACGATTTCTAAAAGGGATAGAAATATCAAATTTTAAAGGTTTATTCTCTAGTTTTTTTAAATAAGGAATCGAATGATCTTTGGTTTATTAAAATCAGTTTAGTAGATTTCGAGAAAAGCCATGCACCAGTTTGAAAAATGTGATTTCGAGAAAAACGCGTTTAAAGTTTTCATAACATAATACATTGAGCCAGGACTATCAAACAATTTTTTATTACAACTTTGTTTTTTTACATATTTTTTAAAAAAACGTTTTGGGACAGTTATTTTATGATACTGTGGAAAATTTTCAAGCAAAAAAAATCGATTTTTTTGGAATTCTAAACCAAAAAGTCCCCTTAAATAAATATTAATAAGTTTATATCAGTTATCTCAAATAAGTATTTCTTTCCGTGTGAATGATTAAATTTTTCCAAAAATATTTACTATCATAGGGTTACCTACCGTACTCATTTCCCCGGACAAGTACTCTTTTTAGGGTCTGCGGGGTTTGTTCTACCGGCTTTTTATTACTGTACGGGTTTTTGTCCGGGTTTTTAAATCTGAATAATATTATTAGTTTTTAGTCATGGATAACGATTTTTTTGACATTTTTATGAAAAATGAATTTTCAGACGTCTTAAGGTACTCACACAGCTTGATGCTAGCCAGCGCTAGTAGCAAAGACGCAACGAGAGTAAGGGAGAAAAAGCATTAATTTGAATCCTCTGACTCCCTTAAGGTACGGTCATACGACTTTTGGAAAAACCATTCTTGTCTTTCTCTCTCCTAAGACAGAGGTATAAGATTGTCTCACTCTGCATTCTCTTACATTTCCCAAAGACGGAAAATGCAGAGTGAGACAAACTTATGCGTCTGTAATAGGAGAGAGAAAGACAAGAATGGTTTTTCCAAAAGTCGTGAAGACTCTTTACTCGTTGCGTCTGCTAGCGCTGGCTAGCATTGAGCTGTGAGAGTGGCTTTATGTTTTAGTAGTTTTCAGTAACTGTAAAAAAACCAACCTGCTTTATAACTCATGCATGCATAACCTGGGATTGTACCTTTATGTATTTACGACTTTCTGCCAGGCTAACTGTCATGTCCATCCCTGACGATACTTTAGGGTTTATTTCTAAATAGAAATATCTTTCCTTTAAATGAAAACGTTCCGATATTTCTCAGTTTCTTGTGAATTGGAATTTGTGTAAATACGATATTTGAATTTGAAATTCAGACAGATTATTTTGAACAAAACATTTTAATACCGATGATTTTGGATTTGAGTTATTAGTTTTTTAGACATAAGTGCAGGTTAGTCAGTTAACCTATGATTTATAAAGTAATTTTTCTCTCGTACACTACATGTAAATTTATTTAACTTCTTTACAAAAATTATAGTCAAAAACTCTATTCATTATTTCATTACAATTTAGAGTGTTATGATATTAACAATTTGTATAAAAGCTAAATACAAATATATAATCATTCAACAAATACAAATAAAAGTGTATTGTATTGTTTAACACAGAAGAATATGGCCAGTCGTAGGAAATGTAAATTTTCCTTAGAATTACAAAAACTGTACCCTTCCTTCAAAAAAGGCAAAGATGACTATTCAGTGGTGTGTTTAGTTTGTGATTCTACACTATCTATTGCGAATAAGGGACGCCTAGATATTGAGTCATCTTGGTACAGAAAAACACAAAAAGAATATTCAAAGTAAACAATCAGTTCAGTTAGACAAGTTTATTGGGAAAGACACGAATGATTACTTGAAACAGGCTCGAGCTGCTGAAGCTACATTGTCCTATCATGTAGTTAAACACCAACAATCATACAAATCCAATGATTGCAATACAAGTCTTCAAAAAACAATATATAAAGACTCAAAAATTGCTGAATTTGTATCTTGCGCAAGAACGAAGACTGAAGCTATAGTTAACGGTGTACTAGCTCCAGAATCTGTAAAACTTGTGAAAGAGGAATTACAAGAGATTTCTTTTGTAGGCGTTCAGACTGATTCGAGTAATCATGGATCAACGAAATTATTTCCAACATGTGTGCAGTATTTTAATTATAAAAAAAAGGGAATACAAACCAAAGTTCTGGACCTGCAGAGTAAACCAAATGAGACGTCGGAAACTGTTTCAACTATGCTTCTTGATGTGTTAAGTGAATTTAAATTAAAGGAAAAATGTATTGCTTTTGGTGGAGATAATTGCAATACTAATTTTGGAGGTATAAATCGAAAAGGCAAACAAAATGTGTTTTTCAAGTTAAAGGAACAGTTAGCCGAAGGTTTAATAGGTATAGGTTGTCCCGCTCATGTCTTGAACAATGCTACTCATGCAGGCACAGACTCATTGCCCATTGATCTTGAATCAATCATTTTTAAAGTATACAATTACTTTTCGATTTTCACTGTCAGGACAGAAGAACTCAAAGAATTTTGCGACTTTGTAGAAATTGAATACAGATCTTTGTTAAAGCATTCAGCAACTCGATGGCTGTCTTTATTTCCAGCTGTAAATCGATTTCTTGAAATGTTCAGTCCATTAAAGTCGTATTTCTCGTCTATAGAAAATCCACCAAAAATCATCAAAAACTTTTTTGATAATGATTTTAGCGAATGTTATTTATGGGCAGTACATTCTTTGATGGCAATGTTTCACGTTCACATTGCGAGTCTTGAAAGGGAAAAAAATTCTTTAATCGAGGTCATGAATATCTTGGATATTTGTAAAAAATCACTGACAGAACGAATTTCGCAAAACTTTTTGCCATTAAGTGTAAGAACCATTCTACGCAAATCTAAAAATGACGGTTTTGAAAACGAAGCTTCAAAAGTTCAAGATGAAATATTTGCAATGTATACGGCGTGCTTAGATTATTTAAATCTGTGGTTAAAATCTTTTGAAGAATTTGAATGTTTTCGCTGGATGGATTTTAAAGAGGTTCCAGAATGGGAACAAGTTTCAAAGACATTCGAATATTTACAGTCCAAGGGAATCAAACTTGATGAAACAAAACTCTTCGATCAAGTATGTTTTTTTCAATTATTTATTTAAGATTTTTTGGAAAAAAATGAAGACACGGACCTACAAATTGATGAACTATGGAGTAATTTCTTTTTAAAGTGTTCTTGTCCAGACAAATTCTCGGAACTTTTGAAAATAGCGCAATTCTTTTTTGCTCTTCCACCACACAATGCAAACGTTGAACGCATTTTTTCACTCATCAATGGACAATGGTCAAAAACTCGAAACAAGTTACAAGTTTCAAGCGTAAAAGGAATCATACAAACTTCTGTTAATTTTAATCAAATCGATTGCCATGAATTTTATAAATACATTTTGAAGAATGAAAGATTGTTAAGTGAAGTAGGAAAAATTGATAAATATAAGTTTTAAATCTTTATTTTTACTAAACTCTCATAATGTTAACATTGTTAAATGTAAAGTCTAAAATTTTAAGCAAATAATGTTAATACACGTTCTAAAGAAATATATAAGTGAAATAAATATGATTTGATTAAAAAAATAATAAAATTTCTTATTTAAATTGCACTTTAAAATGATTACTACTTTTTACTCCTTTTTTTACCAATTGTCCTACTTTTGTACTCCTTTTTTAAAGTCTATGTCCTACATTACAAAAAATAAAGACGGTAACCCTAACTATCAACTTCACACACATAAATAAAATGATAAAGAATTACGAATGAAAAAAAGGGTACAAAAATTGATATAATGACGTTTACCTGTTGCGGAATTTTAATTTTCTTTAACTGAAGTTCAGAAGACCAAGTTAAAAATTATCTTCATTAATTGTAACAGGCCAATTCTCAATACTTTTATTACTCGTTGCTAATATTCGTTATCAGATATCTTTTTCGTAATGTTTTATTATTTCCGCTTTTTTATGGTAAAAATAACTTCAATTCAAATTTTTAATAATTCTTCTTCTAATACCTAAAAAATTTTAAGAAATATTAGATGGATTAGTCAAGGCACGCACATTAAAACAAAAAAAAGCTCTCTGAATCCGCCACCAACGTAGGCGTTGGGATTGAAAGTAAAATAAATCTTAAAGTCTGAAAATTAAATATAATAAAGTAAAATAACGATAACTTCAAAAAAATTCTTTATTTCAATAAAAATATTAGCCAGGCTCCGAAGCGTAGTAAGAGACTAAGAAAAGTATGAAAAAGTATCTTTTTTTTAAAAAAAGTATCCCCAAAATTGAAAAAATGTATCAAAAAAGTGGCATCTTTAAAATCAAGTAAAATTAGTTTTCTAAGTTTGACGTTAAAGTGTAAATATTTTCTTGTCTAATAAAATTGAAAAAAAAATTCTGAGGAATAAAATTAACATAGTTTTTCTTATGATTATTTTTTAAAAAACTATCTATTGTTAAAATTCGATTAACTTTTTGTTTTTGGCACAACGGTAGGAGCGTATGATTATTCCATAAAAATGATTTTTCACATAAATTTTTATTTTACAAATAATAATTTAATACACAATTTTTTTTAAACGAATGTTTACTCAACGAAATTTTCAAAGTACCGAATTTTTATTTTACAAAATTTCTCCTTACCCAACTGTTACTTCAAAAGAATTCTAATTTAACCTATTTTTAATTTATTTGTTTTATCATTCAGTAGAATATTAAGTAATTCGAATTTTTAAATCCTAAAACTTGGAATCAAAAGCTTATATAAAATATTTAGTATTTTAAAACAACAATTTTAATTAAAAATCTCCAAAAATTCAATTATTTATAAAAATCTTAACTCGAACTCTCCCAAATTTCAATAATTATTTCTAAAATTCTTTGATAAACTAATAATTTGAATAAATTTTATCCAATTATTCAAAAATTCAATTAAATAAAACATTTTTAATTAAAAATTCTGCAAAATTCATTTAAAATATTTTTCAATTTAAAATACTCTAAAATTCAATTTTTGTCTGAATTTTGGTTAAAGTAAAATTATTTTTAAAAAAACAGTTGGGTAAAGAGAAATTATATAAAATAAAAATTCTGTCAAAAAAATTTGACAAATTAAAAATTCTATTGAGTAAAAAGTTGTTTAAAAAGAAATTATGTTAAATGCTACATATTTTCAAAAATGAAAATTCGTGTAAAAATTATTATATAAAGTAGTAGTTCACTTGGCCAATAATAAATCATCAACTTGGCGAGCTTTAAGGAATAAAAAAATTCGCTAAAATTTAAAATTCCTGAATTCTGTCATTTTTAAAATTATTGTTTAAAAAATGTAGCATTTAGTGGCTTTTGGCCAAAATTAGTGGTAAAAAAGTAGCTTTGTCGAAAAAAGGTAAAAAAGTGTGTCACATCGAAACGTTAATTTAACGTTTCGAAGACTAAAAAGCTTTTTCCGTTGTTTGTTTGAGAAACTAACTTCAGTTTTATAAAAATACTTGTTTTTTAACATTTAAATTCGTATTTTAAGGTGGATTTTTTAAAGTGAATAAAAATAAAAAGTAGCTCGTTGTCCATCACCAAATTTTGATAAGATGAATAAAGAAAACTTAACTTAAATTTTAATACCAAAATGGGATTTTTTCATTAATCGCCTGCGAAGATATAAGTGTTCAAAATCAGATAAAATCCTGAAAAGTTCAATATTCAAGGTAAAATTTCACATATTTCTATATTATAAAAATAAAAAGCCAACATATCATGTGAAAGTACATGGAAAGTACTTATTGTTAGGTAGTAATAAATTTTATAATATTTATAAACTTTCTTGGAAATTATAAATAAAATGTGACAAATTTCGACATTTTACAGGTAAGTTTGAATATTAATTTTCACGTAGTATTTTGGCTTTTTTTTACACAATTATCAATTAACATTGGTAAATTAGACTATTTTAAACAAATATCAATGAAAATAAATTTACTAACTGAATTATTTCTGTTCTTTTTTATAAAATTTCCAAAGTTGTCAAACTAACCTATTTTTCGTGCAACTCAACTTAAAAACTAAATTTCAACGTAAATAAAAAAAAATTTCATAAAATAATTGTCAAAAATGAATTGTACGGATATTAAAAGTCATTAATACAAAATACCAAATTTTTCTAAAAATAGGCCGCATCGACTATAGGTGAAATAAAATGGAATGACCCAAATACAATAAAAATTTTGCGAGTTCAAATAAAATTTTATTTTATTCATATATATATATATATTTGCTAAAAATATTTTTCTTAAAATAAAATCAGACAAATGCAAGTTACACGAAGTGAACTTTTTTGGTATAAAAGCAAATGTTTAAAAAATATAAGTTTTGTATGTCAAATAATATAAGTGATACGAAGAGAAAAAATTTTTGAATTTTTTTTTTTACAAAATTCTTCCTCTTCATATCACTTACATTATTTGACACACAAAACTTATATTTTTTAAACATTTGCTTTTATTCTGATTTTTTTTATAAGTCTTTCAGGTTTAAAATTAAATCGACGTTGAACATAAATAAATCCAAAAGTCTATTAGAAAAGAAGAATTTCAATCTCTATCAATTGCAATAAATATTTATGTATAAAAATTTCAATTAAAATATCAGTATATTTAATTACTTCACTAAAAACATTTTTTCAATGATATATTATAATTAGTCTTGAGGAGAATCAAAATTGATAAAACTCATTATTTTCAATTTAACTATTCGATTTTATAATAAATGGGAATACATTTTATAATAATTATAATACATAATAATATAATATAATATAATAACTTATAATAATTTTATAATAATATAAGAAATAAGAATGAAAAAAAAGTTTAGATTTAAAAAGAATTAGCGTCCGCTCCTCACAGCTTCTCATTTATTTGACAAAAATTAACAATTAAAGCTTAGTAAAGTTATATTTTTTGTAGTTTATCGATTGTTATATATATTTTAGAGAAAAAAAAAATTATGAAAAATAAAATAAAAAAATTTAAGGTGTATTTTTATTTATTAAATTATTTAATTGATTCAAATAATAATTCTTTACGACATAAATAAATTTTTTATGACAAGCAATCAATTATTTTGATAATTTTTTTCAATATATTAAAATGTAAATTAATCAATAATTTTGATACTCACCAACACCAAAAAAAAAATATATATATAAAGTGAAAACAAATATACAACACTGAAAAAATAAAATTGTAAAAAAATTAGCAAATAAATTACATTGACACATAACCAAAAAAAAAATACTCCCAGTACAGTACAAGATTAATTTTTCATAAATTGAGCAAATTAAATTTTAAAAAAAGCAAATAAGTATATAATTTCATGAATAATATGGCAACATACCGTCTGACAATTGTCGACACAGCATCGACATAACCAAAAAAATTTCGCAATGCCGAAAAATGATTAAAACACAAATTTTTATTGTAAAATATATAAAAATGTTTAATTTTTACGTAACATGCAAATATAAGAAAAATATTAATCACAAATACTTATTTTCATAAAAATTATTCTCAAAAATGTAAAAACTTTTCAATATACATGATATACATACATAGCCGGTGTCAAAGCAAATGGTGGTCACACCAGAAAGGCGGCAACACCGGGAATGTGCAGCAGGGATCGGTAAGTAAGTGGAACAAAACTTAGGCAGTTGAGCTGTGATTGTACCTTTAGTTTTGTGGAAATATTTGTCCAACTCAATTTCTTATTTTAACGTTGGCAACCATACAGTGTTTATACATAATCATGTTCTGCTTCTAAATGTCAACGTGTTAAGTTTTTTTTATTTTATTAAATTAATAATAATTAGAGAGTTTAGATTTAATATTTCAAAAAAAAAAAAAATGACTTTATATCATTTTGGAAATTGTCTTGCTTTAGTGTATGTGCCATATTATTTAACATATAAATATTCAGGATTGTGAGTATTATTATTATATTTTTGTAAAATAACCTCAAAATTTTTCACAACACTAGGAAAATTTTCTATTTGATTTTTTATTGTTTATAAATTATTTCTCTTTATTAAATGTTTAAAGATCAGAGTATGGTGCATTTTGGAAATGTATTCAAGCAGGTGGAATATATATTTTTACCCAACTTATTAAAATGTTAGCGCTTGCAACATTTTTTCCCACGGCCGATAGTGTTGGCCAGGAAGGCTTTGATCTTGTTGGTGTAAGTAATAAATAATAATTTTTAAAAAATTCTATATTTATTAACAATTTTTCATATTATTTTCGATAAGAAAAAATTCAATTTTAATGAGAAAAATTTGTTCAACACAATTTTTTTTTATTTTCACTCAACAATAATAATAAAATGCGTATAATTTTAATGAAATCCTTCACAAATTCAATTATTTTAAACTATTTTTTAATTAAAATTTTTATGTAATTTAATAATTGTTTATAATTTAAAAATAAAAATTATCAAATAAAATTACTAAAAAATGTTAATTCAAAAACAACTTGAAATTTAATTATTTGCAAAACTTTCAATTTTTTTTTATTTGCATAATATTCTTCGAAAATTCAATTATCTAAAACTATTTTTCACTTAAAAAGTTTTTGTATTTTTGTTTGCAATTTCTAATACATTTTTTATTAACAGAAATCGTCAAAAAATTTTAATTAAAAATCACTTCAAGTTGAATTAATTTCAAAAATCAAAATTGTAAATCTTTGAAAATTCAATTACTTTTAAAAAATTATTTTAAATATTATTTTACATTTAAAATTATTTGATAAATTATTTTTAGTTCTGTATAATTTAATTATGGTCTGAAAATTAACAAAAATCTTTTGAAATTCAATTATTTCTAAAAAGTTCAACTTTAACTCTTTCAAAATTATTATTTAAAAAAAAGGTTTTATTTTAAAAATCTGTAAACCTTGATTAAGTATTAATCCCTCCATTAATTCCCTCGGTGTTTTTGTTCTCCATAGTGGACTAAAATGCATGCAAAATAAAAAAATTCGGCACTAAATGGATTAACAGAGAAAAAATGTATTTTCAGGAATTTTTGAAATCTTCCATCGATCTTGCAGACTTAGTGGGTATACTTTTGGTTTTAAATGGAATTCCCGGTAAAGGACACGCAAAAGTATTAACCGCCGGAGTTGGTTGGGCAGGAGCCGAAGTTTTATTAACAAGATTTCTCTTACTTTGGGTTGGTGCACGTGGTGCAGAATTTGATTGGAAATACATTCAAAAAAGTCTCGAATCCAATATAAATCTAGTATGTAATTTTTTATTTATTTCTAATAATTTTTAATAATTCTAATAATTAAAAATTGCAAAGTAGTTAAAAAAAATAAAATATTTGGAGAAATAAAAAATCGAAATTAATAATAGTATTGTTAATTTTGATTATTAATTGGAAAAAAACAGTGATTTTATATATTGAAATAAAGAAATTTTATAAATTTAATTTATTTTAATAAATAAAATGAATGTATTAATAATAATAATAATAAAAATATATAAAATAAAAATTGTCAAAAAAAGAAATTAAGTTTCTTGTTTCTGTAATAATACAAAAGTAATAAAAACTCTCTTTTTTTAAATTACTTTGAGAATAATTAGTAATAAATAATTGAGAAACTTTTTTTTTCACGAAAAAAAAATTTCTTTTCAGGTTCAACACATCACAACTGCCACATTAGTTTGGCTGTGGTCGCGACACGATTTACGTCGTGGTTTAGTGCCAATTGTTGTTAGTATGCTGCTATTAACAATTTACAGGCCGTTGATTCTCGATTTTCTCACATCGGTCATAATTACCGGACCATGGCTAATGCTTTTTATAAAAGCTTTTACAACATTATTTTTAGGAGCAACGACTCTTCACATGTATGCGGGACTCGCTCATTCCATTGGCATTTTTTGAAAAAGAAAAAAAAACGAATCGAACAAATAAAAAAAATACTTCTTTATACATCCCACAATTGAAAGAAAAAAAATTTCATCTTCCTCTGAAAAGAAATAATTGAGGCGGTGAAGAGGTGAAATTAAATTGTTCCTAAAAAATAATAATTTACTAATTAATGAAATTAATTATTATTATCGACTTAAGTAGAAAATAAGAAGTAAATTAAAAAAAAAATGCGTTTTTTTTTTAATGGAAATATTAAATTATTGTCAACAATTTTAAGTGTCAATGTAAAAAAAAAGAAACAAAAATAAAGACTGTTCCATATTCTAAATTTATTGTAAATTAATGGTAAAAATAAATTCCTTGAATTTATTTCGAATTATGCCTCAGATTATACGACTTTTTCGACTCCTTTTTTTTACATTTTTTATAAAAATTTTATCAACTAATTAAATTTAGTTAAAATAAAAAAATCGAATCTAATGAAATGAAAACAATCTTTTATTAATAATATTTGTTCAAAATGAAAAATTTAGGTTGAATTTACGATAATTTAATTTTATTTACTAGATGAATTATTAATTTATTATAATATAATATACATATATCTATATATATCTAATCACCTTGATTCAGTCTTTTGCTTAGCATATACGATGCACAGCACAAAAAATCGACGAAATTATTTAGTAAAAATTTTCTTGACTAATAAAAATAAACATTTTAAGAAAATATAAACATTTTGAAAGGAAATTAAGACACAATTAAGATAAATTTAGACATAAATAAAAAGATATTCACAATTGTAAATATGATTTTACATTTGTTAATTAAAATTAACTTATGCAGTTACATTTCCTGTTTCAATAAAAAAAAAAAAATTACTAAGTATATGAGCTGACATAAATTAAATATATTTAATAATTGCAATTTATAAAATTACGACTTTCAATTATTTTATTATTTTACAATTTCAATAAATTTTACTTTTTTTCTATTACTTTACTATTTTAATTAATTCGATGCTAACTTTACTCCAATTTTAAAAATTACGATGTAACCGCATAAGTTTTCGGTGCAATATGTACAGGTTTTTTCTTTTTGCAATATTAATTATTAAACTATTAGAAAATTGTAATTAGTAATATTTACAAACGTAGTTTCTTTTTGTAAAAAACCACTAAATTATTTATCGAGAAAAATGAAAATGAATTTCTAAAGAAATATTTTATGGGACTACAAACTGCATTCTGATTTTCATATAAATAAATGTGATGATGACAATATGATGAATTATATCTTCTTTTGTTATTTCTCTCCAATTATATTATTTTTTATCCACTCTCTCCTTTTCTCCTTCTATTATCTTTCAACTTAATCGAAAAAATGCAAAACTGAAAGAAAATATCTTTTTTCAAATTAAATGATATTAAATTTTTATTTAAAAAATTCGAATTATTAATTAAATATTAAAAATATTAAGGGCCGGTTTCACCAACTATGGTTAAAAGTTAATCAGCGATTAAAGCCAATTTAACCGCTCATGATTGGTCGGTTAGGGATTTAATCGCTGATTAACTTTTAACCGGATTTGATGAAACTGGCCCTAAGGTATTTAATTTCATTTTTTGAGAATTAAGAAAAATGAAAAAAAAAAATTTTTTTTGAAATTCGTTTCTTACCAAAATTTAAGAAGGAGAACACTGGGGTCTTGTTGCTGATTCCTCATCATCAGACGAATTGTTATCACTCGATGATTCACGAAGATCCTCATCGCCTCCTCGAGGCAAAATATGCCTTCTTCTTCTAAAAGCTCTACTTAAATTCTACCGAAACAATAAAATATATCAAATATTTTCAAATTTTATTTTTATATTATAAGAATTTTAAAAAAAACGATATAGAATAGTAATTAAAATAAATAAATAATAATTTTGTTTTACCATAAATCTCCCCGACAGACGAATACGCCTTGAAAGAATCCACAACATTCGTCCATCATAAGCATCTGGTTCTTCACGCAAGTCATCTGCCCGATTCTTGAGATTTAATTTGACACACTGTAAATAAGAATTTGTATTTTGTAATTTATATAAATAAATAATAATAGTAATAAGGAATTTATCGTTCTAATTCTAAAATTACAAAAACTCATTTCAGATTAATTAACTTTTTATTTTTAGGTCAATCCATTATATTTCAAACTCGCTGCGATCTATGTTTTGGAAAAATCTTACAATTAATATGTAATCATCTTTCATATCCGTACAATTTATTTTTGACAATTAATTGAAATTTGTTTTTTGAATCAGATTTTTAAACTAAATTTTTATTTAAATAATTGAATTGCAAAAGATTTTTAATTTGAAATAAATTTTCTCCAAAAAATGACTTTAATTTTTTTTTTGAAATTTCTGACAAATAATTCAATTTTAGGGTTTCTATTCGAAACTTTTGTAAATTACTTACTCCTTGTAAATTCTTCATAGTAGGCGTTTCAATACTAGAAGATTCCCACACTCTTACATCGCAATCTGATCCACTTGTTGCCAAAACAGGAACAGACGGATGTGATTCTAAGCATTTTACCTAATTTTTCACAAAAATAATAGCATTAATTCTTTTATATTCGTAATTTGAATTCTGAATTTTGAAATACATGAGTTCAATTAATGATTCTATTGTCAGCAAATTCGGATAAATTTTTGCCATTTTTTCTTACTTCTGGCCCACTGTGCACTCCTTGATAGTTTCCATCTAACCATTGAACAATCGCTTCTGAATCTTTATCCCAAATGAAAAAATTTCCACAATCTGAACCGGATACAATAAATTCACTCTTGGGTCCAAAGAAATTGACGCCTTTCACTGCACAAAAAAATACAAATTAATAAGAAAAATAATAATTTAAAATGTACTTTATAAAAAAAAACGCATATTATTTTTATTTTTAAATGAGATTTATCAGGACTCGGATTACATAAAATCTTTGGTACAGAATAGTATTAAAAAATTGATTTTAAATACTTTTTTTCCCATGTATTTTAATTTCACTTATTTTTTCAATACAAATACTAAAAATAATTTGTCCCATTTATAAACAAATAAATGTAAAATAGTTCAATTTTATTTCTTTTAGAATTTTTTCTTCTAATCTTACCAATAGCATTATTTCTGTGACCCTGATATCTATGTGCAAAATCTCCAGATGGATGTGGATATAATGTATCAAAAAGATAAATATCCTCATCACTATAAGAGGCAAGAATTTCCGTTCCATTATAGTTATACAAAGCACATGTAACGTGAGGAAGTTTATTTTGAGTCTGTTAAAAAAGCAATTATTTTTAAATATTATATTTCTATGAATAATATATATAAATTCAATAAAAGAAAATATAAAAGAAATTAAAATTAAAAAAGAAATTAATATTTTTATACCAAGTGACTAGGACAATATTTGTACAAAGGTGAAGAAACTTTTCTCTTGTCGTAAACATGAACAGATTGAATTCCCCCTCCGACACAAAATTCATTACTGTTCAATGGATGACAATCAATACTGTATAATTGAATAACATCCGTTTCTTCATTTAATATCGCTAATCTATAATTTATAAAACATTAATTTATAAAAATATTTTTTATCTGAAATATTTATCACTTTGAACTGTGAATTCGCTATTTTATTGTAAAAACAAAAATAAATCAAATCAGATAAAAATGGAAAAAAAAAAATTTACCTCTGTGGTTTCGATTCACGAATATCAATTGAGAGTATTTTTCCATCTTCGCCACATGAAAGAACAACGTGCGGTGATTCCTTATGAATGGCAATTTTATGAACTGATCCCTGATGTGATCCTATTCTACGCGATTTACCTACCGGAAGTTCGAGTAATCGAACTTGCCCATCGTGAGCAGCTGTGACCATTAAATTTTCACAATCCAAAGGCATCCATTTTGCCTTAAAAATTTTCAACAAAAAAAAATTCCAATATTCAAATTATTTATGAATTCATAATTTTGTCAAAGTTTTGAAATTAAAATATATAATAAAAAATTTCAGTCATTTTTTCATAAAATTAAATTGAAATTGACTATTGAAAATACTAAAGAAAGAGGTAAAGCAAAAAAAAATTTCCGAGTTATTCATAAATTAATAAACAAAAAATATTTCACCACTGACCTGCAAAATTTTGTGGCCAGTGTGAAATGTAGCTTGTTTCCTTTCGGTGGCCCAATCCCAAATGTTAATAGTTAAATCATCCGAGGCACTTGCTAAAAGATTTCCCTTATGATTGAAATCCAAAGAATTGACACAACCCTGAAATTGATTAAATTAAAAAATAAAAGACAATAGAGTAAATATTTTTTAAAACTATTAGAAATTTTTAAAAATTTTCTTCAAAAAGAAATGGCGTTTTTCATTTTGTAAGCCCGTTAATATAATAAATAAATAAATAAAAATATATTTACCTGATGTTCATTTAAGCTACATTTCAATTGTAATCGCTGTACAGAACAAAGTGAACCATATAATTTGTTAGAAAATTCTGGATTTCTGCCAATTTGACGACTAATTAATTCCTGTATTACAAAGAATTTGGATTTTGGTGCTTCTTTTTCCATAATAGATGCAGCGATGTCCAACTCATCTTCACTGGCTGTTGTCCATTCGTTTGAATCGTCAGCGCCTTCTTCTTTGTTTTTAGGTTTTAATCAAATCATCCACAGTGGAGTGAATACGTTTTTTTTTTAAATTTAATTCATGTCACCAAGTAAACAATTACCTCTGTTATCTACTATGATTGGACTAGTTCCTCGTTCCGATAATGGGTGGCTTCTCTCTTGATAGTCATCTCCCTCCGCCATGTCATCAAGATCTTGTATTGAATCATCATCATCATTGTCGCTTTTTGTTGTTTCTATCGATTTATCAATTAAATAATTCAATTAAACAATTCTAGACGCAAAGAATAAGCTACAATATTAGTTTTTTAGAATTTTCATTTCATACAATTTTATTATCTAGAATTTACATTTAGCGAAATTTTTATTTTTTCTAAATTATTATTTAAGAAAAATTCCTTTTTAAGAAATTTCTACCAATATTACAGAATTGTTGTCGTTTTAGTCGGTTTATATTAAAAAAAAAAAAAAAAAATGAAAAAATTCGCTTTTTTGTTTTAACAAAATTTAAATGATTAATGAATATTTTACTTTAAATAACTAATGTTATTAGAGATTAAATTCATTTTATTAATTCTGTAATGAGAATAATTCTATAAAAATATTATCAAGAACATTTATTTCGAATATTTCAGAATCGAACTAAATGTAAGACAAATTTTCAAATTTTTATTTCAGTATGACAAATTTCTAAAAAAAAAAAAAATTCTTAAAGTTCCATTTTTATCATTTTTTCAAGTCTCATTTAAGCAATTTATTCGAATTAAAAATTTTGTCATAGTTTTTAGTATTGTTGGTCAAAAAAATTTCAGAAAATACTTAATCAATGTTTACAGATTTTTAAAATAAAATCTTTGTTTTAAATAATAATTTTGGAAGAATTAAAGTTGAAATTTTTAGAAATAATTGAATTTTAAAAGATTTTGTTAATTTTCAGACAATAATTAAATTTTACAGAACTAAAAATAATTTATCAAATAAATTTAGATAACATTTTTTAAAAGTAATTGAATTTTCAATGATTTACAATTTTGATTTTTGAAACTAATTAAACTTGATGTGATTTTGAATTTAAAATTTTTTTGACGATTTCTGTTAATAAAAAATGTATTAGAAATCGCAAACAAAAATACAAAAACTTTTTAAGTGAAAAATGGTTTCAGATAGTTAAATTTTCAAAGAATATTATGCAAATCATTAAAAAAAAAAAATTGAAATTTTTGCAAATAATTAAATTTCAAGTTGTTTTTAAATTAAAAATTTTTGATAATTTTATTTGCTAATTTTTTTTTAAATTATAAACAATTATTAAATTTTATAAAAAATTTTAATTAAAAAATAGTTCAAGATAATTGAATTTGTGAAGAATTTCATTAAAATTATTGAAAAGAATTAATTTAATGAAAAATTTTAGTTAAATAATTGCAATAAATTTTACCTTCGTTTTCGTTATTTAATTTTTGCGTTCCTGACGCTTCACCAATTTCATCGTCAGGTTCGGTATTATTTTTATTTCGATAATAACGTTTTCGAACATCGAATTTTAATTTACGGAATGAAATATCACTTTTTGAAGCCGAACATTCGGCAACTTCTGAATCAATTTGTGTTTCAGACAATTTTTGCCGTTTACTTGAATCTTCATCTGAACTTTCATCCGATTTTTCCATGGAAATTCCACTGTCTCCATTAATTTTACCTAAAACTGTGAATAATTATTTTTACCGTAAATTTATAATTTTTACCATAAGTATTTGAATATTAAATTGTCAAAGAAAATTTTTTTTCTACATCTATTTATTATTTATTTCACCTAAATTGTGTGACAATTATTTTAATTTATCTAAGAAAATTTTTTTATCAATATTGTAAACAATTTTTAAAATTATCAATTTAAGTTTTAAGTTAATTTTTATTATTATTATGGATTGTTTACTTTAATAATTTATTTCAAATCTTACACGGGTTTAAAAATGAACAAATATAGTGTAGATGAGATATTTTTAATTAAAAATAATTATTTACCTTTTGATTTATTTCTTTTCGTTGTACTTTGTTCGGGTGAGGAAGAATTAACGGTTTCATGATTTGTTGATTCCGAATTATCTTGCTACAAATTTTTTTTTAACGTAAAACAATCGTTAAATTAATAATTATTTAATTAATATTAATATATTTATTTATTTATTATTATATAAACGGACAAAAAATTTTATTATAAAATAAATTTTCTTTTTACTATAATACAAAATAATAATAACAAATTTTGCTTGTCAGTTGAAAAAATAAGAAAAATTACTGATTTGAATACAATTATTTTTTTTAAATTACCTCCGTTTTTGTAATTGTCGAATTTTCGGACATTACGTCTACGACTTGTTTATCATCATTTGAGTCGTCTTTTAAATTATTAGAATCCATATTCTTATCTTATATGTGGATCATCACTTAATTTTTTAAATTTTAATCCCCTATACATAAATAACAGCAAATGTATATGAAAATTTTTTTTTCTCTAATATTAAAAAAAAAACATTCAAATTTGAGGTTATGAAAACAATTTTTTTGCGAATTTAAGATTTACAAATTAAAATAATTATTCTCATTACTCACTTTTTTGAAATATGATGATTATGTCGTAATCCTGATATAATAAAGATTTAAAGCAAATTTAACAAAATAAAAATATTTACCTGCGCTTTGAAGAAACGAATGAATTTATTCTCTCTTTCACTTAGAGAAAAGAAAAAAATTACAGAAAAATCGTTGATTAAAAATCAGTAATAATTTATCGACTATAAACATTCGAAAAAGTAAATAAATTTACACTCTGTTATAAATATTATTACAAAAAAATATGACAACAAATACGGAAACTTCTATGCGCCACCTGGTATCACAAAGGAACAAGCTAGTACTCGAGTGATTTTCAGTCGGTTTTTTAGCATTTTAAAACATAGGAACTCACCCAGTCACCCTATGGTTACTGGGTTCTTGTGTTCCTTATGTGCCAACTTGATTCGGCCAAAAGACAAAAAAATCGGTAAAAATCGGTTGAATGAGCTTTATGTCTATTTCAAATTCGATGAAATGAACATTCGATTATAACAATTCGTTCAAATGAACATTAGGCCGTATTCATATTCGTTAAAAAGTACTTTTCGTCCAATTTAATGTTCTTCCAAATTAACTTTAGCTTTTTTTGATATTCGACGTTTGTAAATTCGCCATAATGCACTTTCGACTTTAACTTTGGGGCAAGAAGACTAGAGACAGGCTTGCTTTGGGGAAAAAGAATCCATCTCATTTTTTACGTTTGCGTAACTATTTTCAAAAGAGCATTCTATTGATCAAAGATCAATGTTTTATAGACAAATAATCATGTTTTACTATTTTATTTGCCAAAAAGAAAATTTTAATTACATTTTGCGATTTTATTTATTATTAAACTTTTTACTTTTCGATATATACAAACGGTTAAAAAATCATCCTGTAGTACCGTTTTGTTAATAGTGTAAAAAATAAAAAAATATATTAATAGCATCTTCATGAAATATACACAAAATAATAATAATATTTTAATACTAAATTATTAATAACAACCAAAAATATTTCTTTAACAGGAAATTGATATTTTAAAAATTTATTACGAAATTTTACGTAAAATTCGTCTTTCATTGAAATTCAAATAAACGCGGTTTTTTCCTCCAATAGAATAATAGATTTATCGGAAAACGATGAGTGAAAAACGAAAAATAATTTTCCCGCCATGTTTTGTTTGCTGTCGTTCATGTATGTGTACACTTGTTGAGTTTTGATGTGTTTGTGCGAGAAGCTCATCTAGTGAAAATGGTGCATCTTTGTTATTTTCTTAATAAAAAATATATTACAAATGTTTTGCTGTGAGATTTTTCAAATTTCTCGACGAATATGGAAACGTTTATGCCATCGGAAATTGCGAGATTAGTCGTCGGTAAATATAAATGAATAATTCTCTAAGTTCAAAAAAAAAAACAAATTGTATAATGCGTCTTTAATATATACTAACCTTTCATAAAAATGAAAAATATCAATTTAGAAAATCAAGATTTTTTCACGCATTTAAAAGTGATTTTCATGTAATTTAATCTATTTTATATTATAACAATTTTTCTTAAAATTTTTTTCTATTTTACTGAAATGATATTAAGAGAATATTGTCAATTCAAGGACACTATTTGATGACGAATGGAAAATTATATAAATTTTTTACACTTTTTTTATTTACCTAAAGAAAAAGATTAGAGAGAAATTTGTTATTCCTTTTTTTATTATATTTTCTTATTGTGTAGAAAAATAAGTTAAAAAATTAAGATGCATTTTGTGGAGTGCAAAAAAAAACTGTCTCGTTCGAAAGGTTATGTTTTGTATTATAAAAAAATTTAATCATGTTTCAATGATATAAATAATGTTTTGAAAATAGATTTTTGTCAATTAGGTAATAATTTTTCGTTACATTGAAAAAATTACAGGTTATTTAGAAGAACAAAAATGTGACGAAGCAGCGAAATTTTTCTTGGAGACATCTCCACTTTTGCAGGAATGTCGTATGGTTCAAGCAAGTGGGAAAACATTTCGAAGACTAGTCAGAGAAATGACTTTAATCGATGTTTTCGATAAATATTGTTCTATTATTTCCTTTAGTAAGTATTATTTTTTGAAGATAAATTAAAATTTAGGTTCTTCTTTTTGCTCTTGTATTTTTTTAATTTTTGGAAAAATTGTCTCTTTTTTGAGAGATTGGTTTTTTTCATTTGCATTTTTTTTTCTTTTTGTTACAATATATCTTGAGAATTAAATAATTTTATTATTTTTTTTTTCTATAAACACAGTTCAAGAGAGGCTAAATAAAATTGCTGATTCCGATCAAGTAAAGCATTGTGGAGATTTTCTTGAGCAACTTAGATTTTTAATTGATGGATCTCGAAGTCAACGTTTTGTTGTAAATATTAATGTACCCTCTCAGGTATGTAAAACGAATTATTTTTTGACAATCATATTTTAATGAAATGAAAAATTCATTTCTAAATTTTCCTTAACAATTCGATATTCTGAATTCCTTTAAAATTTTGTCTTAGAATTATTGAATTTATTTTATGTTTGGTACCAATAATTAATAATAATAATGAAATATTTATTAAGTTATTTAAAATATAGTTTTCTTGATTTTCATTTAAATAATTTAAATTTTTTACGGCTTAAAATCGATTTATTTTTAGAATTCAGCTACAACTACCGGAGGATCTCCGATTATTTCTAGTAGTATAAGAAAAAGACAACGCAGTGGAAGTGATCGAGATCGCGATCGCTGTAAGCGGTTTGCGAAATTACAATCACTAACACCTGAGAAGCAGAATAATTCTGAAAATAGTCAGTATTTTTTTTTTTTGTTATTTTAATTATTCTAATTTAATTATTTCTTCTTAATATTTTCGATGTATTGCAGTTCATTGTGATAAAGTCGAAGCAACTCCAGCTGAAAGTTTACCTGGTCATATTGACTTAACAAAATCAAATTCCGACGAGAGATCAGCTGTTAAACAGAAGATTAAAGAAAATCATGTTATTCAAGATGAATGCAATGATTACGATTGCAAATTTTATATGCCTGGATCCTCAACAGGTTAATAATAAATTAATTTAAATAGTTTTTTTTTATTGATATCGAAAAATATGTTAAAATTTTATTGTTTCTTTTTTTAAAGAGCAACCCGAGAATATTAGAGATTTACAAAAAAATCAAGAAAAAACCAACAATAGCGAAGAGTCAAATAAATGTGTTAATTTTTCTACAACACCATTAAAATGTTCAATGTCTACTGACACTGAAGATTTATTAAAAATTTATCAAAATACACAAGCATCGACTTGGGGACAAATTCTTGACTATGAGGAAATAATGAACAACGAGCCACTTGAAAATTTAAGCGTAAGTTTAGAAAATTAAATTAAATTTTTTTTAAAATAAATATTTGAATGGATTTATATTTCAGTTGCTGGGACAAGGATTGTTACATTGTAAAGAAATACAAGAGCAAATAGCAGAAAATATTAATAAAAGTGGTCTACTACCAACGGACGCAAATTACAAAGACGAAGCGCTTATTGCAAATTCTTCTGGTTTTAATACATCGGGAATTTTCAAATCAATCGTCGAGGAAACAATGGTTACAGCTTCATTTCAACAATTTGTTGGTTCTGTTTTAAAAATCACTGATTCAAATTCCAATACAAATACAGATGGCAAGAATAAATTGGAATTAAATCAAAAGTATGTAAAAATAATTTAATTTTTCATCTAAATAATCAATTTAATTAAAAAAAAAAAACATTTTTTTAGCGAACAATTACAAAATTTGACTGACATATTTTCCATGGAAAATCGTATTGACAATAATAAAATCGTCGACAGTACGGACAATAACAACGAATTACGCAATTTACTTACAAATCAACGTTCTAAAGTTACGAATGACATTAAAGAGGTAAATGAAGAGGGAATTAATATAAGCGATTTAAATGATCAGAATAATGCTGCCATTCAAAGTATCATAAATGCAAATTCAGCAAATAGTGAATTAATACAGGAGAAATCATCTTCTTTAGAACAAGAAATAAATGAATCGTCAATGATAAAAACTAATGATGCAGATTGTAAAAATATCAATGATAATTCAGCGGGAAAAAATATTTCCGAAGAACTTGAAACTAGTATTGAAATTATCGATGTACCTGCTGTTGATGATGCTCCTGCACCTCCGGTTGTAAGTACAAAACCAAGAATTACATCAATGAAAATTTTACCCAAAGGAAGTAGATTTTCAAAAAGAAAAGAGAAGAGACCGGTGAAGAAGCCAGTGGTAAATATTCCAATCATATCTGATTCCACTGATACAATGATTACGTCTACATTGGTTGTTTGCTCAAAAGATGATCCCGGCAGTTTTCTTGGAGTTCCTCCTTCATGTGAGTTGTTTTAAAAAGAAAAATGAATATTTACTAATTCAATTAATAATTTGTTCAAATTTTTTTTTTTTTGTTTTATAATTTTAAGTTTCATATAAATTCTAATTATTTCTGTTTCTTTTTGTTTTTCTAGATACAAACATAATAAATCCTCATTATCTTTCAATTACACCGAAAAGTATTCAATTTAAACAAGAACCAGTTTATTTTAAACACGTGAACGTACCACAAAAAGTTCCTGGGTCAATAAAAAAAAATTTCAACATTCTACCAAATCCAAGTGGTACAATTCCATTACCACTCACACATCCAGTTACAATTTCATTACCATCCGTTGAATTACCATTAACAACTCCAGTAATAACAATCAGTGAAGAGAATATAACACCATCAGAATATAGTATACCAAAATCACTTCCAAATATCGATATAATTCAAGAGGAGAATTATAAATCAACCGAAAATGTAAATAATCTCATTGAAAATACAAATATAGATGTAAAAATTGAAATCCCTAAAATTATCACCCCAACAACTAGTACTAAAGAAACGACAACTATAAATAATATTGATCCAATTTGTAATTTAGAACATATAACACTCTATGGCAATGAAACGAGTGCAGCGGAATTTTTAACTAGCAATGAAATTGAAACATTAAATGTCGATGCATCAATGACATTTTCCCTCTCTGGTCTTTCGCCATTTCTCAAAATGAATCGTGTCGTTGAGAAAAAGTCCGAAACAAAATCAAATCCACAAGATATTCTACCCTCAGTGTCAACAATAATTGATAACGAAAAGAAAACTGAATTAATAACAAAACGAACACCAAAATCAATAATTAAAAGTCGTTCAAAAAATCATCGTCTCAGTTTATCGACACCACGTCGACGACATAGTCACGTGAGAGCATTAGATTTTGGTACACCAACAAAATCAAATTCCGCAAGTAAATCATCATCATCTGTAAACAAAATTTCCCCCACATCACGTAATCGTTCAAATTGTCGTACTTCTTTATTTAAATCGCCACCATTTATTAATTCCAGTCAAAAATTAAAAAGTCCAAAAAATAATTCAACAAATTATAAAATTCCCATTGCCACACGTAGTCCAGCACCAAAATTAATGGGCGGTTGGGAAAAATTCAATGGAATGGATATGATTTTAGGTAAAGTTTCACCGAACGATAATTTTAATTCCACGCCAATTGAAAATATTGAGACAAAACCGCCAACAATTTTCAAAAGTTGGGACACTGAATTACGAAAAATGGCCAATCCAGAAGAAACAATTTCCACTGAGGCAAAAAATAAGAAACCAAAAGCACCTCGTAAAATCAAAAAAGTCAAGGAAATTGTCAAGAAAAATAATAAAAAACGCGGATCTAGAAAAACTCCCGCCAAAAAAAGTGACGATAATAAATTGATTGAAACACAAAGTAAAGAACAATCAAGTAAAGAAATTTTGTGTGAAACTATTTCCGATAAAGATTTATCGGATTTACCAATTGATTCATTAAATAAAGAACAATCTCCTAAAGATTCAATAAAAAAGAACGAATCATTAAATGATTCAAAAAATTTCTTTCCAAGCGATAAGGATTTATCATTTACACTCGACGATTCTGAACTTTGTAAATCAAATTCAAAAATTCAAACACCCAATATTCCCATAGGAAATAATCAAGAAATGAAAAGCGAAAAGAAAAGTGGTGAAATTGTTAAAAAATACGCAAAAGTTGTGACAATACCAAGAAGTGAAACACAACAAAATGTTGAATTTATGTCAAAAACATCACCAAATTATAGAGAAAAAATTATCATGCAACTTGAAACACCGAGAAAATTAGTGGAAAATTTAAAAAATGACATTCCACCAACGCCACGATTTTTAAGTCCAAATAGTAGTTCAATAACACCATTTACAAAAGTATCACGCAATGAAGATTCAAGTAAAATTCCTGATCTTTTTCCAACACCTGATTTTGCTCCCACACCGGGTAATAAATTAACACCAAATTTAGCAAGTGAAAATACAAAAGACGCAATTAAAAAAGGTGAATTTAATTCATGTTCACCGTATTATCAACCAAGTTCAGAAATTGATGATAAAATGAAAAAAGAACAATCGAAAAATATAACAAAAGTCGAGGAATTTCAAGTGATTAAAGTTAATTTAACACGTGAGGAAGCTGCAAAAGAGGAACTTACAATTTCTTCGAGTTTAAATGAAATTATTCAAGATGAAGAAGAAAAAGAAAAGGAAAAATTACCAGTAATTTATGATATGGAAGTTGAGAAAAATTTACACGACAGTGATAGTGAATCAACGGGTAGTGATAGTAATACATCATCATCGAGTTATTCATCAATGTCATCGTCATCGTCATCAAGTGCTTCTGACGATAGTTCCGATACTTCCCTAAGTGACAATAATTCACCGACAAAAAAAATTAATAATTTACCCACAAAAAGTTGTTCCAATTCCAGTGGTTCATCATCATTTCATATTGTCTACGAACCGGAAATTCCAAAAGAAACAGAAATCGCAACCAAAATTAATAATCCCCCTGTGAATGCAATTATTACAAATAATGAAATTGAGAGAAAAGAATTTGCAATTCCAAAATTCGATATTGAAAAATCGTCAATAAAAGAAGTGTCACCGCAAAAAATGTTTTCTGTCACAAATATCAATGAAAATGACGATCAAGAGACACCGGCTAAAAATGAATTACTTATTGAGGCAACAATTTCCGAAACTCCAAGTAGTTCAAAAGCCGGTTCGGATATAACAACAAATTTATCAACTAAAATTACCGAAATTATGACCTCGGAACAAAAATTGTGTAAAGTACCATTAAAACCAGTTCCTCCGGTTAAATCCCTAGAAACGAAAAGAGTGGCAAATATTTTAAAACACACGAACAAATCGGGTTTGAATTTACAAACAATTGATTATCTTAAACCGGAAAATCTCGCTTTAAAAGGTGAACGATTAAAAAAAGGTTTTTGTGAAGCTTCTCTAGTACAAGTTAAAAAAAAAGGAAAAACCGCCAATAATAATCAAAATAAACGCAATCGTCGTCCAATTGGAAGAAATTTACAAACAAATGCACGAAAAATTATCCCTAATTATCAAATAAATACAAATATTTCAATACAAGAGAAAAAAGAAAATGAAATCATCGAACAAAATCTCCTAAATGAAAATTCCATTTTAGAAAAATCCACAGAGAAAAAGAAGAATATTCCAAAAAATGAAAAAAAAGAAACAAGTAACGAGGAAATTATTAAATTATTACCGCCCAAAACAACAAAAACACCGAAAAAAGGACGAACTCCAAAAAAGGGAAAAACTCCAAAAAAAGTAAAACCCCCAAAGAAAACATCGTCAAAAAAGAATTCACCTGAAAATTTAATTGAAGAATTAGATAAAAATAAAATACAAGATATTGAAAATAAAATTGATAACAATGATAAAACAGAAATAGAAACAGGTGATCAAATTTTAGACGATAAAGTTAAAGAAATTATAACAACATTAGGCGATGAGAAATTATCACTTAAAGCAAAAGTTGATTTAGTAAAACGTGATTTATTTAGTGATGATGAAATTGTCGATCAACGACGAACAAGATCAAAATCACGACAAGCATCCGATACAAATAAAAGTGATGATACAAATGATTCAATATTAGAACAATTACTTTCACTTGAAAAATCATCGAAAGAAGATTTACCATGTGTTTTACAAAGTTTGGATTTAGTACCAACGACAAATACAAAAAATGATAATAGTTTTTATAATACAAGTCAAACGGAATTAAGACATGGTGAATATCATTTTATTTACGATGATACAATAATAATGGAAAAAAAGAGAAGACGAAAATACAGTATCAGTGAATTGGAAATTGATTTGGATAATGGTGAAGAACGTCATATTATACTTGCAGCAACGAAAATGGAAGAGATATTTAGTTTACTACCAAAAAAACCAAAAAAAGGAGGTGGTAGTAATGCTGCTGGAAAGAAGAGTCCGAGTAAAAATAATAATAATAAAAAATTGTTGAATATTTTGGAAAAATATGAAAAACCTTTAGCATCATCGTCGCCAATTATGAAAGCTGTGCAATCGTCTGGTAAAAATGTTAATTTCACGAAGAATGAAGAAATTGCGAGGGTGGATATTGATAAAAATGAAAAAGGCAAATTAGTCGAGAAAGGTAATTTTTATTTCTAATAGAATTCTATTCTATGTATTTTATGTTTCTAATTTTTTTTTTTCTTGTCAAATTTCAGAAAAACCAAAAGCCAAGTCACGAAAGAGAAAAATGTTGACAGCAGAAGAACCAGATCATGTGAGTTTTATTTCTTTTTTGTTAATAAACAACTGGGTGTCTAACAGTTAGGAAAAAGTTAGGGAATTTTTTATGAATAAATTAAAGTAACTATTAGTTTCAAAAATTTATTTTACTTTTTTCCCAAAGCAAATGTAAATTAAACAGTTGTCCTTCACACTCAATTATTAATCATGTGATATATCTTATATTCATTAAGTAAATAATTATTTACTACTATTTATTGAATCTAATAAATGATTTTTTAAACTTGAATAACAATTAATTAATTTTTTCAGTGAAATATTTGGTTTTTTAATAAAAATAAAAATTATTTGATACAATTTTATTTTATCGGTTCAACTTCAAATAAAGTAAATTAGTCATTAATACGAATAATTTTTATTATTTAATGCTAATACCCACATTTAACTTATAAAAATTTTTACGGCGTCGAATATTAAATTATCGAATTTCTATTTAGCAAAATTGTATAAAGTGAATTTTATATTATGCAAAATTTTCAATTTACATTTAACTAAAATTCGATTTAAAAGAATTTCTATTTAGCTGAACTCTTATAAAGCATTTTTTCTAATAATTTTTTTTTAAATTTTAAATTAATATAATTTCAATTTAACGAAATTTATGTTTATAAAAATTGACAAAAAAAGAACTAAGTAGAATTTTTCTTAAATGAGAATTCTGTTAAATAACAATTAGTTCGAATTAAAATTTTCTTTAATAAAAACTTTGTTAATTAAGAATTTTGTTTAATAGAAATTCTGTTAATTGTGGATTTATTCAATGACAATTCTTTTAAGTAAATATTTTTGATAAATCGAAATTTACTAAAATATCAATTTTGTTAACAAAATTTTTCTTTATACAATTTTTCTTGACATAAATTCCGTTAAATTGAAATTGTATTAATTTGAAATTCGATTTATTAGAAAATCTGCTTTATATAATTTGACTAAATAAAAATTTGATAATTTAAGATTTGACGCCGTAAAAATTCTTTTAAATTAAAATGTTGAGAATATTTATACGTCCCCCAATTAGTTTATTTATTTCACTTAAACATTTTATTTTTTACCAAACATTATATTTATTTGGTTCAAATACATATGAAATTAGTGAATGATAGACAGGTAAATTATTTAATTGTATCAAAATAAATTTTATTTGATCAAAATAAAAATTTTTTAGTGTAATTTAGGTCAGGGAAAAGTCAGGGAATTTTTTTCATAGCATTTGTTAGACACCCTGATAAAAGTTTTTTTTTTTTTTTGGGAGAGCTCATTTGGAATTTTAGAAAATATTTTTAAAAAATATAAAAATAATTGAATGTGTCAAGATTCTCAGTTTTGATTTTTAGAACCTTAATTAATTAACTTTAATTTAATTTATTCAGATTTTAAATTGAAAATTGTAAATTTGAAATGATAAAGATTTTATTTTGTAAATTTAGGATATTATTAATTGATTCTTATGTTATAATACATATAATAAATACAAATATCTACATAATAAGATATAAAACAAATATTAATATTAAAAAAAAATTCTTTAACATTTACAGACCAAAGCAAAAGTAGTCGTGCCCGAAAATTTAGCATTGCTTCACCATCCAGGAAAAGAAGATAAACTTCTGTCTTTTCTTCACGGACCTTAAGTTTTGTTTCCAATATTTTTCGTTTTCATTAAAGAATAAAAAATGTGAAAAATATTGGACGTTAAAAAGTGTTAAAGAAAAGACAAAGAAAAATAGCAACGTATTGAATGTGTTGCATTTATTACAAAAAAAAAAAAAAAAAAAAAAGAAGACTTCAACATTATAGTTAATGAATGTCACAAAACTTGTTTGTATATAATATATAAACGAAAAAAAAGTAATTAAGTTTAATGTAGTATTTAAAAACAGTTAAATTGATATAATTTTGTAAATATATACGTTTTTTCTACTTATAATATGACATAAAAAAAACGTCACACATGTTATAGTTAAAAAAACAACGTTTTTGTAACAAGACTTAAATTAAGATATAGGGCATTCTTTCTTAAATGTCTTCAGTAAAAAATGAAAAGTTATTGAATTTTTGCTTGAAATTTTGTTAAATTCTTGCCCTATATGAGGGTAACAAATTTCTAAAATATTAGTTCAAAAATATAAAAAGAATTGTAATAGAAATTAATAGTAATAAATTGTAATAGTAGAAGGGTGAAATTTAAATTGAAAATTTTGAAATTCATAGAACTTTATAGAATTTAATTTTTATTTATTGAATTGCAGAGCATTTTTTTTACTATTCAATACAAAAAATACTTTTTTTTAAAAAAAAATTTTTTTTTGCCCCCAATTGAATAAAAATTTAATTTTGAAAAAACTTCTGACATTGAAAGAACAGGAAAAATTCTTTAAATATTCACTATAAAAAAAATTAAAATTCATAAAGTTATTCCACAGATATTTGAATTTAAAAATTTTCAGCCTCCACTATTTTGTAGAAATTTTTTGAAAATAATTTACAATTTTAGGGAAATTATCTTATTCTTCATATAAAATAAATTACCAAAGTTTCAATCGAATTCAATAATTTATTTTTTCTCTCGAGAGCCATTTCGGAAAAAAATGTCTCACATAAAAAATTACTAATTTCTTGTATAATTTGTTTTCTTCGATTGTCAATTATTCTCCTACGTAAAATTTAACATGTCTCACACGATATAACTTTCAAATCCATTGTATGTACCTATGTCTATTTAAGCTTTAAAAAAAATGGACTTTTCTTTCAGTATTTTAATTTTATGTTTTTGACAAGTACTTTTTTTTATTTTCATTTATATTAAGTTAGATATAGTGCTCATTTATTTATAAACATATATACAAATAGAAATCTCACTACTGATAAAAATGTTTTTAAAAAAAAGCTGTAGATAATAGTTGCGTGAAATATTCTGTAAAGTAGACATAAGGCTCATAATATACAAATTATTTATTTGTATTCTTCTTTTTTTTGCATCGCGACAGACGTATATTTTTTATTAAATTGCATTAAACATTGAAACAATTGTTATTTTTTATATTAAAAAATAAGAATGTAAAAAAACATTCTCACCCATTCATGGGGGGAAAATAAAAAAAAAATTGAAAATTTTAATTTGTTGCATGAATATTATCTTTTCCTTTGAAATGAATTATTAAACCAAAATTTCTTTCACAGAAAATTGTTAAGGGGAATCACCACCTTTATATTGAGTCATTTAAATTTTAATAATAGCAGGATTATAATTTTTTCAAGTCTGATTTAAGCAATTCATTTGAATTAAAAATTTTGTCAATAGTTTTTAGTTTTTATGGTCAAAAAAATTTCACGCAATATTTAATCAAGTTTTACAGATTTTTAAATAAAATTTTTTTTTAAATAATGATAATTTTGGAAGAGTTAAAGTTGAAATTTTTAGAAATAATTGAATTTCAAAAGATTATGTTAAATTTCAGACAATAAATGTAATAAGAGAACTCAAAATAAAATTGGTGACTCCCAATAATAAAATTAAATATTCTAATTTATTGATTATAAGTAATGAAAAGATGAATAAAATTAAAGATATTGTAAATAAAATAATCCTCTGTTTTATTTATTCTTATTTTATTTATATATCAAAATGTTGAGACATATAGATAATGAAATAGGATAAATTATCATGAACTGACAAAAATGAATAGTTATTAACTAAATTATCGATTTTAAATTCGACGAAAAAATTAACAGAATGAATGTTTATAAAAATACATATAAATTTTTTTTCCATTAGATTCTACTATTTAAATACAATATATACATACAACAAGTTCAATTATATTGAACGAAAAGTATATTTTTTTTTTTATTTTTTTTTTAAATAGCAGAATCTTAAGATTTTTCCTTGACTGCTTGATCAACTTCATCGACAATTTCTACAAATTTTCGCCACAATTTTGGATTCAATGAAATGCCTGAAAAAAGCAAATATATATTATTGAAAGATATTCTCTCTCTCTCTCTCTCTCTCTCTCTCTCTCTCTCTCTCTCTCTCTCTCTCTCTCTCTCTCTCTCTCTCTCTCTCTCTCTCTTAATGTAAAAATAATTTGTAACCTTTCTTTGATGGCTTTAATTCTCCGCTGTTTTTATCCTCGTACATGTAACGAATATCGATTAATGTTTTGCCTTTAAAATCACGAACTGTAACTAGACATTTTTCATCTAATTCCCAAACACCGTCATTTTTTGGTTTTTTGCTTGAAGATCCTTCCTTACTTTCTTTTTGTTTAACCTCCTTTTTTGGCCTTTTCTTTCCCTTTTTTTCAGCCTAAAATTTAAAATTAATTAAATTATCATTTTCTTTAATTAATATTATTTAAATAGTAATTTTTTTCTTTAATCACCTCAGAGGAACTTCCACTCGCAGAGCTATCATCACTGTCGATGAATTCCTTCGATTTCGGCATTTTGAATTTGAATCAAACTAAAATAAAATAGTAACAAGAATACAAGGTGAAAATATTTTTAAAAATTTTACTTTTTTCAAAAGTTTAAAAAAAAAACTAACGTTTAAAAATCACGAAAATCAAAACAAAGTGTCAATTTTATTTTTTTATCAAAAAGAAAAGTGCAAAGGAAATATTAATTTATGTTCCGTAAGTTTTTATTTAATTTAATGATTTTACTTTATCGTAATTTGTGGATAAAAATCGCCAAATTAGGTTATTTAACAGTTTAGATTATACTTTACTTTTAGTTAAGTTTAATTATTTTAATTTTATTTAACATAACCTAAATTTTAATAATAATTTTTCATATACAATACGACATTTTTCAAAACAAATTTCCTTTTATTTTTACTAAAAATCTGTTTAATTAAAAAGTTTTTTTTTTGTTGTTAAAAAATAAGAAAATACGAAAATTAAATAATTTTTCGTTTTGACTGTCAGGTCTATAATTTTTCCTTACATATATTTATTTTACAATTCATTTTTTAGTTTTAAAACTTTGGACAAAATGGTACATGAAATGAAATTAAATATAAAATTTTTTAAAAATATTTTCTAGTCGTGGAAAATATATTAAATAACGATCGGAAACTATATCAGATCGATTAAAAATAAAAAATACTTTTTTGAGAATTATCTAGAAAAAATTTTTTTTATCAATAAATTGTCAAAACTTGTATACAAATTGCATAAAGAAATCAAAAGAAATAATCCATCTATTTTTAAATAATACAAAAATTTTCTATTTCTAAGTTATCAAATATTTGTAATATTTTAATGCAACATAAATTAATTTTTCCTAAATATATGAATAAAATACACACACATTCGTATATCTATATATGCACTTATAGAATCAACTAAAATAATCTACAATTTTCCATTAAAATGAAAGCAAAGAATTTGGAAAAATTTCTCATTTTAAATAATAAAACATTTAATAAACATCAAGGAATATGGATATTTTTCTTTTATTGAATTTTACGTAAAAATAAAGAAACAAAACAAATTTATTACAACGTATACAACATCTGACAAAATAAATATAATGCGCTATCACAGGGAACAAAATTTGTTTGTTCTCTTTTTTCTCAATTCAAACGAACATATTTCTTTTTTACTGTAATTTTAGCTAACAAATTTCTTATCAAAAAAATCAGGATATATGTTTAGACAAAAAAAAAGATAAATATTAAAAGATTTATACTTACATTATAATTGACAAAAAAAAAACCGTTGAACGGAGATGGAATTGATTTACAAGCCTCAACACGCCGTGAATATTTACCGGAAAATGGCGTCTTCACTTTTTTTTCGAAAAGCGCGACTTTATAGCGGCTTTTTTGAATAATAAATTTCAAAGTCAAGTTCACATGATTGCAATTTGGCGCTTAATTTAAAAATTTAAGAAAGTTTATTAAAAAAATGTTCTGTCTTCATTATTTAAAAACTGATAACGAGGATTAAATTTTTAATAATGATTAGATAGATTTATTATTATTATTATTATTATTATTAATTATTACTATTATTAATATACAAAAAACCTGTTATTCTAAAAAATATTTTATTTAGAAAATAATTTTAATTGGAAAAATATTCAATGGTGTTATTTATTTTTAATGGAAAATTTATATCAAAGAACAATTTTATTCGAATAATTATTATTTACATTGTGAAAATATGTATGAGTCATATATATGTACAATCGCCAATATATAATATTATATTTGTGGAAAAAAAAATTACTTAAAAAAAAAATACTGAAATTAAAAACACTTTTTTTTCCCCCTTAAGGATTAAATATTTACGATACACTATAAAGTAATTTTAATATTTTGTATGAAAAACTAATAATGAAACTAAAGATTATAATGTTTATATAAAATATAGAAAATGTTATCCTACAAAAATGAAATACATAATTTTCATACGATCTACTTTTTACATTTAAAAAATTTTTTTATTTTGTAAAATCAATGATTTTTTGATAGTTTATAAAAGTTTTTTTTGTTCTCTTCAATGCAGCTTGAAAAAAGATATCAAAAAGCAAAAAAAAAAAAAAAAAAAAAAAAAAAACAAAATTACAAATAATTTATAAAGCGAATATGAAGCATTTTTTTTTTTTGTTTTTGTGAGAGGGATTATTCTTTTTTATTTTTAGGACTTGAAATTGTAATTAATTTAACTCTACGTGGAGTTTTAACAAGTGGTAATTCAATTTTTGTTGGTGTTTGTTTACCAATTACTTTAACACAACTATCAGTATTATTTTCCTCATTATAAACTAATTTTATATCCTCTGTTTCTTCGAATATTTCATTAATGTTATTTTTTTTTTTTTCATTTGATAGATTTTTTCGACTAGTATCCTCATTTATTAATTTAACATCACCATTTGTCATTGTTTTTAAATTAGTGTCAACATTCAATTTTTTCAATTTTTCATCACTGTCATTTGTTGTGGTTTTTAAATTATTATCACATTTTTCAACGGCAATATCAATGTCCATTGCATTACTATCAATATCAATGAATGGTTGACGAGTTTCTAATTTTTTTGGCGTTAAATTGTTGTCGTTTTTAATTTCTTTTGTTTTTTGTCCATCCACCATTGGAGGTTGTGTTTTCATCTCGTAAATTTTGCCCAATTCATCGTCTTGAAATAAAATTATCGAACAATAACCATCGGTTGAGGATACCATTAAAATTTTTCCATCCGACGACCTTAAATATATGGAAAAATTTATGAATAATTATGATAAAAATAATAAAAATTTGATTAAAATATATGAGTTACGATATTTATAGCAATTAGAAAATATATAGGATAACAAAATCATTTTTGAAAGTATCAAATTTTACTTTTAAATTAGACTTCAAAGACTTTGTTCGAAATATTATAATACTCTGAAACATTGGATTAATTTATTGTAAATTACAGGGTGTCTAGCAACTGCTAGGAAAAAAAATTCCCTGACTTTTTCCTGACCTAAATTACACTAAAAAATTTTTATTTCAATCAAATAAAATTTATTTCGATACTTAAATAATTTACCTGTCTATTATCCACTAATTTCATATGTATTTGAACCAAATAAATATAATGTTTCGTAAAAAATAAAATATTTAAGTGAAATAAATAAACTAATTATGGGACGTATAAATATTCACAACATTTTAATTTAAAAGAATTTTTACGGCGTCAAATCTTAAATTATCAAATTTTTATTTAGTAAAATTATATAAAGCAGATTTTCTAGTACATCGAATTTCAAATTAATATAATTTCAATTTAATGGAATTTATGTCAAGAAAAATTGTATAAAGAAAAATTTTGTTAACAGAATAGTTATTTTAGTAAATTTCGATTTATCAAAATATTTACTTACAAGAATTGTCATTGAATAAATCCACAATTAACAGAATTTCTATTTAACAAAATTTCTTAATTAACAAAGTTTTTATAAAAGAAAATTTTAATTCGAACTAATTGTTATTTAACAGAATTCTCATTTAAGAAAAATTCTATCTAGTTCTTTTTTTGTCAATTTTTATAGACATAAATTTCGTTAAATTGAAATTATATTAATTTAAAATTTTAAAAAAGTATTAGAAAAAATGCTTTTTAAAAGTTCTGCTAAATAGAAATTCTTTTAAATCGAATTTTAGTTAAATGTAAATTAAAAATTTTGCATAATATAAAATTCACTTTATACAATTTTGCTACAAAATTCGATACAATTCGATAATTTAATATTCGACGCCGTAAAAATTTTTATAAGTTAAATGTGGGTATTAGCATTAAACAATAAATTATTCGTATTAATGAATAATTTACTTTATTTGAAGTTGAACCGATAAAATAAAATTGTATCAAATAATTTTTATTTTTATTAAAAAATCAAATATTTCACCTAAAAAAAATTAATTTATTGTTATCCAAGTTTAAAAAATCATTTATTAGATTCAATAAATAGTAGTAAATAATTATTTACTTAATGAATATAAGATATATCACATGCTTAATAATTGAGTGTGAAGTCCAACTTTTGAATTTGCATTTGCTTTGGGAAAAAAGTAAAAAAAAATTTTGAAACTAATAGTTACTTTAATTTATTCATAAAAAATTCCAGAAAATTAAAAGAAATTCCCTGACTTCCCTGACCGTTAGACACCTTGAATTATAAAAAAATAAACGAACAAAAAGAATTAAAGATTGAATTTGAAATTAAATTATTACTCACCAAGCGACATCCGTCAGTCTTGTGAAATGAATATTGGAAACAATGGCAATGGGTGAAGTTTGTTGTGTATCATAAATGACAACAGAACGATGAGTGGCGACAGCAAAAATCATTCTATAAGGCAATGGAATTACAGATTTTGGTCCATCTTCACGTAATTGAAAATATAAAGGACAACAACGAACAGCAATTGTCTGTTCTTCCGATGATGGTAAAATCATAACGGGTCTGAAAAATTTATTTAAAATTCGTTAATTAGTTTCTATTAATAGATATCAATATTCTATTATTTTATTTGCTACTTTATTCTATATTACCATTATCTTTTTTTAACTCTTCCATATCGATAATATTTTAAATTCTTTTAATTTATTTATCATATTATAAATGAACTTACTCTTTTAAATTATGCCTCGAAAAAACAATAGTCGCATTTGCTATTTTATCAGTAGTTTCCTGAGGTTCAATAATTCCTGACGGAGCAATAATAAGAGTTCCATCTGGCGTATAAGTTAATCGTCGAAAAAACGATTTAAATGTATCGTCATAAAATAATCGAACCAATTTTCCATCGAGTGGATGTCCAGTTGGTGTTGGTATTTTTGCTTTTGTTACACGTTGAACTGTTTTCTTTGTATTGAGATCGACCAATCGACACTGTCTAAATTTATAAATTAAATTTTCTTTTTTACTATGATAATAAAAATTCTTTAAATTGCATATAGTATTTTTTTTCTAGGATAGAATTTTTTACAATTTTCTTTGTAATGTTTTTATATTATTTTTAAAATAACTAAAAAATTTTAAAATATTTTTACTCTTTTTAATTGATTTGGAAAATTTTACCTATCGGAACTTAATGTGCAAACATATTGATTGCAAGGATCCCACGTGACTCCTTGAACAAAACCTTTATAATCGGACAATATACAATTACTTCGTCCTTTATTTAAATCCCATAAAATTGCGGTATTATCGACAGATCCCGAGACAAGGGAACTCGAGTCTGGTGACCAACATATGTCATAAATATCTTCAAGATGTCCTTTCAATACCTTCCACGATGTCCATTGTTCTTTATTTGAATTTTCCTCGCCAAGAAATAAATTTAATTCAGATTCTTCTCGTTGTTTCCACAATATAATTATTGATTCTAAGTGACAAAAAAACAAGAAATAGTAAGTTTTTTTTTTTAATAATAATAAATTAATATATCAATTAATAAATAAATATTATTATTATTATTTGTATTAATCCCTCCCTGTACACCTTTTAGTAGGTTTTTACATTAATTTTCAAACCCTTACGTTATGAATATTTAGTATATATCCCTAATAGTAAAATAATTTTATAAATTTTTATATTTATCACTCGGTAAAGGTTTTAAAGAAAATAGAAATTTTTATTTTATTTAACTCGGAGTGATTGGTAATTTTTTTTTTAATTTTTAATTTGAATTAAAAATAATTAATTTAAGTTTTAGTTTCTTTCTCTTTTCCTTACCGTCATCGGCAGACGCTAAAATTTCACCTGAAGGTGAAAAACGTACGACATTTATTGCCTTTTGATGTCGTTCTAAATCAGCAACACAAGAAACAATCGATCCACCGGTATCGTTTATTAATAAATGCCAAATCTGTTTTTTTAATTAGAAAAACCAAATATAAATTAATAAAACAACAATAATTTTAAAAAAACATCACGTTAATTTAGTACATTTTAAAAAATTGATTAATAATTTTTAGACATAAATTTCAAAGAATAATTCTATTTTTTTTATACAATATTTTCTTATCTAAACAATAATTTATTAACTTTATAATTATTATTTATTTATTTATTTCTCTCCATGTACATCTCTTTGGATTTTTACATAACAATAATTTATTATTTTATTCTGAATCATTTTTCTATAAAAATCAAAAAAATAATTTCGAAATACATATATATATATAAATATTGAGAAATAAAATTTATTAAAACATTAAATTTTTAATGAAAAAATTACTAAATAGAAATAATAAATAATTCCTTTGTAAAGTTTTGTATAAAAAAAGAAAAAAAAACAAAATGCACTTGATGTAAAACCTGTTGAATGTTTTTTATTTTTATGACATTCGACAAAGGATAAATTTAAATCTTTTTTAGAAATTAAAATCTTAATTATTTGAGATGAAATATTTGAGTGATAATTCGCAAATAATGAATTTTTAAAAAAAAATATCTCACCAAAACGTGAGAATCTGCTCCTCCAGTGACAATTCTCCAAAATGTTTCTTCTGATGAATTTTTCCAATTTCCCACTTGTATATCGATACTTAATACTGGATCACGATTATGCCATGAAATTTCAGGTATTGAGCACTTCATGATTTATTGAAAACTTTAAAATATAATATTATAATATAAGAAATAAATTAAAAAATAAAGAAAACCAAGTTTGACTTTGTCAACAATTCATAACCTTAAATTTTGTGTTCGATTGTTGCCGGAGAATGCACATAAAGCGCGCGATCTTCAATCGGTTAAAATCGTTAATTTCCGTCAAAATTCCAATAGATTGACCAATTAAATAATTAGTGTAAGGGAATAATTTTTACCATAATGCAATTGTTAACTCAAAATTTCTATTTAAAAAAAAGAGGGAAAAAATATGTAAACAATTTTTATCAAAACATGATAGAAAAAAAGACGAAAAAATTGAAAAACATCGCTAATGTATTTTAGTAGGCATTTTTCAATGTTTGTACACAAATATATTGTTTATTTAAGAATTGAAGAGTATTTTACAATAGAATTTTATAATTTTCCAAATAAATGAAATCCTAACCTCAAAATTGCTTAATCTTAATGTTTGTTTTTTTAATTTTTTAAATTTGCAATTCTAAGTAAAACATTAATAAATAATTATTCAAAAGTAAAAAAGAATAATTATTTGAAAGTTTTTCTTTGGAAAAATTACTACTGGATATATTTAATTACTATTAGATATAAATAATAAAATAATACAATGAAAAAAAAAATATTCTTAAATTTTCTGTAATATATTTCTGGCAGTTTTTTCCTTTGACTGCATGGCACAAACAATAAAATTACAATACAATTATATGTACAAGTGTTCATATTAAAAAATGACTATATATATATATGTAAAAATATTATACATATACCAAAGATTAGAATTATTATTATATATATATTAATAATATTATAGTATAATTACAATAAAGCTACGTATATTATTAAAAGATAAAATTTTATAGTCTTACAATTTTATAATTGCACAAAAAAAGTGCATAACAGGAATCTATTTGTTCTTTTTTCTTCTTCTTTTTGTCAAAATTTTAAAATGAAGACATATTACAAATCTCGATGCGTCAAGAAAATTTTTTTTTGTATTTTTTCTTCTTCTCATCCTCAATTTAATATTCTTCATGAAATATATATTTAATTTTTTTTCTAATCACTATCGTCTGTATTTCTAGGTGCTCGAGTCAATGGACGTCGACTATCTTCATCTGATCCATAAATTACTTCCTCATCCGAATCATTTATCATTGAAAAAGATGGATTATCTTTTGTTATCGATGAATCTGTAAATATCAAAGAATTTTCAAAATTGTACAGGAAAAAAATTTACAGGTACGTAAATTATAATTTTTGATTTTTTTTTCTTTTTCAGAGTGTCTTAACAAATGCTAGTAAAAAAATTCCCTAACTTTTACCTGACCTAAATTACACTAAAAAATTTTTATTTTGAAAAATAAAATTTATTTTGATACAATTAAATAATTTACCTGTCTATTATCTACAAATTTCATATGTATTTAAACCAAATAAATATAATGTTTCGTAAAAAATAAAATATTTAAGTGAAATAAATAAACTAATTATGGGACGTATAAATATTCACAACATTTTAATTTAAAAGAATTTTTACGGCGTCAAATCTTAAATTATCAAATTTTTATTTAGTAAAATTATATAAAGCAGATTTTCTAGTACATCGAATTTCAAATTAATATAATTTCAATTTAACGGAATTTATGTCAAGAAAAATTGTATAAAGAAAAATTTTGTTAACAGAATAGTTATTTTAGTAAATTTCGATTTATCAAAATATTTACTTAAAAGAATTGTCATTGAATAAATCCACAATTAACAGAATTTCTATTTAACAAAATTTCTTAATTAACAAAGTTTTTATAAAAGAAAATTTTAATTCGAACTAATTGTTATTTAACAGAATTCTCATTTAAGAAAAATTCTATCTAGTTCTTTTTTTGTCAATTTTTATAGACATAAATTTCGTTAAATTGAAATTATATTAATTTAAAATTTTAAAAAAGTATTAGAAAAAATGCTTTTTAAAAGTTCTGCTAAATAGAAATTCTTTTAAATCGAATTTTAGTTAAATGTAAATTGAAAATTTTGCATAATATAAAATCCACTTTATACAATTTTGCTAAATAGAAATTCGATAATTTAATATTCGACGCCGTAAAAATTTTTATAAGTTAAATGTGGGTATTAGCATTAAATAATAAAAATTATTCGTATTAATGAATAATTTACTTTATTTAAAGTTGAACCGATAAAATAAAATTGTATCAAATAATTTTTATTTTTATTAAAAAACCAAATATTTCACTGAAAAAAATTAATTAATTGTTATGCAAGTTTAAAAAATCATTTATTAGTTTCAATAAATAGTAGTAAATAATTATTTACTTATAATGAATATAAGATATATCACATGCTTAATAAGTGAGTGTGAAGGCCAACTTTTTAATTTGCATTTGCTTTGGGAAAAAAGTAAAAAAAATTTTGAAACTAATAGTTACTTTAATTTATTTATAAAAAATTCCAGAAAATTAAAGAAATTCCCTGATTTTTCCCTGACCGTTAGACACCCTGTTTTTTATAAAGATAAATTTCTTCGTCCCTTAACATTTTATTTGATAGCATTAATTTTATGGGAACAGTTTAAGATATTTAATTAATTTACTTGTCTTGTGTTCTAAAATAATTTTGATTATTTTAATATTAAATTAATAGAAAACCATTAATAATTTAAATAATAATAATTCACTATTACAATTATATGGATAATAGTAATAATTTTAAAGATAATATAATAATGAAAAGTTCGCTCTCTGCAGATACACATAGGCTTTCGATGAATTAACTCGAATTAAAAGTTAAATTTTTGTAAATTTAGTTTTAAGTTACTTAAAGAGTATTTTTTAAAATAGTGTATTTTATGTAAGGGAAATGTAAAAGGCCGAAAGGTCATACATATGAAACCAAAAAAATAAAAAAAATATATATATAATGAACAGTTAATTGAAATAATTAATAAAAATAGAAAAGTGAAAGAAAATTAACTTACGTTGCCCATAAACTTGTTGAAGAGCAGGTGCATAAACGTAAGCCATAGTGTAGAGATAGAAATTTAAAAGACCATAGAGGGCCATAAATTGGGCTGAAGTATGATAATAAGTTGAAAGTCGAGAAGCAAAACTATCTTCAAATACACCAGCACCAAATTTTCGCGCTGTAACTAAAGCACAAACTCCTATGACAACTGCCGCCAAAAGAGTTAAAAATCTCAATCGAAGATCTAAAAAATGACAATAGTATTTGTTTATTAATTTAGTTTATGATTAATATTGTAAAATTATTTGAAAAATATTAAACGAAATTTCTAAACGAGAGATATCACAAAAGTTTTTCATAATTAAAAATTTTAATTAATTAAAAAATTGTTATTATAAAGAGAATGGAAAATTAAAATTTCTTATTCAAATTACCAAAGTATGGCATCGATCGTAATTCACTGTAGGCCCTAAGAATAAGTAACAGAAGATAGGCGCCATAAATTCCTCCCATCGTCAGAAAAAATACTTTAAAACCCTAAAAAAGAAAGATTAAAATAAATTATCATAGAAACAACATAATACTTAATAAAATATAATAGGTTTGTAAGGATAAAATAAAAAAATTCAATATTTAATATTTCTTAACTTACGTAATAATTTGAAGTATCAAGAATATAATTATACGTAGGATCTTCGAGTTCTGTACACCTGAGCCAAGTTGCTAGCGTGAGACCAGCACCCCATAATAATCCAACAATCAATAATTTTGGCAAATAAAACGTTGCTATTCGCCTCTCGTTCTGAAATTTAATTATACCTTAATTAATAAATTAAAAATAAAATCTTGAATTGAATATTTCAAACTATTATAATAAGCATAATATATTATCAATGTAATAAATTAAATTTTAAATAATTAATAAATTAAATTAGTTAAATTAATTTCACGAATATTTAATTAAAATTATTGTTTTGAGCTAAAAAAAAAAAAATAATTACCTGACGCAAACCATGATAAACACAGAGCCAAAACATTAGAATCGCACAAAGAAATGTTGTTTGAAGTACTGCGTCGAGCATACCAGGAATCCATGAATTCACTAAGAATATTAATGGAAATAATGGATCTGAAAATAATAAAAAAATTACTAATTTTTATCTGAAAGATAATCTTCAAATGTTATAAATATTTTCCATTAATTTTATTATTTTTTGTACGAGAAAAAAAACGCAAAAAAATTTTCAAATAAAGTGTTGAAAAATAATTTAAATAAATCTTCATTTACGATCTAAAAGAATAGAAAAAAAATATATTTAATAAAAATTGTTTAAAAAACTTGTTTTTAAATTACATGTACTAAGCAAATTTTTTAATTATTTAGAAATAAATTTTTTAAATCTTATTTTAAAGAAAATTGTAAATCCTATTCTAAATATATTAGAATCGAAATTTTTTTTTTTTTGTAAAATGTAATTCAAAAACTCACTATTATAGAGAATAAGTAGTGGCAATAAAATAGAGATCCATTTTTGTTCAATTGACCAATCGTGCACATGATATTTCCTCAAAGAATGTCCAAACCAACACTAAAATAGAAGAAAACAAATTCTTATTATTTCAAAATAAATTACACAAAAACGGGATATATATCTAAAAAAGAAATATATGATAATAATTATAAAAATCAAATTTTTTTTTTACCGTCACTACAAATGTAGCCAGAAGAAATATTAATCTGAACCAAATTTCAATTTGCGTAAAATCAGGATCATAGTTCTTAAACTGTTGAGAATAAAAAAAGAATCGTATTAATTGTAACATTGAAATAGATTAAAATATATTTTTTTTTTCTAACAGATTTATTGCTTACTGACGTAGAATGTGAGGTTTCGTATTGTGTAACGTTGATGAAAACTCTCGAGTCCATAAAATCGTACAGTTATTATATAGTGACTAAAATGAAGAAATCCTAAATGAGCTATTACAAATTCTTCGCAATTTTGTCTCTCGCATTTTAAATGTCGCGTTCTAGAAAAAAAAATCATAAAATTATTATAATAAATGCAATATTTTATAGTTTATTTAATACCTTTACAATATTTTTTGTTCAAATTTAAAAATTATAATTTAACAAATACAGAAAAATTCTTTTAAATTTAAAAATAATAATAATAAATGCTGAAAAATTTCCATATATTTTTTTATAAATTAAAAAAAAATTAATAATCATTTTTAATTAAATTAAAATAAAAAAAAAAATTTAATTTTAATCAAAAACGTGACAAATTTTCGAAATTACCTATTATGTCCAGATTCTGCAGTTAAAACCGGATCCAATTTTCGATCATTTGTGATTCCATCTATCAGAACGCTCACTTGAAAACTTTTGTCATATCTTTCGTCTGAAATTTTTGTTTAATAAATAATTTTACAATAAATCAGAAGCTCGAGTTAAATAAAATAAACGAAATCATTTCAAGGTATTTTTGATACTATTCATTTTTGTAAATATTTAAATGTAATTAAAAACAAAATTAAAAATTATTTTCAAGTATTTGATAATTTACTCATATTTTTAAATTTATTTATATTTAGTTTTCAGTTTTTTTCAAAATTTAATTCTTATAAATTTCATTACATATAAAATTCAATTATTATTTTTAATCCAATTGTTTTGGTAAAATTTAATTATTTTAATTATTTTTCAAATTCAATTAATATCAAGTTTTAATTTATGTTCAAAAAGAAATTTCTTTTATTATCGATTTGCAAAAAAAAAAAAAAAAAATTGAAAGAATGTATTTTTGTGACGTACCATCGCTATTTAAAGTTGATAATTTAGCAATAATCCAAAGTTGTTGACTATACGTTGAAAGCGGCGGAGTTTTCATAATAAAAGGACCATTTGGCATTTCACTGCCATTTGGATGTGCCTTTTCCGGTGTTGTCGCAGTTATTGGTGGTCCTATTAATAAAATTGAGAAAATAATTTAAAAATTAATTAAACTTCTTTCAATTAATTAATTTGTTCTCCGATAATTTTTTTAGTATCACAAGAAAAATAATAAATAAAAAAAAATAAATTAGAAATAAATTTATATTTTCACTGTATATTTTTATTTACATTTTAAACGGGATTACAAAAAAGAAAAATTTGCCCTTTTGTACCAAAGTACTAAAAATTATAAAATATATTAATTGTTTCTTGAAAACTAAATGTGAATAATAATTAAATTAATTAATTAATCATATAAAATTGGAAAAAAAAATTATTAAATTAATTTAAATTTTACCTGTAAGTCCAATAAACACAGATAATCCAAAGCAAGCAAAAAAAGCCACGAAAACCATGACAAATTCCCTCTTGTGCATGGAATATAATCGCATTTGAACTGATCTGAAATTTAAAAACAAAAAATTATGTTAAATTGACGACAAAAATTTAATTAGGTAATTTTTAATTATTTCAATTAAAATAAATTATATTTTAATTTTTCATTTTTCTTCAAATTTATAAAATTACAATAGATATTTTAAATTTTTCTCCTCTCGCCAATATAACAAATAAATAATATTTATAATGAAATTATATAGTCATTACAAAGAAATCAAAAAATTCACTAAATGAAATTTGAAGTGAAAATTATTTAAAATTGAAGAAAAGGACAATTTTTCAAACCCCATTGTATTAGATTTATCATTTATTACAATCAGATGTTATTTTGAAATTTCTATCTGAGACATAATATAAAAAGATATATTAAAATAAATAAGAAAATACCTTTCGCATCTGTCGTGATGATATGCAGGTGCAATGTGTTTATTAAATTCGCTAAAAAGATCACTGCACTGTGATAGAGCATTTCTAACCTTGAGATTCCATCCAGCCGATGGAAGATGATAAGAATATCCTAAATTCGGACTTCCCATTTTCATTTTCATTTTCCTGAATTTCAAATTGTAAATTCTTTAAAAACATGATTATATAAATAATTGTTACTATCCTTTTTAAAATCTCTTTAGAAAAATAAATTCTTTTCAAATAACTTCAATTTTACTTAAATCAAGAAGTTGTCAAAATAAAAACGAATCGATTAGAAATAAACACTGTGTAAAATATTTGAAATAATAATATTTGTTTCCTAAATAAAAATAATTATTAACATCCAAATAAATATCATCTAAAATATTATTATTATTATGACAATTAGTAATAATGTAGGCAACAAGAAATTTAAATTACATAATTCACGAAACCATTTTCACAACTATAATAATTTTCCATTTGATTAATTAATTTCTTGTCATCTACCTAATACTAGGATATTTATTAAGAAATAAATTAGAAAAGAAATTTAATTAGCGGTTTTCGATTAATTTCAACGCGATCAATTTAATACGTTTTCAACGAACTAAAGTTTTATTTCATTAAATTTACAAAATTTAAATGTTAAGTATATATATTTTAATTAAAATTCAATTTTTATTAACTTTAAACAATTTAATTTGTGTAAAATACACTGAAATTTAGATGAAATTTAATTATTATTAAATCAAACAAATATTACATGTTTATTGAAACAAAATGGAAAATTTTCGAATAATTTGCAAATAATAATAAAGTTAATAAAATAAATAATTGAAAAAAAAAATTAATACCTGTTCTATAAATTGTCCTTGGCACTGTTTTCTTTCTTTTTTTTAAATTGATTGTTTATCTATTTTTTTGGAAAACACAAGAATTGATGAAAAAATTGTGGAAAAATTAACATATCTTAATATCGGTGACTTAATAATAATTGAAAAAATTTTGTTTTTTTTCTTATTTTGTTTCCTTTTTTTTTTAATTTTATTTACTAGAACTTCCCTTGTGTATAAACTAAACTAATGTGCACTCTTACAATAAGGTACGAACAGTACTCAGACTTAACGGCGCACATTATTGATTTTTCACTTTTCCTATACATATGGCGTTGCTTTCATTTGATTCCTGTTGACGGAACAAGCGCGCGCTCTTCCCGGGAAAACTATAGGAAAAAATTGATAAAGACACAATATTTTTCTTCAATATCATTTCTCGTTTCTTTTATTTTGATTGATTATTAAAAATATAATTTTTTTCAAATTACAATTTTTATTTCCTTCTTTTTATTGTAAGTTTTATTTTCTAATTGTATTTTATTTCTTTTATCTTGTTTTATAAAAAGAAAAATTATTTTTTTAATAAATCTTCTGCTTTGATTCAAAAATTAATTCTTTGTTCTATAACTTAATTATTTTTCTATATACTTAAGGCGTAAGTACAAAAAAGAAATTTTCTTTTTTTTTAAATAAGAAATAAATTCTAATTTACCGCAGTAAAAAAATTATTTATATTTACACTATGCACAATTAGAAAAAAAAAATTATTTTTCTAATCCCAGTATTTGATTTTCCCATCCCAACCGGCGGTCGCGAGTTTTGACGGTTCATGAGGATGCCACATGGCAGAAATACAAACTCCATCATGAGCTTTCCATTTTTTATATAATTTCGTTGTTTTCCAATCCCAAACGTAGCATTTTCCATCTCCATCACCTGACACAAGATAGCTGAAAAAATACATTTTTTTTCATTTATCGTGACAGAAGAAAAATTTATTTACTGTTTTCTGTTTAGTAAAATAAATTAAATTTCTATTAACCTTCCGTCACTCGTTTAGAAAGAAAACTCTATTGTTTATTTAAAATCTATTATTCTTTTATTTATTTCAGAATTTAATTTTTAAATAGAATTTAAATTAAAATTATTTTTATTTTCTAAAAGCAAATTGTTATATTATATAGAAAATTTTATTGGATTTTATATTTGATTGTTTTTCTAGCCCAAAGAAAAACCTTCTTTTTAAAAACTTTTCAGAAAGTTTTTATTTTTTTAAAATAATTTATCGACGATAATAAATTTTTGTTATTTATTTATATTTTATTTGATTTCATATGTATGACCTTTGGGCTTTTTAAATTTCTCTCATATAAATGGTTTTCTCGATTTTTAACAAAATAAATTTTTGTTTTTTATTTTCATAGAATTTTGAAATGATTTATTTAAAAAATGATTATTTTTTTAAATATTCATTTGAATTTATTTTTCTTTTTTAATATAAAGTCCTAATGTAGAAAAAATTGAAATTTTATTTCAACATCGCGAAAAAATCATGACTTTTATTTACAAATTTAAATGAACACCCAAAAATTGCTTCTTTATCTTTATTATAAATAAATTCGTAAATTAAATATTCTAATTTAATTTTGACGGAAAAGAAAATTGTTTCTCTTTTGTAGTTATTATAAATGAAAAATTCAATTGAATTTTAATTTAAAAAAAAAATCAATGACAAAAAGAAAAACATACCTCATGTCGGGTGAGAAATCCAAGCCACAAGCATAACCAGCAACCATGTGACCAGTGAATGTTTTCTTTCGATTCATTTTAAACCTATTGAGCGCGGAAAATATGACAATTTTATTATCCATGCTTTGACATGCTAACCACTTTTGATTTGGTGATGGTGTTACAGCAGGCATAGAATGCATTGTTGGATCCGCAATGTATTTCATGTCCACTGGAATGTCCCTGCAAACAAAAATTAAACACAGAATTAAAATTTGTAATTAATAGATTAAAATTGCAAACTAATAATAATTTATTTAAAAATAAACTTCTTTTAAAAATGAATAAGTTAAACAAAAATTTTTAATAAAACTAGAAGCTTAAATGTAAATTTAAAAAATTTTGATTTTATAAAGAAATTGAATATTTTTTTTTGTAAATTACTCTAACAAAAATATTCTAATTTTATTATTTTTAACAGTATATACAAATGGGACATTTTTGTTCCCCTATATTGAATAAATAAATAAATTCTAACACTTACCATTCCCAAACACGAAGACTTTTATCGTCCGAAGTAGTGACAAATCTTCTATTTTCATCAACAAATGTTATTGTATTAACAGCTCCCAAATGTCTATCGTATTCTTGTGTTATTTCTCCCGATCTTATATCCCACTAAAATTTAAATCAATTTTTAAACGTAAATATTTAGAAAAAATATTATTAAAAAATGGGAGAAAATAATTGAAATTTATGAAGAGCTATAGTTTGTACTTAGACAGTAATAAATATTTTGTTTTTAATTTAATAAATTAATTAATTTTCAATTTTATTTTGCAAAATAAATCGAAAAAGTCACCTTTTATTAGAATAAGCCGAAAAAAGTATAATATAATGATAATAATAATAATTTATCAATACTCACGCAAATAATCTTCTTGTCACTTGTTCCAGCGACAAATAACTGTTGTTTATCAGAATCGGGATTGAATTTAACGCAATACGGTACTTTGCGACTGGTAAATTTACTCAAACATGCGCCAGTTTCTGTGTCCCATAATTTTACATAACGATCGTAACCCGCTGAAAGAAATCTTTTGCCATCATTATCAAAACTAATATCACGCACAGCTTGTCGATGTCCATAGTACGTTCGAATACATCTTCTTTGATTATAAACTTCCCAAAGCTTGAAAAAAATAGAAAAAAGAATTATTTTAAAATGATATTCAACAAAAATGTAAATTTTAATTTAAAAAAAAAATAATTTTCAGTACATACCTTAACTCTATTATCCATACTACATGAAAGTAGTAAATGAGCAGTGCGTGGGAACCATCGAATTTGCGAGATACCTTTTGTATGTCCTTCCCATGTGTGAATTTGTGCTTTAGGCAAAAAGCAACGTTCCGGTGGTGAATCTGATCTTAAATTCACACCAACATCTTGAGGTGCATGTAAATATGATCGTCCTTGATAATCTGTTGTATCTTTGACTGTAAAGAAAAATTTAAAACAATTTTTAATAAATTTGAAAAAACAATAATCGAGAATTAAAATTATCCATTTTTTAAAAATTGAATGAAAAAAGCGGACGAAAATCTTACTATGAAGTACTGTTCGTTCTTCAATTGGTGTTTCGGTTGTTTCCTTTCCTCTCTTATTACGTTTAGCGAGAATTTCTTCCAATTCAGCGGCTTCCTCCTCTGTTGGTTTAATAATTCTTTTCTCATCCACGTAACCACCCCAAGGACCCAAAAATCCTTCAATATCCGCTGGATCATCATTCTTCTTTCGTTTCCTCTTATCCGCGGGTCTCAATGTTGTTGTTTCAAATACAGTTTTTGCACCACTTTCCTCGGCCGCCTCTTTGGCGCCAATAAAAACTTTTCCTTCGTCAACACTTCCATCGGCAGTCGGATCCAATGCGTATCCTGTAAAAAGGAAAAATTTTAATTTGACAAAAAAAAGAAAACTTTCAGGGTGTCTAACAACTACTAGGAAAAAAGTTCCCTAACTTTTCCCTGACCTAAATTACACTAAAAAATTTTTATTTTGATCAAATAAAATTTATTTTGATACAATTAAATCATTTACCTGTCTATTATCCACTAATTTCATATGTATTTGAACCAAATAAATAATGTTTCGTAAAAAATAAAATACTTAAGTGAAATAAATAAACTAATTGGGGGACGTATAAATATTCTCAACATTTTAATTTAAAAGAATTTTTTTTACGGTGTCAAATCTTAAATTATCAAATTTTTATTTAGTAAAATTATATAAAGCAGATCTTCTAGTACATCGAATTTCAAATTAATACAATTTCAATTTAACGGAATTTATGTCAAGAAAAATTGTATAAAGAAAAATTTTATTAACAGAATTGTTATTTTAGTAAATTTCGATTTATCAAAATATTTACTTTAAAAAATTTTCATTGAATAAATCCACAATTAACGGAATTTCTATTTAACAAAATTCTTAATTAACAAAGTTTTTATTAAAGAAAATTTTAATTCGAAATAATTCTTTTTTAACAGAATTGTCATTTAAGAAAAATTCTACCGACTTCTTTTTTTGTCAATTTTTATAGACATAAATTTCGTTAAATTGAAATTATATTAATTTAAAATTTTAAAAAAGTATTAGAAAAAATGCTTTTTAAAAGTTCTGCTAAATAGAAATTCTTTTAAATCGAATTTTAGTTAAATGTAAATTGAAAATTTTGCATAATATAAAATTCACTTTATACAATTTTGCTAAATAGAAATTCGATAATTTAATATTCGACGCCGTAAAAATTTTTATAAGTTAAATGTGGGTATTAGCATTAAATAATAAAAATTATTCGTATTAATGACTAATTTACTTTATTTGAAGTTGAACCGATAAAATAAAATTGTATCAAATAATTTTTATTTTTATTAAGAAACCAAATATTTCACTGAAAAAAAATTAATTAACTGCTGTCCATGTTTAAAAAATCATTTATTAGATTCAATAAATAATAGTAAATAATTATTTACTTAATGAATATAAAATATATCACATGCTTAATAATTAAGTATGAAGAACAATTTTTTAATTTGCATTTGCTTTGGGGAAAAAAGTAAAAAAAATTTTGAAACTAATAGTTACTTTAATTTATTCATAAAAAATTCCAGAAAATTAAAGAAATTTCCTGACTTTTCCCTGACCTTTAGACACCCTGTTTTTGTATATTTTTTAAACGCTTAAAGCCTTTAAATTTTTAATAAATATTTATCTCACCATAGCTAGTGAACGTTCGACGTTGATTTTCAAATTGAAAATCCGAGAAATGTGCTTTCTCAACGTAACCAGAGAGGGTATTTTTCATGGCACGTTGTTGTTGTGTTTTAAAAGGATTTTCCGGTCCAATATCAGGTGCAAAAAGTTCCTCGTATTTTGGATTGTGCATCACTTCTTTCGCGGTTGAATCTATATGCCGTAAACATAATTCTGAGCCCTGTTCATTAAAAAAAAAAAAAAAATTCAATTTTATTCATAAAGTAATTTTCATTAATTTGTTCAAAGTGAAATTTCAAAACAAAGCCGCATTTATTGTCAAAACGTTGATGCATCATAATAATCGAAATCTAAGATTATTTATTCAAAAAATAGATTTAAATATAAATATTATATTACCGTTGGAACAACATCGGGTGCTGAACAAATTTGCAATCCTAATGACAATAAAGAAGATCCAGTAGATGAGAATGGAATTGAAGAATTATTTGTTGAGTTGTCAGTCCTAACCTCACTTTTTTCTAAATTTCCACTAATTTCACTAGTTTTATCACCCTCTTCGTCACTACTACCATAACCTTGTAGGGCTAACATTTTTAAATTTAAAATTATAAATTCTAAGTTATTTCTATATTAACAATAACACTTAATTGTATATTATATTTAATAATTATTGTTGAAAATTGACAGTTGTTCATCTACTACGACCCTTAACGAACGCAAAGGCGCATGCGTTACTAAAATCGTCTGATTGGTCGTAATAGCGCGCGTTTATTTAAAATAATTTGTCTTTTCTCCTTAGGGTACGACCACAATATCAAGAAAGGTCGTCATGGTACCGTATAAGAAAGAGAGAAATAAAGAATGCTCATTTCTCTCATACTCATATTCGTTACCATGACGATACGATTCAGCTATTGTGGAAGTAGTCTAAAATAGATTGTTTGAATGCGTTTTTATTATGTTTATTTCTTTCGAAAACTTTTGAACTCTTACAAAAGCATTAATAAGAATTGGAAGGTATTGAAAACAATAAATGTATAAATTTTTTTAACAACTAATAGGTACTATTTGTATTTTTACTCTAAGGTATGTTCAAATTTGTAGTTTTGAATTTAGTTACGTGTCCCTGAAAAATGCAATTGTAAAATATTAAATTCTTGATATATTTTTTTAACTTTGGGGTTATGTGCAATGTGTTATACAATGTTTTTATGATTTTTAACGGCCTAAGTATATAACAATTCAGAAATTATAATTGAAAATTCGAAGTCAATAATTAATGTACTTTTTATTATAATTTTTACCAAAAATATATTATAAATAGATAAGTGATTCAATTATTTGATTATGTAATTAGGAATTTCCACTATATAATTATTATATGGTGGTGATTCTCTCATGACCTCATGTTTCTCTCAATATTTATAATAATTAATAAAATTGTCAATGCATATTTAATTAGTTTATTACTTTTTCTATAAAAATCCTAGAAGAAACAATTGAATATTTTAATAATTTAATTTACTTTTTTTTTAAATATTCACGAAGTAGTATAAGGAGACGTAACGCCCATAGTAGATTGTGGTGAAAGTGAGCCCCAAAATCGTGTCCTAGAGTTTACGCATTTTTCTAATAATGCGATGAGGACGCCGCGCGTGGAGAAATAGAGAATTAAAATTTATCACGTGCTCGCATGTGCTGACAAAATGTCTTGAACCGGTGTTTCGCGCTTGCACTTTGTGCTTTGTTAATGTTATCAGTGAAATGTCATGTTTTATAAAAGGATGTGGATCAAAAATAACTACAAAAGAAGAAAAAAATGGAGAAAATCGAAGTTTTTTTCAGCTCGAACAGTATTTAATTTTTATTATTTATTATTGTTTTATTATTGTTAATATTATATCATTAGAGTTTTAATTATTTCCGAAGTGTTTTTTATTTTTTAATGCTTTCCTATTATAGAATGAAAGTTTGTTAACTTGGTCGAGTGCTATTGTTGGCATTGGAAAAAAACCAAAATTGACAAAAAAGGATAAGATATGTGATTTGCACTTTGTGGAATCAGATATTCTGAAAGATTATATCACAAAGTTACCTGATGGTAGTGTACACAAAACAAAACAAGGTAGATATGACCTTGTAAAAGGAGCAGTGCCGTCAATATTAATATTATATTATTTACTTTCACTAATATTTAATATTTCACAATATTTATTTTATTATTTATTTATTACACAATATTTTATCAAAACCACTTCGTGATCAAAACACTTTTGCTGTTAACTACAGTTGTTTACGCGATAGCAGACGACATATTTTGATTCCGATTTATCTCAGTAGAAGCGCTACAAGAGCATTATTCGAAAACCTTAGTAACTCTAGGACACGCATTTGGGGTTGCTTTGAATGCATGGCGTTACGTCTCCTTATACTACTTCGTGAAAATATTTTAACTCAAAAAGTTATAGGTTAATTGGCCTGTTCCATATACTTTTAATTCCTTCAACACTTAAAAAATAATATTTACAATTTAAAAACCAGTAATAATAGTATATTATGTGGCAAGCACGTAAAGTAGTACTTTTTAGGTGATGATGTAATTTTCAGTACGAGCTGTCGTTAGTGCGACGTAGGTGAGTCGAGGACTTAAAAATCTGAATTATTTTTAATTAAAACTTTGGGTATCATTTTTTTTAATGCTAAATTATATACAAAGGAACATTTATGTACAGTATTAGAACAAAATATTTATTTGACAATTAGTTTTATAAGTTAAAAAGTGAAAAAAAGCTTAAATTTCATTTGAATTTCTTGAAAAAAGTTTATATTCTTAACGTTTTTATTTTTGCGGCGTGTAAAATATCACTTCAGCTATTATGGAAATATCTAACAGACATATTTTATCAACAAATTTTCACTATCTTATTAGTGTGCCACCACTAAAACTAAAAATATGAAGGTTTGATTGAGTGATAGCACATTTTAAAAAAATTCAATTGAAAGTCTTCTTATGAAAATATCTATTACGGCGTTGGATAAAAATAAAAGTTCAATGCATTTCTTAAAAGGTGATAAAAAAACAAAACTTTTAAGACCTTCTTCAATGATGTGCCTCTAATTGTATTGGGAGAAAAGAAAGAAATCTCTTTCTCTCATACTTATCTATGTGGCAACAATTTACAGATGATAATAAAAATCGTGATTTCATTTAAATTTATAAATTTTTGAAAGGCACAACTGCATTTTTGCTTTAAACAGGTCCATATATGGTGTGATCGAAACATTTTCATACATATATTTGAACACAAAAACGCCGCTTAAGGATTTTGAGTGAAATAAATTTTATTAAGTTAAGAATATACTGAAAAAACTTTTTTGGAGTCTTTACCCCCTCTTTTCTCAAAATCCTGACGTGCTAAGCAAATTTGGGTGCCAGAATCAAATTTTCTAAAACTTAAAAAAAATATAACACATTTCTACTCTATTTCTTCCTCATGATCGACTAAAAGTGCATTTCGTTGAATCACTGTTTTTGAGAATAAAAAATCAGAATCCGACACAAAATCAGTGATAACGACATTAATGCCTCTAAATCCTGGTTTCTGTGAATTTATCCAAGGAAACCAGGCGAGTCGACACTTTTCACTTAAATTTCGATGTAAATTACCACACAAATTTCTCATTATATACGAACTATTTGGAGTCAATAAACATTGAGAAATAAAACCCGTATTTGGCGATCTTATTTCAATTGATTTTGTTAAATATTGAATTAATTCTTTAGAACTTGTTACATTGGGCCAAGGTGTTGGCCACATGCCACTTGACCATAATTCATTAAATTCTTTTGCAACACTATTCCTGTAGATGATGAGAAGTTGATATTTTTCTGAACTCAACCATTGCAATGTAATGTGATCGAATTGATTGTAAAATGGACAAAGTTTACCGTTAAAAATATTTTTAATTTTTGCAATTAGCTGTAGATGATTATCATCTGAGAAGGAATAAAAGTGTTGAAAATCTAGAATCAATAATTCGAAGGGATGAGACGAAAGCCATTCATTAATTTGTTGAAGGGGTTCAGTAATTTCGGCTCCATAGAGTCCGTGAATAAAATAAATTGAATCACTGTCCGATTTTGTTGCCACACGTAGATCAAGATAGCGAATTCCTCCGTTTAGTTGTTCTATTACCGATATTTGTTGATTGTAAAACCAATTGGTAATAATTGGTTTAAAGATGCATGAGCAACATCGTCCAAAGAATTGTAGTAGTGGAGATTCATCTATTCCCATGTTTTTGTCATGATTTATTGTGTAGGTCATTGTATTATGTGATCCTTAAAGAACAAAAATAGAAAATTAAAAAAAATATATTCCGAAAAATTGAGAATTTTTAATTTTTTTAAATTTTATTTCTATTATCAATTCTTTTCAGTGCCATTTTAAAATTTAATGCAGAAAAAAAATTGTACCTTTGATTTTCAGTGGCAGAAATCGAATAATTTGTCAAAAGAATTGAAAAATTAAGGAAAAATTAAAATGGAATAGATTGGAAGTACCAGGCAACAAATTTTATTGTTTTTTATAAAAAATGCAAATTATACATACCGGGAATTGCCAAATGAATTATTGGTATACTGCGAAGAGAAGCTGGAAGTCGCGTCATCCAAATCTCTAAATTGTCACATAATGATGTCACCGATTTTATAATTTGAAAATCGTCAAGTAAAATTTCTTCCACATTTTCCATTTTATAAAACACTGAATTTTTGAAATATTTTTAATAGGATTTATTGCCAGTAGAATTTTTTATAATTTGCAACAACGATTTTCTATATAGAAAATTATTATTGTCACACGACCAAATTACATTTTAGAAATTAAAAAAGGAATGTTCAAAAGTCCATTAGTTAAAATCACTAATCGTTTATGTTTTCAACACAGAACTGAAAAGTAACATCGTCATAAGTTTTTATTTTATGAGCATATAATACCGTGTCATGTTAGGTAAAGAATTCCCCCTTATTTTCCTAAGGTGTGACATCATTATTGTGAACATTCCCCAAATTTAATCTATATACTAAGTCCAATAGAGTACTAAATAAAAGAACTCATTTTTATTTGATAGAAAAACATATTTTTATTGACTTTTTCTATGTTCTTAGCAGTAAATTGGCTATTATTTTTATTGATCGAGAAATAATTTTTTAATCATAGGTTTTTATTTGTATGTATTAGGTATATTTATATAGATATTAAAAATATTTTAGCAGTATAAAAAATTGATTATAAGTAACATTTTAAAAATAGAGTAATTTTAAAGGTATGTATCCAAAAATTCGTAAAAAATTGAATAAAATTGCAAAATAATCCTTTTTTTGGGAAGAAAATGCAAAATAACCCTTTTTCGGATTAAAATTGAAAAAACATGTTACAAAAAAAGTATGTAAGATTTTCTAAAAGCATATGGCAAAGTATTTTGATTTATTTGAAAATAAGTGAAAATAGATTTTCCAAGGACGCCCTATTGAAAATCCCCACATGGGATCCTATGTCAAAACTATGTAAAACCCCATTCCCCATATGGGAAACCACATGGGATCCCATATAAAAACTCATGGGAAATTGGGACAGGAATTGGCATAGGAAAATATCAAAACGAGGTTCCTCCATGTCATTTCCTATGTCAAATCCCATGTCAAATATCATGTTAAATACCATGTTAAATACTAATTGAGATCCTTTATCACTTTTTTGAAAAATTTTCCCATGTCAAACCCCATGTCATTTCCCAAGTAAAAACCTTTATCATTTTTTTGAAAAATTTTCCCATGTCATTTCCCATGTGAAATCTTTTATCATTTTTTTGAAAAATTTTCCCATGTCAAATCCTCTTTCGCCTTATCGAAAATACCCACATAGGAAAGCATATGGGAATCCACATAGGACACCATATGGGAATCCATATGGGAAATGGAATACGATTTCATGTGCATTCTTCCAAATGATAAAACAAATAGATTTAAGCATAGGAAATCATATAAGATTTCATATAGATTCTGAAATTTCAACCTAAGATTTCACATGGATTTACATATAGGAAACGATATAGGATTCTATTCGGGAATTTTTTAGTTGGCTGCTTTATGCAGGCGGCAGTTTACAAAAAAAATTAATTATTTGATTAAATATCAAATAATAATACTTCAACTCATCTGAAAATAAAAAAAAGTTTACTTTACTTCTGCCTTAGACTCTCAGCTTTTATAGTATTCCAGACTGATCTCAACTGTGAGAGAAAATATTTTCACCATCTGGTGGTGAAACAATGAAACTATACTGACGATCAACATCTATATTGAAATTTCCTATGTCATTTCCCATGTCATTTCCCATGTGAAATCCTCTTTCATTTATTCGAAAAATTTTCCCATGTCATTTCCCATGTGAAATCTTATCATTTTTTCGAAAAATTTTCCCATGTCATTTCCCATGTGAAATCTTATCATTTTTTCGAAAAATTTTCCCATGTCATTTCCCATGTGAAATCCTTCATCATTTTTTTGACAAATTTTCCAATGACAAATCCTCTTTCGCCCTATCGAAAATACCCACATGGAAAAGCATATGGGAATCCATAGAGGAAATGGAATACGATAAAGGATTTCACATGGCAAATGACATGAGGTTTGACGTGCGAATTGATATGGGAAAATTTTTCCAAAAAATAATAAAAGATTTCACATGGGAAATGACATGGGAAAATTTTTTGAAAAAAATGATAAAGGAATTCACATGGGAAATGACATGGGAAAATTTTTCGAAAAAATGATAAGATTTCACATGGGAAATGACATGGGAAATGACATAGGAAATTTTAATATAGATGTTGATCGTCATTATAGTTTCATTGTTTCACCACCAGATGGTGAAAATATTTTCTCTCACAGTTGAGATCAGTCTGGAATACTATAAAAGCTGAGAGTCTAAGGCAGAAGTAAAGTAAACTTTTTTTTATTTTCAGATGAGTTGAAGTATTATTATTTGATATTTAATCAAATAATTAATTTTTTTGTAAACTGCCGCCTGCATAAAGCAGCCAACTAAAAAATTCCCGAATAAAATCCTATATCGTTTCCTATATGTAAATCCATGTGAAATCTTAGGTTGAAATTTCAGAATCTATATGAAATCTTATATGATTTCCTATGCTTAAATCTATTTGTTTTATCATTTGGAAGAATGCACATGAAATCGTATTCCATTTCCCATGTGGATTACCATATGGTGTCCCATGTGGATTCCCATATGCTTTCCTATGTGGGTATTTTCGATAAGGCGAAAGAGGATTTGACATGGGAAAATTTTTCAAAAAAATGATAAAAGATTTCACATGGGAAATGACATGGGAAAATTTTTCAAAAAAATGATAAAGGTTTTTACTTGGGAAATGACATGGGGTTTGACATGGGAAAATTTTTCAAAAAAGTGATAAAGGATCTCAATTAGTATTTAGCATGGTATTTAACATGATATTTGACATGGGATTTGACATAGGAAATGACATGGAGGAACCTCGTTTTGATATTTTCCTATGCCAATTCCTGTCCCAATTTCCCATGAGTTTTTATATGGGATCCCATGTGGTTTCCCATATGGGGAATGGGGTTTTACATAGTTTTGACATAGGATCCCATGTGGTTTTCCATGTGGGGATTTTCAATAGGTTCGTGTCGAGGTCACGGTGTCGGTGTTGCTTTTGGAAATTTGTTAACTTAATATAATAGAAGATTATAATGAATTAAATTTTCTTTGATAAATTGATTATTATTTTTATTGACGGATTGAAAAAATTGATTTAAAATTTGTTAAATGTTTTCAGTCAACAACCACCGTCGGATCATTCGACGCCGTATTATACATTGTCCTACGAAGCCAATTACATTTCGTTAGGCTATATCTTATCCAGTGGAAAAGGTAGAAAAAATTTAATACTTTGATTAATTTACAATATAAGCATAATATATTTTTGGAATATTGAAGTTTTCAGTAAGAAAAATTAGGAAAATTGTTTTTTGATCACAACATTGAAATTTTATTCACATACATACATATTAAGTGACAAATTTTAAAATTTCACAAGTGAAGAGATAAAATACATTCTCGTTAAGTTGCTGATTATTTAAAAATAAATTACTTTTTACCTACAACAAAAGAAATGAAGCAAAACTCATACATTTTATTGAATTATTTAAAAAGTTTTCGATAAATTTTTTTTAAAAGTATATTGTAGAATGAAATTAAGTTGGTAAATATATTTTTTACAAAATGTAATTTATTAACCCTTAAAAATTTGAAAAGATAACACGCGTGCAAGACATGTTTTATACAAATAATTTACCAGAGTGGTGATATGACCGGGAAAAACTGGGAAATGACCATGAATTTAAAATGTAACCAGGAAAATCGGGCAATTTATATTTAAACCGAGAATTTTTCAGATATTCTAAAAATTATTTTTTTGCAGTAGTGCGTTATTAAAATTTATTAGAAGAATAAATATTAAAAAACAAAAAAGTTATTAATTTTTTAGAAAAATGATCATTTTTTTGTGTAAAAAAATTAAATTGTTTACAAAATTTTGACCGGGAAGAACAGAAAATTGACCTGGAAAAACCGGGAATTTATAATCATAAAAATTATCGCCACTCTGTTTACATCTTCAAAACACATTTGTAAAACATTAGATAGATAGGTCTTTATTTCTGAATTACCCCAAAATAATGAAAATCATTGCATAATGTAACTTTAGAAGGTCAAAAAATGTGTAAATTTCAGGAATTTTTTTCTCAAACATTAAAATAAATCGATGCAAGATTTAGTGGATATTTTTTACATTCTCATCATAATGAGAAGGTATTACATTTGGGCGATTTTGAGCATTCTCTAATTCCAGTGAATCTCGACGTTTTGAGACTTTCTGATGCCGAAAAAATGGGTCTTAAAAAAATGTTTGTCTGTATGTATGTCTGTAGACAAATTTTGTCCGACGATAACTCGAACAAATTTTAATGAATCGACTTCAAATTTGGTATACCCTTTAAGTGTACCAAAATCTCGCCTGAGTTCGTTGGCCAGATGATTTCGTCAAAAATCAACAAAATTATTCAAATTTTGAGTTTTTAAAAGTTTCAAAAATTCGCATTTTAAAAAAAAAAATTTTTTCAATTTTTTTTCGAAAAATACGAGTAAAAATAAACACTTTTTTCCTTTGACAATTTTTAATAGCGATTAAAACAAAAACATTATACCTCTTTTTTTAAAAAAAGGACAAAAACGGATGAAAAATGGGAAAAATGCAGGGCAAAATTACTTTATTTTGAGAAAATATGAGCAACTATGTATTATCTCTGTTTAAACCACTAACACAAATAACAGTAACTTACTCATAAAATTTCGAATTTCTTTTTTTTTTTATAAGTCCAACTATAGTTTTCTATTTCCAAACATTGCAATTGTTTTCAAAAAATCCTCTATTTTAAAATAGTTTATATTGCGCTGTTTATACTACAGTTTCGTATTTTTTCGATTATTTACTTTATTGAATTGGATTTTTTAAATTCTCATCATAAATGAGAAAGTATTCGTTTTGGTCGATTTTGACTTTTTTCAAATTTCAGTGAATCTGTACGTTTTGAGACTTCTTGATGCTAAAAAAAATATGTTTTGAAAACCTGTCCGTCTGTTTGTCATCTGTAGTCTGTCTGTAGACTCATTTTGTCCCCACGATATAACTTAAACAAATCTTATCGAATCGCTTTGATATTTGGTACACGCTTTCAACATGTAAAAATGAAGCCTGAGTTCGTTGGACAGACTAATCCGCCCAAAAATTCAAAAATTATTCAAATTTTGGATGTTTAAAAAATTTAATTCTTCTCGAAAAATTTTTTTTTTAATTTTCTCTTAAAATACTCCCAAAAGTAAACTTTTTTTTCTTCAACACTTTTCGGTGCAGATTAAAACAAAAAAGTTAAAAAAGTTATGTTCTATAGGGTTTATGATAATTCTGTATATGATTTGGATATCTTTGAGCAATCTATGACAGAATTTCTTACAAATGTTATAAATTATTATAGAGAGGATCTGATATTTTAGGCTTACGTGCATACATGCCAAATTATAATCGCCATTGCATATAAGTTCGATATGAGAATTTTTACCTCAGATCCTCTTGAAGAGATTCTAAGTATTATCCCATTTTTTGTTTGTTAATTAGCAACAGCATAAACAAAGATAACAAGTATTGCAAAAAAGATTGAAAATCAAAGATGACACTCTTTCAGTATTTTGTCTCGTATTTGAAGAAAAAGAAGCTAAAAATTCATTTTATTATTTATAATTGTTTGTTATGAATACTAGAACAGAAACTATATTTGATTTTTGCTTTCTGTAAAATTTTATTAATAATATCAGACCGTTCGTATTTACCCAAGAAAATTGGAAAACTGGGGTAAATCCGAACGGTATTTTTAATAATTTTTTTTTACATCAGAGCCACACAAAATTGTTTTTTATTTGATTATTCTATTATTTTAACATTATAAAAGTACATAGAAAAAAGTTTTTCTTTCTATATGTATCCTCGTTAGTAATTAATAAGCAGAAACCTAATCTCTATTCTCTCGAAGGAGTGTTTCAATTTTTTTGCCAAATGGTTTGTTGAAAAAAGTTTTTCAGGATCTTAATAAAATTTGGTATTCTACGGTTTTTGGGGTCGCTAATTACCAATTTGAAGTCAGTTTTTCAAAATTCAAAATGGCGGACGAGAATTAAAAAATCATTGGATTCGCTCGAAAATTGTTACTCGGGGGGTTTCAGGGTTAGCAAATTTGATCATTTTTAAAAATAAGTTTTAGGAAAGTACGACATTTTGAATTTAAAAAATTTGACTTTTATTTTTGTATTTACGTTCAATCACTCCAAAATACATTCTGTACCAAGTTTTGCAAAAATCCGTTATGATTTGATAAAGTTATTGAAGGTTTTAATTGTGTAATGCATTTTAATTTTTAACCTGTTTGATTTTTGTATTTATATATGATGCATTATTACATAATAGGTTTATTATCGTATTTTTTTTGAGTTTTTATATAAGTTTAACAATTGCAATACTTTAAATTTATTTTCCCTAAGATTTTTCTGAAATACAGTGGCGTTCGTATTTACCCCCATATTTTAGGAAAGTTGCAAAGTATCGAGGTAAATACGAACGCTAAGTTTCCTGCGATTGTAATTTATCAAAAATTTTTTCTACCCCATAAAATTGTTCTATGGAAGTAAAGTAACAACTTCATGCACCAGAATACCGGAAGTATTTTTTTTTTAAAGAAAAAACTTATGTTATTGTTGAAACTTACTAAAAGCGTTCGGATTTACCCCGGTTGACCCTATTAAAAATTTATTAAAAATAATTAATTAATATATTCCAAATTCATTTAGTTTTCAAAATTTTTTACTTACGTGTAATATTTTTGTATTAAAAATTTCTTTTCAAATATATTTAAATTAGTTAACATTTTAATTAATTTGATTTATTTCTGTTTCACACTTTTAGAATAAATTGATATTTAAATTAAAGAAAATGTTAACTACTTGAGAATTTAGATTAAAATTTTAAATTGAATTTAATTTACAAATTGTTTGGGTACTTTTTTTGTTGTAAATTTTGTTATTCAGCATTGCGATCGGTTTAAATCGCAGCTGTTTTATTTTTGTAATTGTTTTGATTCAGTGTTAATCCAAGAAAACAGTCTTAATTAATCAAAAAACAAGAAGTTTTACTTACATATTTTGAGATTTAAATTTAAATTCCATAATTCCAGCAGACAGCGCTGGTGTTTCGTCGTCTGCTAATAAAAATTACTTTAAAAAGTACATTGTTAACATTAAAATTCGATTATTTCTATATAATAGGTATACAATAAAAATATGATTCAACAAAAATTTGTCTGAAAATTTCAAATGAAAAAACATTTACATTTTTTAATTTTTCGTCTGCAATCTGCGCGCATGCGTATTAACATTGCCATCGTGAATATGTCAAAAATTTCGAGGTTATGTCACCTGGTATTTTATACGCGAAGTGGGAGAGAGAAAAGAGATAGTTAAATTACGTTTTTTTTTATCTGTCATGTGGACGTGTCTCCCCCCCCCTCTCAAACGTAATTGTGTTTCAATCTGTGAACAGTGTATGAGCAAATTATAGACAGTGATAAAAAAAAGATTCAAATTTCTGCAATTGCAGAAAAGAAAAAATTATAGTGACATATCGCGAGGATGCAATGCCAGCACGTCGTCGTCGTGGACCATCAGAGTTAGGGGATGACCTTGTAATTAAAACCACCCCATTTGGTAATCAACAGCAGCCCGCCTTTTCATTTCAATCGACAAATCAACATTACAATGAGAAGCCAACTTTTGAAAAAATAGAAGAAGATTTATTGAAACAACGATTATTAACAACTGCAGCAGCAACAACAACAATTACAATGACAGCTCGCGATCGTACCAATGAATTTGCCAATGCCATCCGGAGTATACAAAGTAGAACAGTGGCAAGAGCTGCTGTCAGTCGTACACCACGACATGCAAAACAAATTCAAAGTTATTCTGAATTTATGATGACAGCAAAAAATATTGGCAAAAATATTGCCAGTACATATTCAAAACTTGAAAAACTCGCTATGTGTAAGTTTAGTTTTCTAACATATTGTTTTTTTATTGACATCGTCATTCATACGTTATTTTGCAATTTCTTGCACTTTTTTTTTCCTTATATTTCTTACGACATTATTCATATAATGTTTTTCTACTTTACGTTTTTTTTGGGTTTCTTTATATTATATATTTTTTTAGACTTTCTTTTTACTGCTTTTTATATTAAATATTCTAATATTGTATAATTTATACAATCAAATAGTATTTTGCCAAAAAAATAAATATTGTTTTTCTATAAATAAATGAAAAAAGCAAAACTAAGATTTAGTGAGACAATAATTTAAAGTTTTAATTAATATTAAATTTTACTTTTTTTTTGTGTGTCTTACGAAATTATTCATATAATGTTTTTCTACGTTACGTTTTTTTAATGTATTTTGCCAAAAATGAATAAAAATAGTAAATTAGCAATTATTAAATAATTTTTTTTTTTTTGTTAATTTAACAATTAAGAATTGATTTTAAAAAATGATGAAATATATTTTCTTTTAGTGGCAAAGCGAAAGTCAATTTTCGATGATAGACAAATGGAAATTGAAGAACTTACAACTATTATAAAAATGGACTTGAACAGTTTAAATAAACAAATAGCAAAACTTCAAGATTTAGGGAGACAACAGCGTGAAGTTTTTGGATCATCTAAGAAAAACCACATTGCCTCACATTCCTCTTCAGTTGTTGTTAATTTACAATCTAAATTAGCTAATATGTCGACTACTTTCAAGAATGTCCTCGAAGTTCGATCAGAGGTAATAGAAATTTAAAAAAAAAAATGAAAAAATCGTTAAAAATTTGTCAAAAACAATTTTTCCCGACAATCGTTAATGTATCTCAGAAGTTTTCAATTCTTAATTATTAATTAAAAAAATTGAATTAAGAATTTAATTAAATTTGATATTATTTTAAATTAATAATATTTAATTAAAATAAAATATGCGTACAATAATTTAATTTAATAAACTTTCACTGTTAAAAGAGAACTTGGTATGATAATGATAAAGAAATGATAATAAATTAATTTAATTTGTAGAAAATGAGAGAGGAGCAAAATAGAAGGGAACAATTTACACAGGGACATGTTTCTACTATGCTCCCGCCAAGTATTGTTTCTGGTAAACAAGGTTCCTTGTTACTTCAGGAACAAGATTCCAGTGCTTCCGTTAGTATAGATCTTGAACCAGCAATGAATCAACAGCTTTCAATCCAAAGAAATGCTTACGATCATACAGTAAGTAAAAGGAATTAGTTTTTATTATAAATAATTAATTTTTTTTCCCCGAACGTCAAGATTATATTTAAATCCGAACTTTGGATAAAATGTCAGTAGAATATTAAAAGATGCATTTTGAATCAACAAACATATTTATTTTATTAAATAAATTAAAATTTGAAAAAAAAATTAATTTATCAAAAATTAAAAAATTGAAATTCTTGAACATACAAAATTTAATTTAACAACTGGTACATTTTTTAGCAAATTCAAATATAATTAAAATTATACGAATCAATCTTTGATATTTTTATTTTGTAAATTTTCTTATTTATTGAAAAAAAAACTACTTATAGAAAATAAGTAAAAATTGTTTTTTTTTTGCTTTTTGCTAATTAATTTTTGCCTCGGTTATCAATATTTGTAAAATATTTTTATGTTTTAGGATTCGTATGTTCAGGCTCGAGCTGAAACTATGCAAAATATTGAATCAACGATAGTTGAATTGGGAGGAATTTTTCAACAATTAGCTCATATGGTAAAAGAACAAGAAGAAATGGTTGAAAGGTAAAGTTTTTATTATTAATATTATTGTAAATTAAATAAGAATGACAAATTTATTAATATTTTTTTAATTAGTTAAAAAATTAGTCCTACTCGATATTTTTGAATCTTTTATAATAATAACAATTTTAAACTTAAAACTTACAAAAAATTTAAATTTCTTAATTCTGAATTTAAAAAAATGATAAAATAGTTGCAGAAATATTAATTTTTAAATCAATAATCGTATTTTGAATTTTTTTTTCTTGAAAAATGTTTAAAATTTTTCGGAGCATGTAAATTTCTGTCGTGACCTACAAATTTGAGATTTTACAGATTTTAATATTGATAAAATTTAGTTCCTAGTAAAACTTGACGTAATAATAATAATTAATATATAATTAGTTTGTTCTTTATTTAAAAAGGTTAATTTTCAAGTGTCTAGCAGGAAAGAAATATTCATTTTTTAACTTCGATGCTTTAACAATAAAATATTAACCTGTTTATGTAAAAATTTGTAAATTAAATATTTTGTAGAGGAAGCAAAACACCTACGTCAGGTTTTAATAGTAACTAAATTATATCAGTATTAAAATATCTGCAAAACCTCAAATTTTTAAGAGGTCATCAAAAAAATGTTACAAGCGACGAAAAATTTAAAATGCGAATATTATTTTAAAGAAGAGAATATTTCTGCACCAATTTCATAATTTTTTAGTATAGAATCAAGAAATTTATACTTTTGGTAAATATCAGTATCGAATATTAAATACTCTTTGAATAATAACTTTTTTTAAAAAGTACAAAATTTAGGATTACAAAATAAGGTAACTTCCTACTTGAATATTAATTTCATACAAAAAAAGAAAATTTAATCCACAATATTATGATTAATGAACTAAAAAAAATGGTCAAATTTAACATATATTACAAAATTAGATTTTTTTTTAAAGATCGCAACAGCTCTCAAACGAAATTCATCTATATATTAAAGAATATAAATGAAAAATAAAAGAAAAATAAAATTTAAATTGTTTTCCTTTCTTTTTAATTACAGGATAGACAGTAATATAGAACACACGGAATTGAATGTTGAAGCCGCTCATGCCGAAATTTTGAAATATTTTCAATCAGTAACTGGCAATCGTTGGCTAATGATTAAAATTTTTGCAGTCTTAATATTTTTCTTTATATTCTTTGTTGTATTCTTAGCTTAGAATATTCCAGGGGAAAAAGTATACATATACATATATACATATATAAATAATAATATTTGTTTATATTATTCACTCTTTTATCGCTGCACGACAATTTTATTTTCATTGAGAAAATGTAATTGTGGTTTAAAAAAAAAAAACATGATGAGTGATTTTATATTTAAAAAAGAAAATGCAATTGCCACGAATTTTTATTATAAATATTGTAATATTTGTATTGCATTCCTTTATTATATTATTGTCACATAATTGAAATCGATTCGATTTACTGCGCCGACTTTGTACAATAATTATATTTTAATTTAAAAGCATTTTTGTGCGCAGAAAAGCGAATCATAGAAAAAAAATTATAACGATGCCGGCATTTTTTTTTCTTTCTTTCTTTCTCTCTCTAAAAGAGGTGAAAAGAGAAGAAAAAAGTAATTTGTAAAAAAATGCAGATAATAAATATATATATAATTTTTAAATTATACTAAAGAATAGTATATTTTTCTAATATAAGAGAAGAAAAAACCATTTTCATTTTTTTTTTTTAATAATAAATTACAATTTATTTTACTTTTATTTTAAAATCATATTAACAATTGTATATTCAATTCACATATTTTGTATCCACAACAACAATAACGAAAAAAAAATTACATGCTTCACTTCACTTTGATTTCCTTATTTTCTTTTTTGTATTTGAAAAGTTTCATTTTACATTTCAATAACATTTTGGTAACAAATATTTTTATTTTCGTCGGTAAATGTGAAAAATTGTTTCTTTTCTTTCTTAAATAATGTTTTTATGAAAAAAAGTACATTTTAAATTAAACGAGACGAACGATAAAAAAGAAAACAAAAATAACAGATAAATCAATTAACAAAGTACAATACATTTTAGTAAAAGTCGATAGTTGTCGATTTTTTCTGTTTTTTTTTTTTTTTTTTACAAGAAGACTTGGCACATTCTATTTCTGAATTGATTAATACATACAAAAGGATTCTTTTTTTTTTAAGACATGACGAAAATGCTTTGCATGGAATTTCCCCCTTTAAAATTATTACCATATACATAATTACATTTTAGAAAATATAAAAAGAACAACAAAGACTAAACTTTTCCACTATGATGTGACTTGTCCAGCGACTCGCCGGAAGAATGTAAGGAACCTGAAAATTAAAGAGAATTTTTATTTTCAATTTTTATAAATTTGTTATTTTGATTTATTTTAATAAAATGCTTTTAATAAATTTAACTACAGAAATTAATTTTATTTCCTTGCATATTGTCGTCAATTATAAAAAATTTAAGCAAATTAGTTATATTATAGTGCTTTGGATTTTGTAATGAAGGTATTTTTGCAATTCCATACGAGAAATTAATAACTTTTTGGAGTAACCTCTTTAACTGAAATAAAATTTGCTATTATTACATTTATTGATATTACAGTTCCAGAAAATCATTTTTTTCAGTAAAAAAAAGTGTTTATAAACAAAATTTTCTATTTTTCATTTAACTTGGAAAATTCGAAATTTTATTTCAGTCAGTTCAACCTCAAACTAAAAATTATTTTTATCACCAAATAAAACTGTAATTGGAATGAATTTTATTCAAATTTTGAAACGTCCAGTTGTAAAATTTAAAAAGAAAATTATTTTCAGCCAAAATTTGTTATTAAATAATAATTATTTAATATTTTGTGTTTTTTTGTTTAAAATTAGCAAATAATTGTAATTTTTATTCAATTTTTTTACCAATTGATAATTTTTTTGTTTTTTGAAAGATTCTCTACAATTCTGTTTATTAGTTTTTGTTAAATAATACAATTTCGTTCAAATAATATAAAAACCAAAAATTTTATTTGTTTAATAACATTGAAAAAAAATATCGTTCAAAAAGATTTAATATACAGAATTATAGATAATCTTTCAAAGAGCAAAATGAGTTAATTTTAAACAAAACAAAACGTAAAATAATTATTATTTGACAATTAACTTTCGCTAAAAGTATTTTTTTTTATAATTGTACCTATAACTAGAACTGAATGTTTAAAAATTTGATGAAATCAGTTTTAATTATAATTTTTATTTTTTGTTGAAAACAAATTTTTAGCTTGAAGTTATGTTAATGTCGTTGAATTATTAAATTGACGCGGTTAATCTGAAAAGTACAGTAAATTTCTCGTAAAATTGTTTAAACAAATTTAATTTTGTTATTTAATTTTTGCGGACAAGCGTAATGTTAGATAAAGAAAATTTAAAAAAACCACACCAAAAAAAAAAAAATTCCTAAATTTTATCATTATTATCCCATAAAAAAAAATGTTATACGAATTTTTACTCAACAAAATTTTGAGCTACCGAATTTTTGTTTGGCAGAATTTTTATTTTATACAGTCATTTAATTTACACGATTTTTTTATTTAATAGAATTTTAATTCAATTGAATTTTTTAAATGACAGAAATTCCAATTCACCGAATTTAAATTTGTACGAATTTTTAATTGATAGAATTTTAAGACACCAAATTTTTATTTATCCGAAATTACAAATGTCCGAACAAAAAATCGACAGAAAGATTTCGGCGCAATTTTAAAAGTTGACTAATTAGAAATTATCAAAAAAAAAAATTGTGATTGGTTAATTTTTAAAATTGTGCCAAAATCTTTCTTTCAATTTATTGTTCTTTCATCTGTAATTTCGGACAAATGAAAATGCGGCGTCTTGAAAATTCTATCTATTAAAAATTCGTACAAATAAAAATTAGAATAAATTAAAATTCGAATCACATAAATATTCGATTGAATGAGAATTCTGCTAAATTAAATATCTTTTAAATAAAAAGGCATGTGAACTAAATGACTATAAAATAAAAATTCTGCCAAACAAAAATTCAGTATTTAAAAATTTTAGTAAAAATTCGTATAAGAAAAAATTCTGTGAAATACTAACTGAAAAAATGAAAATTCGTCTAAAAAATTATTATTTCCAATAAAATTCTTTAAAATAAAAATTCTAATTAATGATTTTTATGATAAATTCCCAACAATTTATTGATACAACTGTTATTCAATTTTTGGTAGAAAATTTTTGTAAAAACAAAACGATATGTTTTCTACTATTTAATGCAGTTGATGCGCTAATATTTTTTCCGTAAACAAAAAAATACATTCATCAAGCAAAAACAAATTCTATAAAAAGCAACAAATTTTTTTCCTCAACCTGTCTTTCATTCAGATCTATTTTAGATTATTTCCTCCCTCCATTGTACTCCAAAATTGTCGCACTTTTGAGAAGCGCTTGCGTCCTTGCATGCAAAAGGAGAACAACAACAACAACAACAAAATAACATACAAAACCAAAATTTTTACATTCATAGAAAGAAAAACAAAAAATTCATCATTGATGAAAATAAAAAATTATTCCCAGTGTTAAAAATCGTGCATTTCAGGGGGTAAAACTTTTTTTTTTCTTTTATCACAAACCTTTATGATTGCGCAATCGTTGATCTCGCTGATGAGGATATAACCCAGAATTTCTCATGGGTGGTAATGACTCTTCCCCCCAATTGTGTGAATGTCCTAAAGGATGAATTGGTAATAACGAGGGAGGCGGCGGTGGCGGTGGATGTGAATGAATATGATCATTATTAAAATGCGGAGGTGGTGGCGATCTATGACGATCAAAATGATGATGTGGATGATGATGAAGATGATGAGGTCGTAAAGGAGGCGAGAGTGGAGGAGGTGAGCCTGTATTTTCATAACGTCCAGAAGGTGGTTGAAGTGGTAAAGGTGGCGGCGATGATAGTCTTCCTCCAAGGGGCGGTGGCCTTTGACCAACGTCAAAAGGCGGTAGTCCCCCTGGTCCAGGAGGTGGTGGAGGTAAATACGGATGAAATCCTGGTCCAAACATATACGAGGGAGGAGGAGGTGGTGGAACACCAGAGGTATTGCTAAACATTATGGGAGAATTAGAAGATTCAGGCCCAAGGAAAAGGGATGGTGATGTGGCTGTTTCTCCATTTGCTTCCATTCCTGTTATGAGAATTAATTTTGTATGTGTTTATAGTAAATATTGTCAATTGAATTATTCCATTGGGAAAAAATAAATAAAAACTTTTTTCTTTAATTCTCAAGTTATTGAATACATTTTTACCCCGCAAAAAATATTTTCTAAAAATATTATTCATTTTAAATTATCGAGTTTATAAACATAAAGTGGATTTTATCTATCAAAAAACATAGATAACTTGAAAATCAAAAATGAAAGTGTTTCAACTGTTTTCATTTATTTTTACCCCATTGGTGCATAATATTTCGATCAAAGTTGTTTGGCGAGTGATCTTTTTAAAATAAATTATGATCTCCGGTAATTTAAAAATTCAGTTAAATTAAAATTCTGATATGAAATATATTTTTCATTTTTTAATTTTAGTATCGAAAAAGTAAAGATTCTTTCAGCTAAATGGAAATATACCGAAAATTCGAACTAATAATTTTTGGAAAATATTTATTTTTGTTAAAAAAAGTATCATAATAAATTTGATCGAAATATAATGGAATAACCCCTTTTAAAACAAGAAAAATTAAATTTTCAATTAATTCCACTGTTGCAATGGGGCCCCGTTGCAATGACAAAAATTAATTAAATTTTTGAATTATAAACTAATAAAATTATATTTATAATTTGTTTGGCATAAACCAAAATTAACACAAATTTCGGATTTCAAATTTTCTGAAAATTTGCATTATTTAAAATTATTATTTACTTAAATTTTACTAACGGAAAATTTTTAAATACCAAAATCTGTTCTACTTGAGAAAATATATAGAAATTCTATTTTACTAATTCGAAAATTTAAATTTGAAAATTTTGTGATCAGTATTTTTACTTTGTAATTTAATGTTCAAAAATTGACATTTTTCTTTTCATTAATTTCTTTCAACTGTACAAAAATTTACAAATTTGAAATTATAATAAGTAAGTAAAAAGTGATATTTTTTTTTATTTGTTTTACAAGATAAAAATTGAAAAATAAAATAAAATATACTTACGATGCAATTTAACCTCAGGATCAGGATCGTTCATACTTTTTTCAACAATTGTAAGCCGATTACGTAATTGACCTGATTCAGCCTTCAATTCTTCTAACCTTCGCTCATTTTGTCGGGCCACCACCTATAAATGTGAGATTATTAAATTAAAACTTGGCATTGTCGTGAGAAAAATAAGGGAAATTTAAATATCAAATACAATTTCTTGCATACCCAATGTTCATGCGCCTTCGTTTCAAGAGCGCCAATCTGACTTTTATATTCACGTTCTTGATCCACTATTTCTCTCTTAAGTATTTCGATTTGTTGCCTTTAAAATAAAAACAAAATTTCTTTAAATTTAAGTAAAACCAACAAAAAAAAAATCAGTAAATGTTTGTTTAATTAAACAAAACCAAAAAGAAAAAGTAAAAAACAAAAATGGTTCTAAAAGAAGCAGAAAATGAAATTAAAAAAAAAATGCAAATTAAACATATAAAAATCTTTGAGAAATTAATGTTTGTATTTTTTAAAAAAATATATTTTGATTATCTTACTTGTAATTTTGAATCTCGTTCTGCATGGTGTGTATCCTTTCAACTGTAGATGAAACTTCTCCTTGTTTCTCTAACCATAATGCTTCTTCCCTATACAATTTAATTAAATATTAAAAACAATAATTAAACAAAAGAAATATTAAAAATTATATATTATATATTAATGTTAAGGAAAAAATCAATTTTGCATACAATAAATTAATCAAAAATATATAATTGAATATTAATTTATAATTTAATTATAATTATAAATTTAAAGAAACAAATAAATTTACAACATACTTTTGTCGTTGAGCTTCCTTTTCTTTGAAAAAGTTTGATAAAACTTCTAATTTCGTTTCAGCATCCTTCTTTTCTTTTTCAAACGTTTTACATTCTTCGTTTAACGAAAGAACTTCTTCTTTTGCTGATTTCATAAGTGCTATGCAAAAGAGAATTATTTAATTTTTAATTAATATTTTAATATTTACTTATTATTATCAGTATTTTTAATAAGTAGGTATTACTAATATATTTTTTTTTACAAATTTTTAAAAAAAATACCTTCAAGCGATTTATGGGTATTTTCTGCCTCAATTAATTTAACACGAAGTTCATCTCGTTCTTCGGCGAGTTGAAGTGCCTCAGCTTTTGCATGAACGGAATCATAAAGTTTATCAAAATCCAAATTATTGGAATTATCTTGATCAATAACTTCCAAAAGATGATTTATTTCCAATTCTTTAGCTTTAAGCTCCTGTCGTAATTGTGATCGTTCTTCCATTGTCTTGAAAAGAAAAAAAAAAGAAAATTATAAAAATTAAAAGAACAAAAATTTACTGAATTGAATTATTATTTTTGTTTACACTCACTTCTCTCATTTGAAATTCTAATCGTTGAATTTTATCCTCCATTGTTTGTTCCATGTAAATTTTCATATTTCCTTGTGTTTTCAATTCATCCTCCAATCTCTTCACTTCGACTTCAAGTTCTTCGTATTTTTTCGTAAATGAAAACAAATCTGACGATAGGCCTTCCGACTGAAAAATTCATTTAACACATTTTTAAAATAAAAAACAAAATATTACGTCGATGAAATTCACAACGTTTTTGATCAACGACTGAAAAAAATTGAAAAATAATTTTTTTGTAAAAATTATTGATCGAGGAACGTTGGAAAATTTCTTTTTTTAGATAAATGATAATAATTTAAAAAAATATTTTTTATTTGAAATCGATGATCAGAAACGCGAACTTCAAAGACGTAAAATATTTACTCGTAGCAATATATTATTTTGTTAATTCTAATCATTACATTACTTTGATTTTAAAAAAATAATTAATTACTCTATTGAACAAAAATTTATAAAATTCATAAAATAGGGGGAAATTAAGGGAAATAGTAATAAATAATAAATTAGTAGGGAAATTAAAAAAAAAAAACGAAGGTTTCTCGACAAACCTCAAGCCTGTCAAATTCAAGCTGCATTGAAATTGAAATCAAAAACTTGAAATAACAAGTGTAAAATCTTTCACATGCTTGATTTTTGTTAATATCATCTACTACCTCTTGTTTCTTTAAATTCAAGGCGTTTGTCAGTGCTTCATTCTCAGCCTGTTGAGCATTGAGTCGAGCTTGTAGATCTTCTATTGACTGTGCCAAAGGATTATCTTCTTTATTCGATGACAATAATTCACGTAACATACGTTCCAATTCTAATCCTGCTTCCGTTGCGGACTCCAATTCTTTCTCCAATGTTGCCACTTGATCCTCCATCTCTAAATTTGTATTCTAAGTATTGAAAAACAGAAAAAAATGTCAATTAAAATTTGCTTAATTTTTATAAATTTAATTTAATTATTTGTATATTATTTTTTTTTAAATATAATTTCCTATATAATTTTACTTATTTCAAAACTTATTAAATTTAATTATAACTAATTAATTTAAAATTTAGTTAATATTAATTAATTTTAAAATTTTGCTAAAAAAAGGGTAAATATTAAATTAAGATATTTAAAAAAAAAACATTAAATTAAAAAGAAAATTGAAAATAAATAAAACAATATAATTACCTGTGCAGCTTCTAAATCTGCTTTTAAAGAAGCAACCATTTCATTTGATCCAAATGACTCGTCCTCGATTGAATTTAACTAAAGAAAGTTAATTAAAAAAACAATAAAATATTGATTAAACTTAAATTGAAAAATTAATTACAAATGAACGAAATAAAAAATTAATATATTTAAAATAATAAAGACAAACTTAAAGCAAACAATAAAAAAATCTAAGAAATTGTATTCAAATTGTTGGATCTTTTCGACAAAAAAAAAAATGTCTACCTTATTAAAATTTATAATATATTTTTTTCGGTTTGAGAAACACACAGACACAACAAACCTTAAAATTATCCAGAATTGACTAAAAGTAAAGAAAAAAGAGAAATTCTTTTTTAAAAAAATTTAGAATTTTCTTTAAGAAAAGAAATAAATAATAAATATATTATTTAAATTAAAAATAGAAAAAATTTGTTACCTTTGTTTTCGTACAAGTTAAATTTTCATTCAACATTGCGCATTCCTTTGACGAGATCATTAATTCCTTTTCCAATTTATTAATTCTCCCAATGAGTTTATTGTCCCGTCTTGCATTCTGTGAATTTTTTTTTTTTAAGAGAAAAAACAAGAATTACTTTTAGAATTTTAATAATTAATTTAAGAAACTATTAATGAAAAAATAAGAAAGAATACTTTTAAAAATCAAAAATAAAAATAAAACATAAATTTTTTAACAATAAAAAAAGATGTTGAAAAATTACCTCGATGTAGTAATAACCGAGAGAGAAGACAAGAATGGTGACAGAAGTTGTTAAAAGATAGGCCAAGAATTCCCAATAATTTTTACCCATGCTGATAACATTTGCAATGACATTATCGTCTTTATTATCGATATTTTCCTGTAAACAAATTATTCATGATCAAATGAATCAATAAATAATTCATATATAAATTGTTGCTTTCAACGAATTTAAAAAATCGATTATATTACACGATTGAAATTAACATAATATAAAAATGAATGAAAGAGACTTACTGACAATGGGCAATTAGAATCTTTAACGCACACCTCGGGAGGTAAAACTGCAAAAAATGAAAGAACAAAAAAAGAATTAAACAGGGTAAATATTTGTAATAAATTAATAAGTAATTAATTCGATTTAATTTTTTATTATCTATTTTATGCCACTAATTTTGAAGAAAAAAAAAATTCATGATTGCAAAATTTTATTTTTTTAAATTTTGCAGCAATTCTTCTTGCTGTGAAAATTGTGTTACTATGGAATTTTGTTTATTTTGGTTTTTCAAAATCGCTCAATAAAAATAATTGAATTTAATAAAAAAAAATTTAATTTAATATTAAAGTAATATTGAGTTTACAAAATAATTTCTACTTAAGAAAAATTAAAAATTTTAATACAATTTTGAAATTTTAAAAATAATAGAATTTAAAAAATAATTTGGATAAAAATTGATACAAATATTTTGTAAATATTATCTTTACATACCTAAAGGAATAGCGGATTCTTCCTCCGAGTCATGTTTATTAAATATTGCCAATTTTTCCGTCGATTCGGGAATATCATTCTCCAATAATTTATCACTTTGCGACTCTTCTGTAAAAGAAAAAATAGATTTATATGTATACATATAACATAATTTTTAATTCTGTCAATGGAAAAAATTAATATTTAAACTAGACTTACGGGAATCAAAATGAGACGATTCATCAAAATTCAACAAATTTCGATTACTGGGTAACTCATTAAATGTCGTGGCCTGTTCTGTCGCCAAAATTTCTTTTCGTGGTTCCAATTCATCGTGAAAATGTGGCTCCAAATTTTCGAGTGTATCATTATTCGAAACGAAGTCATTTTCATGAGAAATTACATTATTATTATTATCATCATCAGCAACAAACTTTTCTTCCTCGTTAATATTATCCTCATTAGCAGAAATATTATTGGCATTTGAAAAATCAATGTTATTATCAATAGAAAAATTATTTGTTTCATTTGAAAATTCATTGTTATTATCAATAGAAATATTATTTGTTTCACTTGAAAAATGTTCTATCATCTCAATAGAATCATTTTTCATTTCCATAGAATTGTTAGTATTAAGATTATTAGAATCATCTTTCGCCAAATCATTATTACTATCATCAGTACTTGAGCTGTCTAAAAGAATATTTTCACTATTTACAATATTTACATTATCGTTTTCTCTCATTATTTCGTCTGAAGTATTTAATGAAATATTATCAGTCTCTACATGGGAAATTTCATCAATTTCTCCGATATTATTTTTAGAATTATTTTCAGTTTCTATTGTTGTTGGTGGTGGTAAATTATCATTGTTCTTTTCATTAATTTCTTGTGTATCAGTTTTTTCATTTAATATAAAAGTTTCTTGTTTATCAGTTAAAGGCACTTGATCAGTGACAATTGTCTCCGTGGTTAATTCAATGGTAGAGAGATCGGGATGAGGAATTTGTTTTTCTATTGGAGAATCATTGGCAGATTTTAATTCATCTGAAGAATTGTTGTTATTAATTAAATTCGAATCTTCAGTTTCGAATTGAGTTTCAATTTCTGCTTGAGTTGCGAGGTTTTCTTCTTTGGAAATTTGTTCCTCGGGAGGATGAATATCTTCTTTTGTTTCTTGTTCTTCTTCTACTTCTTCTTCTCCTTCTGTTTCTTCATCTCCTTCTATTTCTTCATCTTCTTCATTATGTTGCTCATTTTCTCGTTCTTCTGAAACTGTTTCATCCAAAATCATTTTCTCTTCTTTTTTCACTTCTTCTTCTTTTTCTTCTTTTCCTTCATTTTCCTCAACAGTTTTATTTTCACTGTCTAAAACATTTTTATCTTCAGTTTGTGAAATATTTTGATCTTCAGTCTGTGGCAGATTTTCTTCATCAGCCTGTGGAACATTTTTATCTTCTCCCTCTGGAAGATTTTCATTTGGACTCTGTGAAGAATTTTCCAGATTCTCTCCTTTTGTTTCATCTTTATTTATTTCTTCTTTCTTGGCCTCGTTTGCAGTGTTGTCCATTTTTTCCAATTGTTGAGTAACTTTATCAAATACTTGTGAAACAAATGAAATTGTCGACGATACTAAACTTGGATGAACACTTAAAACAGGTTCCTCTTCAATCGATGCCGTCTCTTCATCGATTGATTGCGATGAATATTCCTGAGGCGATTCATCAATTGCCAATGGAATTGTCGTTCCATCAATAACCTCATAGGATGGTGAAACATTTTCTGGTATTGGTTGTGAGTGCTCTAAATCTTTAGGAGATGAATTAATAACTGATTCTTCAGGCAATTTTTCAATTACCTCTTCACTCGTTGAATTCTCCTGTGGAATTTCATTTTTTGGAACATTATCATCATCATTATCTATTGATTTTGTAGGCACTTCGAATGATAGTTCACGTTTTAAAATGGAATATTCTCGTATCATTTTCTTTGGAACATATCCTCGCTTGCCGAGAATCTGTGAATAAAAAAAAATAAGAAAATCCAAATTTTACACAACCTTTTTTTTTAATTTTAATATTGCTTCCTCGTGGAGGAAGTATTACAGGTTTGCGCCGCGTTTATGCTTAACTAAAATTTCCTGACTTTTTCAAGTTTTCCGGGACAAAATATAGTATTTTTCCAGGTTATTTATAAAAATTTTTTCTTACAGGGTGTCTAACAACTGCTAAGGAAAAAATTTCCTGAATTTCCCCTGACCTAAATTACAATAAATTCTAATAAATTCTTTAATTATCTTCTTAATTATTAAATTTAATTAATTTAATAATTAAGAAGATAATTAAAGAATTTGTTTACGGGGCGGTTCAAGTCCTACACATTTAGATTCTACACCGTATAAATTCTACACGTTAGATTCTACACAAGTTAAATTTTGCACAATATATTTGTTAAATTCTACACGTTAGATTCTACAATGTTAAATTCTACACACATTTATATTTAAAAATAAAAATTAATTCATTAAATTCCACACAGTTAAATTGTACATCGTTAAATTCAACACACTTTTATATTTAAAAATAAAAAAAATTTTGTTAAATTCTACACAGTTAAATTCTACAAAATAAATTTCTTCACAGTTTTTTAGTTGTGTTAAATTCTACACACGTTTATATAATAAAAAATATTAATTTTGTTAAATTCTACACAGTTAAATTGAACACCGTTAAATTCTGCACAAATTTATTTTAAGAAATGAAAATTATTACTGTAAAATTCTACACAGTTAAATTCTATAAAATAAATATATTAGTTTTGTTAAATTAACTGTGTAGAATTTTATAGTAATAATTATCATTTTTTTAAACAAATTTGTGCAGAGTTTAACGGTGTTCAATTTAACTGTGTAGAATTTAACAAAATTATTTTTATTTTTAAATATAAAAGTGTGTTTAATTTAACTGTGTGGAATTTAACGAATTAATTTTTATTTTTAAATATAAATGTGTGTAGAATTTAACATTGTAGAATCTAACGTGTAGAATTTATACGGTGTAGAATCTAAATGTGTAGGACTTGAACCGCCCCGAAAAAAGTAAAAAATTTTTGAAACTAATAGTTACTTTAATTTATTCATAAAAAATTCTAGAAAATTAAAGAAATTCTCTGATTTTTCCCTGACCATTTAAATTTCCTGACTTTCCCTGACTGTTAGATACGCTGAAGAAATATTTTGCAGGCAAAAATTTATAAAAATTTTTATTATAAAAAATTATTTCTTTAGAAATCGTTTATCATAAACGTTGTGTACTTTTCAGCATCATGAAAATAAAAAGAAAGAAAAAAATGACCAATCGAGTTTTAAAACTGAAAAATAAAACTTGATTTTGAAAAAGAGGGTTTAAAATTTTTTTTATATCGAAAACTACATGAAAAATTCTTAAAAAATCCCTATTTGAAAATTAAATTTTATTAATTTATGTAAAAGATGCTTTCTATATATTTTTTTTTAATTAGTTAATATTTTTAAAATTTTTTGCTTTTAAATAGGACAATAATTTAATTAACCCAATCAATCACAATCTTTTATTTTTTAGAGTTTTTCAAAACGCATATTTTGCTTTATTTGATTACAAAAATTTATTTAACTTTGAAATTATCATAACCAATTTAGAGAATAATTAAAAACGAATCAATTGATCTATTTGTGAACCTATAATATACAATATTATCAAGTTATTGACATTTTAAAATTATAAATTTAGTTTTTAAAAATACCATTTATAAAAGTTTTTTTATTAGTTCTTATTTAAACTCTAATGTATAGCTTCTAAATTACATAAATTACTAAAAGTATTATTATACTAAATAAGTTACCATAACACAAAAAAATTTCCATGAGGAAGCAAAAATTCATATTTCAACTTTTCAGCGGTTTTTAAAAATTTCATATTCATTAAATTTATAATAATTTATTTAATTTAATTCAAATAATTAAACGTCAAATATAATTTTCTTCCCTTTGCAATTTCAAAGAAATGTTAATTTTCTCTTTTATCTTATACGTACACGTCACTTATTATTATTATTTAATTAGGGAAACAAAAATCCACTTAACTTTCTCTAATTGAATCCTAAGCTACAAATATAATTATTAACTAAAATTCGTATATAATTTATTTTAAAATTTAAGTTACCAAAAAAAAATTTTCCCTATTTATGTAAAACAAAAATTAAAAGTCATTCTCACCTCGACACCCCAAAGATCAGGTCGGTTACCTGCACTTTTACTGAAAACTTTAACCTCGATGTTTGGATGAAAAGAGAGTATATCTTCATCATTGGAATAATACATTAACAATGTCTTCGCCAAAGAAACGGGTTCTGTTTATGCATAAAAAATAAATATGTCAAAATTGTAGTAAAACATATATGTTATGTATTATATTATATATATAGTAAATAAGAATATACGAGCTGTCAATCATGGTTACAGCAGATAAAGTTAAAGTATGGCTTCAATTACCAGAACACTTTTCATCATAACATAGCCGTTTATTTGAAATAATTGCTGAACTAGATGATATGAGGGTAATTATATAAATAATTAATGAAAGGGGAAATATCATAAATGGAATAATTTTCGTCATATTTTTTTACAAGTAAACTTCCACATCACTACAAAAATTACACAGCCTTGGACGCACGTCGCACTCATAGATTATATACATATAACAAGATAGGAAACTTATATAGATAAGAGTATTTAAATGTGACGTTATCTTCCCTATGTCATTTTGCGTAGATATTTATTTTACCGACACATATACAGGTGTAGAAATAAGTGTTATTATTATATTTATATATACGTCGGTAAAATAAATATCTGCGTGAAATTATCCCTAGCGGAAAAGCGGTAAACTTAATTTAATTTGAAAATATGGCGCGAAAATTTAAAAAACAAAAAAATCCTATTTTAATAATTGTAATTAATATTTTAATTCATATTTTTTAAATTTTGTAATTATTTATAAATAATAGAATAAAATTAGCCATTAGGGGGGATAAAATTTTTAAAATCAATCTTTTAATTATAATAGTAAAATTAATTTGTCATCGGTTTTCGTAAAAATAGAGCAGAAATGGTTTTTAAATTACAAATAAAAAATAAAATATTGATCTCTTTTTTTTTAACTTTTATTTTTTGTTAATATAAAAAATAATTTTCAAAAATTTATATTTATCTACTTACGATTATATTATATACAATCTTAAAATACTTTGTTTTGCGATAATAATTTAATTATCATTAGTATTAAGTAGAAAATGCTTAATTATTGCGTTATAAGATTTTCCAATTCATCTATATAAAGAAAATGTTGTTTTGAACTTTTTCCACTAGTCTCTAGCCACTTTCTAAATGTCATTAGACCCAAATGTGCTTCTGACGATGTTACTTCTTGTGATTTAAAAATTTCATTTAATCTATTCCTATCAATTACATCCAACGACGTAACCCTCTGTAATTCGGTATTTTCTAAATTATTTTCATTTTCCTCGATTTCATTATTTACACATTCCATTTTAAGAAAATCATCAAACGTAATGATATCTTGAAAAGCATCAGACGATTTTACATCACTACTTTGACAATTATTTTCATTTTCTTCTTTACATGATATTTCTACAAATTCTCTTTCTTTATTCACCACTTTTGTATTATTTTTAATGGCAAAATTTATTATTTCTTCATCAGTCTGTGGCTCCCTTCCACAATTATTGTAATTTGTTTCAAACCATTTCATGAAAAATTCTTTAGAATATTCTTCTTTATCTTTTGGTAAAAATTGTGATAATTGATCATAAACTTCGCAAAGAAAACTTGAAAATTCTTCAGCAGATGTTTCACTCGAATAGACGATTTCATTTAAATTATTTGTGATATTGTTCTCAGTATTAAATAAAGAATCAGATAAAAGCGATTTCCATGCTTTTTCAAAACTAGACGAATTTACTTTGTACCATGCTTTACTTATTAGAATTAAACACTCTTGAAAATTTAAATTACTAAAAAATTCATCACAATTTGTTCTTTTGTGACTAACTAATAAAGATTTTAATAAATTTATTTTATAAAGTTTCTTTGTCATTGATATTAAACCCTGCTCCATTGGTTGAATTAATGGTGATGCATTGCGGGGTAAATATAAAACTTCAAAGTTTCCATGTAATGAATTTAATTCATCAACATCAGGATGACATGGTGCATTATCTAAAATTAATATCACTTTTCCTTTTGTGCCAGTCGATTTTTGATGTTCTATGACACGTGGAATAAAAACATCCTTGTACCTAAAATATTGATAATCTATCTAAATTAAAATGATAATTAAAAAACAAATTAATTAATTAAATCAAGTGGTGATAAACAATTTTATTTTGATTAAAATTTGTTTAATAGCAGTATTTAATAAGAAAAATATTTACAAAACTTTATAGAAAAATATTTTTAAAATGGAGCGCATGATTATCCCATAAAATCATCAGACTTTTCATTTTAAAGAATTTTATTATAAATAATTATGTTTTAGACGAATTTTCATTTTTCGAATTAGCATTTAACAGAATTTCTGTTAAAACGAATTTTTACTTAACAAAATTTTTAGCTACCGAATTTTTGTTTGGTATAATTTTTATTTTAAATAATTTTAATTTAGCAGAATTCTAATTCAATCAAATTTTATGTTATTCGAATTATTAAATGACAGAAATTCCAATTCACCGAATTTTAATTTGTCCGAATTTTTAATTGATTGAATTTTTAAGGATGCCGAATTTTTATTTGTTCGAAATTATAAATGTCCGAACAAACAATCGACAGAAAGATTTCGGCGCAATTTTTAAAATTGACTAATTGGAAATTATCAAGAAAATTGTGATTGGCCAATTTTAAAAATTGCGCCGAAATCTTTTTGTCGTTTGTTCGTTCAGACTGAAATGGTATTTCAATAGTCAAAAATTGTATTATAAAAAATTATTTGAAAATTATAAATTAATAAATATTAAATATAAAATTATATTAAGAAATGAAATTAAAACTAGATAAATTGAATTTCTGAAAATAATAGAAAGAGAGAGAAGATAGCTATAGATAACATAATGTAAATGTAAACAGGAAAAATAATAATAGAAAGAGAATGTAGATATAAATTCGAATAAAGAGAATTATTAATTTAATTCAAATTTAAAGATTTTTTTAATAGGATAAAGAATTTTTATGGATTATAATTTAAAGAATAAATTTTTATTTTATATTCTTAAAATTAAAAAAAAAAAATATTAAAAATTATTTTGTTTTATTGCTAAAATTAATAATAATTAAGTGAAATTATATGTTTTATTAAAGTAAAAATTATTTAAAAATTAATGGTAAAAGTTAAATAATTTTTAAATTATTACTTTTTGAGAAATTAAAAATTTTAGAAAATGAAAATCAGTTAGAGGAAAATGATTGACAGGTAGACAATGGCATTGTTTTCGGCGAGCGTTAGAAACGGAATTAGAGAGAGAAAAATATCTCTGACCTTAGATAATAATTTAAATGTAATTGGTAGTGTTGCCGCGATAATGGCGAGAGACGAGACGAGACAGTATTTTTTTAAATATCGCGAAATCGATACAAGACGAGAGAGGTGCCACGAGAGACGAGAATTCTCGACGAGAATTTAAAAAAAAATTAAAGAATTTATTCTGATAGCTATTATAGAACATGGTAGATATACAGTGACTACTAAATCCTTAAATTATTCATATTTAATTTAATAAACTTTTTAAGCAAGATATAATAGGTTATATATATATAAATTATATTTTATATATTATATTTATTAAATGAGCGGTCTTTTTTGGAATATTTTAACTTTTTATTCTAATAAGTCAACGCTTTTATTTAAAAAACTTTAAAAATGAAATTAATTAAAATTTTGTTTTAAATTATTAAAACATGTTTATTTTTATTACTTTTACAATTAAAAATAATCTCCTAAAAAATGTTTTATATATATAAAAATAAAAATAATGTACTTGACTTTGACTGATTAACGCTTTTATGGTTAAGTGACCGCTAAAAAGGCCAATCAGAGTGTGTAAAATTTTATTTTGATATAAATAATATATATATATATATATATATATATATATATATATATAGAATATAATACATATATAAAATCTGAATAAACAGAAAAAAGACGAGACAAGACGAGAATATATAGCATTCTCGACACTCGAGACGAGACAAGACGAGACAGTTGAAATTATCGCCTCGTCTCGTCTCGCGGCAACACTAATCCCGATAAACCCTAAATTTAGTTAGTGTAGGATACAATTAATTTATTCAAATTAATTATCTACTAGGGTTTTTTAGAGATAAATCTATTGAAGTTTAATGTAAATTTTATAGTTTAATGATATATTGTTAAACTATAATAAATCATTGAAGTTTAATCCTTTTATATCAAGAATATAAAAAGATAGAATAGAGTTATGAGAAATTAACCTTTGAAAATTTTGTTGGATACAGTTTTATAAAATGTTTAAATAATTTATTTCTTTTTGCTTCCTCGTGGAGGAAGCTATGTAGTCCTTTCGTTTATAAAATTTTTAAAAATGGTGAAAACAAATTTTCCTCTATATAGAAACATGTTATATGAGATCCTAATCAATTGTCCGGATGTATGTATGTATGTGTGTGTGTGTGTATGTGTGTGTGGATAGTTTTTTTGAACACGATATCTTTAACAGGTTTTAATGGATTTTGGTAAAATTTGGTAGGCTTATTTAACACATTAATCTCTCAAAAATGACGAGAGGATTTTTAAAAATACCCAAAAAAAAATTTTATCGTCTTTTTTCCAAAAATTTTTTTTTAATTGAAAAAATTTTTAAATCGAAAAATTTAAGGTATTATATAATATAATCGTCTTCTTTATGTCAAGATGAATCGATTGATGTATATAAAGTATAGATTTGATTGAAATTTAAAGAATTAATGAAAGTTAAAAAATCAAAAATTCTCATTTTAGCTAAAAAATGATGTGTTTATTTAAATTCATGATTATATATAAAATAATTTTATTCCCTGCATTGAAACGAATTGGTTGGTATATGTAAAGTATAGATTTGATTTAAAATTTGAGAATGAATAAAAATTGAAAAATCGAAAATTCATATTTTAGCTAAAAAATTTTGTGTGTTTTTAAAATTCAAGTTGATGAATAAAATAATTGTATTCCTTGCATTAAAACGAATCGATTCGTATATATAAAGTTTATGTTACACTCAAAATTAATTAAAATTTTCTTTATTTTTCAAAAAATTTAATTAATTTAAAACATTTTTAACTCGAAATTTTTTAAATCAATCAATTGAATTGGAGAAATTCATTGCTTCCTTCACGAGGAAGCGAATTTTTTGCTTCACACAATGAGGAAGCATAATGTTTATGAAATAAACATAAAGGACCCCCTCCTTGTTTTTATAGATTATCAAAACTACTCAAATCAAAATTTCAATTCTATTTACAAGTGATTTAAAGATCCACAATCGTTTTTAAAAACAAAGTATGCTATATCGTCAGATTAACTGTTTATTTATGATTATTTAAATAGAAATATTTAATTCTTTTATTTATTATAATTTTCTTTAGCATCAAATTCTTTGAAACGATAAACAATCAATTGTTTAAACAAGTAAGAGAATTTTTAAAAGTTAATAACAAAAGCTAAAAAACTAAACAATCATTGGAAAGATTCGTTTAATTTAGTTTGAAAAGCGACAAATAACTTAAAAATAAAGAGAAGAATATAAATATATATAAGTATTGCATAGAAATCGGAAAAACAAAAAAAAAAAGATAAATACTAACGTATTTTCATTCCCAAATTTCTACTACATGTTTACAGTCTTATCTGATGATATAGTTCGCACGCGTTTTATTATACCGAATAATAGAAATTAAGAATATAATGTCCCTTTAAATTTTGACAATACTATTGTTTCTTTTATATTAGAGATAATAGAATGTGGGTGATATTTCCCTAAACATTTATGTTTATAGTTTATCAACCACATGTTTAAACTCATTTGCTTCTCAGAATCGATGTGTCACGCAAATTTAATTAAATAAAAATAAAAAATTATATAATATTTTAATAATCCCCGGACTGAGAACTTATGAATGCTTCAGGACATTTGTAATTTTGGACAAATGAAAATTCGGTGAATTGAAATTTTTGTAATTTAAAAATTCGAATAACATAAAATTCAATTGAATGAGAATTCTGTTAAATTAAATTTCTTTGAAATAAAAAGTCATGTAAAGAAAATGACTGTAAAATAAAAATTATGCCAAACAATAATTCGGTAGCTAAGAATTTTGTTAAGTAAAAATTCGTTTTAACAGAAATTCTGTCAAATTTTAATTCGAAAATTGAAAATTCATCTAAAAAATAATTATTTCTAATAAAATACTATAAAATAAAAATTCTAATAAATAATACATAATTTGTATATAATTTTTACAAAATATATACTAAAAGATTAATATATAAAACAATAATAATTGATAATATAAAAAATTACCAAGACATGAAGAGATTTTCATTCATCCATGATTTATTTTGTTCTGTATAGATGATATTGAGATTTTCAATGTATTTTAAGTGTTCATCCTCTGATTTAACAGTAAAAAAATCAGCATCTAAACATCCATGTGTTTTAGTTTCACCAATTATCAACGGAGGAATAGGATGACTACCATTGACATTGGAACAAAATAAAGCAGCAATATGATTGCCATCATCATTTCTTTTTTTTGATGTTGAACTTTTTGTATTTTGATTAAGTTCAATGAATCGCGAAAACGGAGATGTTCGCAAAAAAATGCATGTTTCATCTGCATTATAAATATTATTTAAAGATATATTTTCCAAAGTAATCTTTTCTTTTAAAATATCAGAAAAAAATTGTTCAGCTTCAAAATTATTTGATATGGTTCCATCGTTTGTTTGAATGCTTTTAATGCAGTATCGTTTCTTAAAACCACAAAACCATCCATTGCTTGCCTATATATAAATAATAAAAAATATATTTAAGTGTTTAATGGAAAAATATGTTTTTAAAAAAGCCATTTAAAATTTTAATTTATTAGATTCGCTTAATACGTTGGTGAATTGTTCTTCTATACATGAGAGTAATAAATTCTTTAATTATCTTCTTAATTATTAAATTAATCAGGGTGTCTACCAACTACTAGGAAAAAAATTCCCTGAATTTTCCCTGACCTTACACTAAAAAATTTTTATTTTGATCAAATAAAATTTATTTTGATACAATTAAATCATTTACCTGTCTATTATCCACTAATTTCATATGTATTTGAACCAAATAAATAATGTTTCGTAAAAAATAAAATATTTAAGTGAAATAAATAAACTAATTGGGGGCGTATAAATATTCTCAACATTTAATTTAAAAGAATTTTTACGGCGTCAAATCTTAAATTATCAAATTTTTATTTAGTAAAATTATATAAAGCAGATTTTCTAGTACATCGAATTTCAAATTAATACAAATTCAATTTAACGGAATTTATGTCAAGAAAAATTGCATAAAGAACAAATTTTTTAACAGAATTGTTATTTTAGTAAATTTTGATTTATCAAAATATTTACTTAACAGAATTGTCATTGAATAAATCCACACAATTAAAAGAATTTCTATTTGACAAAATTCTTAATTAACAGAGTTTTTATTAAAGAAAATTTTAATTCGAACTAATTATTATTTATGAAAAATTCTACTTAGTTCTTTTTTTGTCAATTTTTATGGACATAAATTTCGTTAAATTGAAATTATATTAATTTAAAATTTTTAAAAAGTATTAGAAAAAATGCTTTATAAGAGTTCTGCTAAATAGAAATTCTTTTAAATCGAATTTTAGTTAAATGTAAATTGAAAATTTTGCATAATATAACATTCACTTTATTCAATTTTGCTAAATAGAAATTAGATAATTTAATATTCGACGCCGTAAAAATTTTTATAAGTTAAATGTGGGTATTAGCATTTAATAATAAATTATTCGTATTAATGAATAATTTACTTTATTTGAAGTTGAACCGATAAAATAAAATTGTATCAAATAATTTTTATTTATATTAAAAAACCAAATATTTCACTGAAAAAAATTAATTAATTGTTATGCAAGTTTAAAAAATCATTTATTAGTTTCAATAAATAGTAGTAAATAATTATTTACTTAATGAATATAAGATATATCACATTAATAAGTGAGTGTGAAGGCCACTTTTTTTTGTATTTGCTTTAGGAAAAAAGTAAAAAAAATTTTTGAAACTTATAGTTACTTTAATTTATTTATAAGAAATTCCAGAAAATTAAAGAAATTCTCTAACTTTTTCCTGACTTCCTTGATTGTTAGACATCCTGATAATTAATCTAAAAAAAATTCTGGGGTTTAAATTTTGGCTTTATAAGTAACTTTGTTACTTTTGAATCATATTTTTAATTTTACATTAAAATTTATGTTGATATTTTTATTTCAAAGCGAAAACTATGGAGAAATAGCCTTATACTTACCTTAAACTTTGAAGTATTGCCATTGAGCTTTTTATTAAATAAAAGAGCTTTTTGCCGAATTATTGTTATCGAAAGTGGACCACCTCTATCTCTTTCTTGTAAAAACCATTTTATCATAGCATAATTCAAAAATTTTTCATCGCTTTTCTTAGAAGTTTTTCTATTTAGCGTTTCAAAATTGTTAACATTTTTAATAATCTCTGACTTACGTGAAATTATATTGTAATATGTAGATGGAGAAATTTTATAAATTTGAAGAATTATTTCTTTAGAGACACCGGCTTTAATTTTTTTTAAAAGTTCAAATTTTTCTATATACGTTAACGGCTTTCGTCTCTTCATTTTTAAAAAAAATTATTTATCATCAAGAAGTTTGCAAGTATGTAAACATTAGAATTCAATAAAGTTTGACAGATAAACACATGTTTTTGGGTTATGTGCGAAAGGCGAAACAATCACATGTGTTGATAACTTCTTTAAAAAATATGTCGCCTTGATGATATTCAAAAGCTTCACTATTTTGCCGCAACAACAACACTGCTAAACGTCTAGCAAAAAATAAATAAAAATAAGGCGAGGGATAAACAATTCAATATTTTTGAGCCTAATTATTAAATTAACCAATTAATTAATTTAATTAATTAATTAAAAAGTAATAAATAATAATATGTGACGTTCCATGAAAAAAGGGACCTTAGCTGCAAAAAAATGAAAATTGAGTTTTTGATATCAGTCGATAGATCTTGAGTTGCTCTTTCAGATACAAAAGTTAAAAATTGTACTTTTCTATTTAGTTTTTTTGTTATAAAGCATTAATCATGACCATGTTAATCGCGTTCCAGCACGGACTACAGAAACCATCCCCACCACTTCTACACTAGTATACTTGTCGTAAGCGTGAGCTGTAGGAACGATGTAGTAGTAAGGTGGTGGGGCTGATTTTCGATGGAGGGTCTCAACCAATCAGGGACGCTCTACTTTAAATACCTTTTCTGGAAAATGCGTCTATTGCAGCTAAGGTCCCTTTCCTCATGGAACGTCACATATTAATCAAGATATCGAAAAATCGTCGATCGCAGCGCTACGACCTGTAAAGTGGTGACTGACTGAAGTTTTTAATAACACGTGGGCCAAGAAATCCAAATTTCAGATGTTACTTTCCAACCTTGATGTTTACAATATAAATAATAAAAACAGCTGACAGGTATTTATAAGCGGTGCAAGCAAAAGTACATATATATAATCGGCAAATTCAATTAAACTTTTTTTTTTTGATGAAGTAAATCAATGAAGTAATAAAAATGAAAAGAAATCTTCCAACATATTCAGTTCAGTCAGAAGTTTTTAAAAAATTAAAAACAGTAGATATACCACAACAAAATATTATACAAAATTATCAGATTGTTAACGATGCTCCTACGTATTATTTGGTAATAACACAACCAGAAATTTTAAACAATGATAACAATACAACAACCAGAAACAGAAGAAGAATTTTAAAACAGAGTGATGAAAAATATGTCGATGATGCTATGGCAAAATGGTTTGAGCAAGTTAGAGATAGAGACGAATCAATTTCCGGGAAAATTATTCAAGATAAGGCACTATTTTTCAATGAGAAACTTAATGGACCTAAAGCATTTAAAGTTAGTAACTAAATATTCTTCTTATCTAATTTAATAGTTATATAAACATTCAACACCTTAACATAACCTCACAAAATTTTAGTGTTTTTTGTTTAATTTTTTTTTCCAACTTTTTTCAAAAATACGACTTTTTTCGATTTATTTTAATAATATGCGACTTTTACGACATTCTTTTATATTTAAAAAAAAAAAATTTAAACAAAATACGTTTTTTAGTATACAATGTAGATCTTTTTCAGATCTTCCTTATTTCAATTATTTAACAAATTTTTAATTGAAATAAAATAATTAAAATAAAAAGCAAATAAAATTACCAACAAATTTTCATTCAAAATCACTTGAAATTTAATTATTTGCAAAAATTTCAATTATTTTTAATGATTTTTATAATATTCTTCGAAAATTCAATTATCTGAAATCATTTTTCAATTAAAAACTTTTGGAATTCAATTTTTGTATGTGATTTCTAATAAATTCTTCATTAACAGAAATCACTAAAATTTTCTCTTATTATAATTATTGACTGAAATTTAACACAATCTTATGAAATTCAATTATTTTCAAAAATTTCAATTTAAAAGCTTCTAAAATTTAATTATTTCTAAAATTTTATGAAATTTAATAATTTCAATTATAAGTCTTCTGAAATTCAATTATTTTTAATGATTTTTATAATATTCTTCGAAAATTCAACTATCTGAAACCAATTTTCACTTAAAAAGTTTACGAAGCTGAAGTACGCAACGTTTATGATAAACGATTTTTAAAAAAATAATTTTTTAAAATGAAAAATTCTATAATTTTTTGCCTAAAATATATTTTTTTATAATTTGTTGATTATTGAAAAATACAAAAAATATTTTTTACGCAAAAAATTATAGAATTTTTCATTTTAAAAAATTATTTTTTTAAAAATCGTTTATCATAAACGTTGCGTACTTCAGCTAAAAACTATGACAAAATTTTTAATTCGAATAAATTGCTTAAATCAGACTTCAAAAAATAACAAAAATGGAATTTTAAGAATTTAAATAAAATTTGTGAAAATTTGTCTTACAATTAGTTCGATTCTGAAATATTCGAAAATAAATTTTCTTGATAATATTTTTATATAGTATTTAGTAAAAATCACAAAAAAGTGAAAAATAATATAAAATAGCTTTTTAAAAAACAAATACTACTATTTAAATTAGAAATTAATTTTTGAATATCTTCTATGGAGAAAAATAAAAAGTAAAAAATCCTTTTCAGTTCAATTCATATAAAAATTAAAATTATTTTCCGAATTTTGTAAATTTCTATAGTTATTGCTTAATTCGTTATAATTAGTGAATATAATAACACAGCCCCACAAAAAAAAAGTGTCGTGCGCGGCAGACCAGACTAGTCATTTCCCATGTATTTTGACGCGCTGAACACGAATCCGAAGTCCGTTTTGCTCCATCACGTCAGGATTTTTTCTAACCTCCAAAAACCTGTCGGATTTTGAGAGTTAGGTTTTTTTTTAAAAAATTGATGGATTTATTTCAAACTTGGTATCTAGGGGTTTTTTGGGTCGCTGATTACGAATCTAAAGTTAGATTTTCAAAATTTAAAATGGCGGCTCCAATATGGCGGACGATATCGACCCTTCAAAGGTGATAATTCCGCACTTACACACGAAACTAGGAACAATTAAACAGTTTGTAAAAGCCTTAGATAAGAAAGGAAACTGTTTCAAATACCTGGAACAAAAGTTTCCAGAAATTTCTGATGCGAAACTAAAAGAAGGGGTTTTCGACGGACCACGTATTCGCAAATTGTTAAAAGATGAGCAATTTATCACCAAGATGAATAAAATGGAGAAAGCCGCATGGCTTAGTTTCAAAGCAGTTGTCGGAAATTTTGTGGGTAATCACAAGAGTGAAAATTGGGAGCAAATAGTTAGTGATATGATTAAAAACTTTGGTAAGTTAGGATGCTTAATGAGCATAAAGTTGCATTACTTAGACTCGCATCGGGATCAATTCCCTGAAAATTTGGGAGATTACAGTGAAGAACAAGGAAAACGATTCCATCAAGATCTGAAAGAATTTGAGCGTCGTTATCAAGGAAGATGGGGTGTAAATATGATGGCCGACTACTGTTGGATGCTGAAAAGGGATATTGTACCTGGAGGCAGCAATTTGAAAAGAAAACCATTACACAGATCCTTTGAGGACAAAAGAGTGCGCTACCATAAAAAGACGTGAATACCTTACACAAAAATTGCCTACCTCTCAAAATCCGACAGGTTTTTGGAGGTTAGAAAAAAATCCTGACGTGATGGAGCAAAACGGACTCCAGATTCGTGTTCAGCGCGTCAAAATACATGGGAAATGACTAGTCTGGTCTGCCGCGCACGACACTTTTTTTTTGTGGGGCTGTGTAATTGTTAATTTTATCCTTATTATTATTATGATTAATTTATACAGGCAAGCAGTGGTTGGATTCATAAATTCAAACAAAGATGTGGTATTCAATATATTCAAAAGAAAGAGGGTAATAATTCAGAAAGTATACAATATTTTTCTCAAGTTTTAAGAGAAAAAATTGAATTAGAAAATTTGTCATTGGAGAATATTTATAATGCCGATGAAACGGGAATTCATTGGAAAATACCAGATTTTTGTACAACTTCCATTGAAACATCAGAAATGAAAGTTTCCAATCGCAATGAAGAAATTTGTAATCGTGTGACGGCATTATTTTGCTCAAACGCCACTGGTAATCATCAAATTCCTCTTTTGGTAATTGGCGAAGAAGAATCACCAAATTGTTTAACAGATTTAATAACAAATAAATTAAAACATAATCGCTTGAAATTTCTCACAAGTCTCAATGTCATTTATACGGGTCAAAGTAGCGCTTGGATGGACAAAGAAATATTCAAACTATGGTAATATCATGTATTACTTTTTTTCTTTTTAGTTTCAAATTTTTCGAATTTTTCTCATCTAATTTTGTACAAATAACATTTTTCAGGTACAGACATGTATTTATTCCAAGTGTTTTGAATCATCAAAAAATGATTGGCACAACTGGAAAAGTACTTTTAATCCTAGATAATGCACCGTGTCATTCAGATCTAGATGAACTTAATTCAGTAAATAGTCAATTTGAAATTATAAATTTGGCACACAATGTACCGTCAATGATTCAACCCATGGAACAGGATTTAATGTCGACAGCAATTAAAATTTATAAAAAAAATTTATTAACATTAATGTTTAAATCAAAATTACGAAATGTTGATGAATTTTGGAGTAATTATAATTTAAAAGACTGTATAACATTTCTTAGCTCAGCGTGGAAAAATTTAAATAATTCCCCTCTACTACGACAAGCGTGGACATTAATTTTGGATAATTATTGTGATACTTCCGTTTATTACACTGTTTGTTCTAACAATGAAAATTTATCTGTATTATCCAACAACAGTCGTCTCATTGAGGAATTATCACAATTTCCCGATGAAATTTGTGATAAATTAATTGCTCGTCATTCACCAGGAGCCGATTGTTCGATAAGAAAATTACAAAAAGACAAGGTAATTATTGTAAAATGGTTTAAAACACGTGATGATTTTGGTTGGGAACCAATAACGGACAATGAAATTGTTGATTTAATTTTAAATAATAAGAAAAAAGATGAAATGGTAAATGAATTTTCCATAGTAGATTGCGAAAATGAGAATTTAGAAAATGAGAATATTACTACAACATCGGAGAAATGTGAAAATGAAATAATGACATTTGATGAGATTAAAAAAAATGAATTAGTAAATATAATGCATGAATATGAAGAAAGTGATAATTATAATGATAAATCTAATCAGATTACATCTTCAGAGGCATTAAATGCTTTAATGAATGTTAAAAAATGGATAATGTCCTGTGATCAAACTTCAGAAAATCATCATCATTACATTGCTGAATTAGAGAATTTAATATCGCAATATTGTTAATATATCTTTTTTAAGCTAAAAAAATAAAAGTAATTTAATTTTTTTATAATTTAAATCTTTTGCTTTAAATATAATTATTATTTTATAATTTAATTTTCTCACTTTACGTTTTTTGACATCAGGAATCAAAAAATTAAATTAATCAAATCTAATATTTTTTCGCGTTTTTCATTTTCTGTAAAATGGATCTTTACCTATATATTTCTAAAAAAAATGTTCCTGTAGATGTTTTTCTTTCATTTTGTAGTTTTAGAATATTCTACAGTCATTTTAGCCAGAGTTATTAACGTCTATTTTTATTTTTCTTTAAAGTTTAAATAAACTTTTTGTTCATAAAGAGTACGCATGATTATGTTCTAAAAATCATTAGTTAGAATTTTCATTTTATGGAATTTCATTTATTATAATTATTTTTGAGTCGAATTTTTATTTGTTCGAATTAGTAGTTTGCAGAATTTTCATCAAAACGATTTTCTATATAACAGAATTTTTGTATAACCAAAAATTGACTTCACAGAATTTTTATTTGCTTTAATTTTAATTTAACATAACAAGCATTTTAAAGAATTTTTATTAAGTAGAAATTTATTGTATAGAATTTTCTTTCAGGTGAATTTTCATTTGTTCGAATTATTATTTGATATAATATATCCATATAACCGATTTTTCATAATACAGAATTTTTACTTAATCAGGCTGTCTAACGGTCAGGGAAGTCAGAGAAAAGTCAGAGAAATTCTTTTATTTTCTAGAATTTTTTATAAATAAATTAAAGTAACTATAAGTTTCAAAAAAAATTTTACTTTTTTCCCAAAGCAAATACAAATTAAAAAGTTGAGCTTCACACTCAATTATTAAGCATGTGATATATCTTATATTCATTAAGTAAATAATTATTTACTACTATTTATTGAATCTAATAAATGATTTTTTAAACTTGGATAACAATTAATTAATTTTTTTCAGTGAAATATTTGGTTTTTTAATATAAACAAAAATTATTTGGTACAATTTTATTTTATCGGTTCAACTTCAAATAAAGTAAATTATTCATTAATACGAATAATTTATAATTTAATGATAATACCCACATTTAACTTATAAAATTTTTTACGGCGTTGAATATTAAATTATCGAATTTCTATTTAGCAACATTGTATAAAGTGGATTTTATATTATGCAAAATTTTCAATTTACATTTAACTAAAATTCGATTTAAAAGAATTTCTATTTAGCAGAACTCTTATAAAGCATTTTTTCTAATACTTTTTTTTAAATTTTAAATTAATATAATTTCAATTTAACGAAATTTATGTCTATAAAAATTGACGAAAAATGAACTAAGTAGAATTTTTCTTAAATGAGAATTCTGTTAAATAACAATTAGTTCGAATTAAAATTTTCTTTAATAAAAACTTTGTTAATTAAGAATTTTGTGAAATAGAAATTCTGTTAATTGTGGATTTATTCAATGACAATTCTGTTAAGTAAATATTTTGAAAAATCTAAATTTACTATAATAACAAATTTGTTAAAAAAATTGTTCTTTATGCAATTTTTCTTGACATAAATTACGTTAAATTTAAATTGTATTTTAATTTGAAATTCGATGTACTAGAAAATCTGCTTTATATAATTTTACTAAATAAAAATTTGATAATTTTAGATTTGACGCCGTAAAAATTCTTTTAAATTAAATGTTGAGAATATTTATACGTCCCCCAATTAGTTTATTTATTTCACTTAAATATTTTATTTTTTACGAAACATTATTTATTTGGTTTAAATACATATGAAATTAGTGGATAATAGACAGGTAAATGATTTAATTGTATCAAAATAAATTTTATTTAATCAAAATAAAATTTTTTTAGTGTAATTTAGGTCAGGGAAAAGTCAAGGAATTTTTTTCCTAGCAGTTGTTAGACACCCTGTTAATCGAAAAATCATTTAACAGAATTTTTAATTGATAGAATTTTCATTTGTTCGAAATTGCAAATGACCGAACAAACAATCGACAGAAAGATTTTTCAAAGCAATTTTTAAAATTAACCAATCACAATTTTATGCATAAAATTGTGATTGGTTGATTTAAAAAATCGCGCCGAAATCGATTGTTTGTTCGGTCATTTGCAATTTCGGACAAATGAAAATTCTATCAATTAGAAATTCTGTTAAATGATTTTTCGCTTAAGTAAAAATTCTGTAGTATGAAAAATCGGTTAAATGGAAATTATATGAAATAATAATTCGAACAAATGAAAATTCACCTGAAAGAAAATTCTATGCAATTAAATTTTACCCAATAAAAATTCTTTAAAATGCCTATTATGTTAAATGAAAATTCGAGCAAATAAAAATTCTGACAAATAAAAATTCGAACAAATAAAAATTCTATGAAGTGAATTTTCGGTTATATAAAAATTCTGTAATATAGAAAATCGTTTTGATGAAAATTCTGCAAAATACGAATTCGAACAAATAAAATTTCGGTTCAAAAATAATTATGACAAATGATATTTCATAAAATGAAAATTCTAACTAATGATTTCTAGAACATAATCATGTGTCCCTCATAAAGTAGTAAATAATAAAGATGAGTGTTTTTTTAAAATCTGAATTATCTCATTATCTATTTCTTTACGTTAGTTCATGAAGCTTTCTATAGATGTCCATAGCGCGCCAATTTTAGTTCTATTTATTTCTACTTTACCATGGTAAATAATCCTTTATAAAAATACTCTAACCTTGAGAAGAAACAAGTTGTTATTGTGTCTTTTTTCATTATGAGACCATTTAAGTTAACTTAACGTTACGCAACATCTCTTATTTCATAAGGAAGATTTTCAAAAAGAAACTGCATTACCTTTTAAGCGAAGACAGTTCTTTATTATCTTATACCAATATACAAATGGATTCTGATTTATAGTTTTGATTTTTGTTACCCACACAGCACAAAATATTATTATAATATTAAAATTTTGCAATGATCGCAGCAGATTGCATTGTTGCAAAATTGAAACCCTAATGCTGAAATGTTTTACAATATTCTGGCAATATTTCATATGATGCGACCTCTTTCAAATACAATACCTTTTACAATACCTAATAGTTATATTAAAAATTTTTAATTGTTAAATTAATAACATTTACAATATTCATTTTATCACCAAGATAAATCATTGTCTTAGATTGTTAAGGCCCAAGTGAAACATGTATTCATTCAAAAGGTTTTAGAGTAAGAAAATGTGCACATCATCATCATATCTGTTTCATACCAATAGAATCTACTCTTTCTTTTGTTGAACAAGTTATATAATTTTAATTCCCAACACTGCGGTTTACAGTAGACCCATAATATCATCAAATGAATTATTTGTAATGTAAAAAAAAAATTCTAACGAAATTGTTGGACAAAAAATCTTATCTCTAGTCTACGCAAGAGATTGAGCTCGGGTATAGAAGAATTAACTAAATTCTATAATTATCTGTGGATTTATTGAGATATTTATAATTTTTTTAGGCTCTATAAATTTAATCAAAATTAGAATTTGGAACATTTGTTCAATTAATGGTTTACAGGCTTTTTTTTAAATAATATATAGTATAGATGCCAGCAAAAAAGAAAAATATGCCTTGAAAGGAATCGATGAGAATAGATACAATCTAAATACGTTTCAATGACATTTTAGATTTTACAATCCTAGTTTAAGACAATTTCAATAGAAATTTATTTTACGCGCACTTGGCGATATATAATTATAAAAATTATAGCACTTTTTTGTTTGATTACTTTTTTTAAATTTTCTGCTTTCATTAAAGTGCTGTATTAATTTTTTATATAAATGAATAAGAAGAGGATCTCTAACTAAAATGTTGAATATAATATATTTTTGACTACAGTGCATAATTTAAAGAAACTTCGAATACTACTAAATATTAAATATATGTGTCGAAAGTCGTCTAAATACAAAAAATAGAATGATTTTGTATCACTTTTTCCAAGTAGCACTATGTAATGGGTGTTATATGATATCATATATAAGGATATTTCCTACATCAGTATTAGGGCGTTGTCAAAGTTATATAATAAGCAGATCAGGAATTATAAAACGTTTACTTGGATTCATTGGGATTTAGAACTTCTACAGAGAACTCATTGCCTGAAACATTATTGGCCTTATTGTCCGTTTTGCTTTTAGCATCACCGTTGGGAGACTTTACTGCTAGAATCGATACACCATCGGGCTCCAGTGGCGAGGAGGAGGCTTGCCCAACCTCCCGTTGACTGCCATTTTGACCTGAGAAGTCTTCAAACCCCACTTCACTCTCTTTGCTTCTATCATCATTCCATTCCACTGAATTAACGGTCGCGACCTTACTATTCTTGTGGATATAGTACCAATTGCCTATTCGAAAGCCCCAATCCTTTCTATCAGGGTCGAACTTTAGGGTTTCTGCCAAAAGAAACAAGAAATTCATTATAGCTATATGTACTTTGAACTTTATTGCTCCGCGAATAAATGTTATTGGTCTTATTATTTGATAAATATCAAACAATTGATAAAAGTTCTATTCAATTCTAATCTCCGAAAAAACTAATAATTTTCTATAAAAGGTTTTGATAAAAATTCTATCAAATTCTATCCTCCAAAAAATCTAAAATCGAAACGTTAAAGATGTTTTAGATATACCTGTATATCTTTCCTGTTCAAAAATTGGCAAAATTTTGTAGAAATACTAATTTAGTATATTAATTGGGACATAACATCAATGAATGATTAGAATAAGTCGGATGGGTCACCAATTAAATTCATTATTAGGAGGTGAACTAAGGCCACAGTTCCATGACAGCGTTTTGCGTTGCGTTTTGTTACTAGATCATGAGTGTAAAAGAAATGAAGATATATATATATATATTTGCTATGTTTACACTCATGGCCTAGTTGCAAAACGCAACGCAAAACGTTGTCATGGGACTGCTGCTTAACTGAATTCAATAAACTAATCATTGTCTAGGGTACCAAGAAATATCTATTTTCAACCCAGTGGGCAAAGGGATGTCTTAAAAGCGTCTAAAAGACGTCTCATTTTGTCTGCAGACATCTGGGGGACAATGATAGTAAAGTCTCGGAGACATCACAAAGACAACTAAAAGACGTCCATAAGACGTTTTTTGGACGTCTAAAAGACATCTTTCAGACGTCCTATAAGAAAGGGAGAGATTTTTTCCAACCTCATTCCTTCAGATCTTCTTAAATAGACATTTCTTTCACAATATTTTTTAAATTGAAGTACAATAATACTGTATTAAGGATCAGTTTCACCAACTCCGGTTAAAAGATAATCAGCGATTAAATCCCTAACCGACCAATCATGAGCGGTTAAATTGGCTTTAATCGCCGATTAACTTTTAACCGGAGTTTGTGAAACTGGCCCTAAATTTATTTTAAGTTTAATTTTATATTTTTAAAATTATACAGAATTAATGAAAAAATATTTATGGAACTAAGATCGAACTCGGATACTTTGAGTTTTTGAAGCATTGCGCCTTAAGCACCTCAGCTGTTGAAAACAGATATGAATCTCTATAAAGTTCACGATCTCACTTCTCAATAAAATGAATTTAACTTAGAAAAATTCCAATAACTTTTATCTTCAGCAGTTTCGAAGTCCAAGTTAAACTTAGAAAATGACATTATTTTTTATCTATTTATGAAAATTTTTCTATTTTCAAAATTTGAAACAAAAATTGTCTTTAGGACATCTTAATGAAGTCTAATGGCCAAGACATATAGAACATTCTTAGGACGTCTTTAAGACGTCTTTTGTCACAAGTCCAAAAAACGTCTGCAAAAAGTTATCCTTAGGACGTCTTTTGAACAAGTGTGCCCACTGGGAACGTTGAAGCAGTATCTTTTGTTTTGGAATTTATTAGAACAATATCAATTTTTAGTTACGCATGCGATCTTAATCAGACATTATAAATTAATTATATTGATTGATTACTCCATTTAACAAAAACATTTAGATCGTCCTGCAACCTCTCACAGAGACAGATGTAGATGAGACAAACAAGTTAGAACCCTCTAAGGTATATCAAATGTTCAATAAAACCAAGCTTCCCTCTTTATGTTTATTGACAAATATATTATACTTCCGGCATAAAGCCTTATACCGTTTTTTTAAAAGCAGTTTTTGCATGTAAAATTGCAATAGAATTCCATCCATTTTTAATTTTTAAAATAGTTTGAGCATGATTCATTAAATACTACCCTAATGAAGATGTTTTAATTTCTACATTTGCTATTTTTTAGATTCTTTGATAAATTGTTTGCTTAAGTATTACTTACTTAAGTCTACAAGAGAAAATTGTCCCTCTATATTTTTATTTATTCCTCCGGAATTCAGCAATATCTTTCCCAAACTTTCAAAGGCAATAACGGTTTTGGTATTTCTGAACCAATTATGAAAGGCATCAGCAAGACGATCGCGTTGATGATGAATGCGAGTCAGGATATTATCTGCATAAAACAAAAAATTTTTTTTTAATTATATCATTCTACAAAGCAGAAACTTGTTATAATACTTTGGTATAGTTAATTTTCAGATGTTTCTAAAAGAGTTACTAAACAAATCTTAAAATGTATTATTTTTTTAAAGTTTAAGTTATTTAGAAGGCGTGTTTTATTGTTATATTCATTAAGATGTTTCTTATTGCAGTGATTATTATTTATTTAAATTCTTGATTTAAAAAATATGAACAAAAAGAAAACAAAATCAATTCTACAATAAGCTGATATTTCCAAAAGTAGCAAATGCAAATAATAATCGTATTAAATTTTTCAACTTTTATTTTGTTTTCTCAATCGGGCCAATACGTAATAATCAAAATAAGCCATAGGTATAAGAAAATAATTAATTTCATAAAGAAATTATTGATTATTTGTCGATTTATTAATGTTTCTACATACTTTCTGAATTTAAATAAGTGAAAATTTAGAGAGTATATGCACTTCCAGGCAATTGGAAAGTTTTTAACGGAGTCATATCTGTTAATTGAAAATTGCGTAAAACTATTATTTACAAAAAGAAATCGCTGTAAAACCCGTTTAATTAAAATCTCTTATAATTTTAACAGTTACTTATATGTATATAACTACACTTATAAGTTGCATATGGGAAAATCCACGAAACTTTTAACTTTCAAGAAAAAAAAATTCTTTTTTTAATTTGCAGGCACATTGATGTCACTTTGTAATACACGTTTAAGTTCACTTTAGCACTACAAATTTATATGCGTGATTCATTTTAAGCTCACGCCGTCAATGTTTAATTCTTTAAACTCTTTAATGTTAATAAATTACATATAAAATTGAAAAATTCAACTTTTTTTATTTTTGATATCGGAGTGGTTTCGAAAGTATTTTCGTCCTCTAAACACGATTCTGACATCCAAATTTGCTTATCAGGATTTTGAGAAAATAGGGGGTAAAGTGTTTTCAGCATATTCTTAACTTAATAAAATTTATTTCACTCAAAATCCTTAAGCGGCGTTTTTGTGTTCAAATATATGTATGAAAATGTTTCGATCACACCATAGATTGACCTGTTTAAAGCAAAAATGAAGTTGTACGTGCCTTTCAAAAATGTATAAATTTAAATGAAATTACGATTTTTATTATCATCTTTAAATTATTGCCACAGGAATATAATTAAGGGCACATCATTGAAAAAGGTGTTAAAATTTTTGTTTTTTCATCACCTTTTAAGAAATGCATTGAACTTTTATTTTTATCCAACGCCGTAATAGATATTTTCATAAGAAGACGTTCAACTGAATTTTTTTAAAAAGTGCTATCACTCAATCGAACCTTCGTATTTTTAGTTTTAGTGGTGGTACACTAATAAGATAGTGAAAATTTTTTGACAAAATATGTCTGTTAGATATTTCCATAGTAGCAGCTGAAGTGATATTTTACACGCCGAAAAAATAAAAACGTTAAGAATATAAACTTTTTCAAGAAATTCAAATGAAATTTAAGAATTTTTACATTTTAACTTATAAAAATAATTGTCAAATAAATATTTTGTTCTAATACTGCACATAAATGTTCCTTTGTATATAATTTAGCAAAAAAAAAAAAAAAAATGATACTCAAAGTTTCAATTAAAAATAATTTAAATTTTTAAGTGTTCGATTCGAGAATCACAAAAGTTAAAAGTTTCGTGGATTTGCCCCATATACACAAATTTCTATAAACAATATATCTGCTTGAAATTGAAAATAACATAAATTTGTTTTTTAAATTCTATATCTTTATATTAAAATCTAAATATGTATAACATAAAAGTATAAAAATGTAAACTGCAAAAAGAAGTATATATCTTATTTTAAGATGTTTTGGTAGCGTTTTCAATACATCAAGACATCTTATAATGTCTTAAAAACGCTACCAAAACATCTTAAAATAAGATACTTCTTTTTGCAGTGTATTAAGGTAAAGTAGAGAATTCCCAGTGTGTTAAAATTTGTCAATAATATTACGTGAAAAATCTATTTCTAAAATTATTAAAGTGAGAAGATTTTATCCGCTTATTCCAATCTCTTATGATATTGAACTTAGGAGTTGAGAAGTTACATGAATTCTAGTAACTGGAATGGTATTTATATAAAATTCTACATGATTATTAACAAACTGTAATAATCCTACATATAGCACTTACCAATTTCTCAACATTGCATTTCTGTTTCCTGAAATGTTGGAGAGGAGCAGAAAATCATTTCCTAATCGCGTCCCAAGTTAGCTGGAAATGATTGCAATGTCCGCTTGTGAAAACGATCGACAAACGTGCACGGAGAAAATTTGTTCCGGATATTTTACTGAATTTTAACTGAAAGTTGGGATATAGTTGCACAAATGGAATTTTTCAAATTTTTTTTTTATTTTTTGTAGTGATGATAGTTAAAACTTGATATGATATTTTAATTTATTACAAGCTAGTACTGTAAATATATGAAAAATTTGAATCATTAAACATTGGTTTATATTACGATAATTATAGCCAGCTCTCCTGAGTATTTTCTTTCTGTGCACTACATAATTCAAGTCCAGTTCGGTAAAACTTATGTACAATTCTAATCGTATTTGTTTTCAGGATTGAAGTACTTTTTTATGAACTTATACCTTTTATATATATATATATATATATATTATTACACAGTCTTTTTTCAATTTTTCAGAAAACATAATAAAAATTATTTTAATTCATTAACTATTATTAGAGGTGAAATAAACAAAAAATTGAATTTTGCTCAGATGTATTTTCAAACTAAATCATATTTTTATATTAAATTTTAGGGAAAATAATTTATTTTTAATATACAAACAAAATAATTTTTATTCATTAATTTGTTTCTATTTGAATCACAAATAAATTTTAAATAAAAATTTTAGAAAAAATGAATTAATTACTTAAAAAAATAAGTTTGCTTCCTAATTTTGTCATATGTAGTCTTAAAATTAGTTGTCATATTCAGAAATAATTGAATCTAAATTATTTTATTTTTTTCAATAATTGTTTGAACGTTTCTCACAAGCGGTAAACTAAAATCCTGGCTAATATATAAGGACAGGTCAAACCTTCTGAAGCAATGTAAAGCGAGCGATTATATGTATTGCGTTATTTTATATGTATGCGTTTAGTATGTATTACGTAAAATAAAAATGTGTTGCGTGTATTAGGTGTAAGGTTAACATGATGTACTATTTCAATTCGTATATGTGAGTATCAAATTGTGAACCATCAGAGAATCATTAAAGTAGGTGAATTGAGATTTCCAGTAATGGTAATATTTATTTTTTATATTTCTGCCTGAAGTTTTACCGAACTCTTCATTAATAATTTAAATAATTTATGAAATTTCAATTCTGATTTATCAAAACCGGACCTTAATATTCTTAGCTATTGTTCTAGTTTATGTACTGTCAGTACCTTACGGTTTCCCGAACTGAACTTGAGACACAAATATATGTGTTATAATATTTTATGCCTTTTGCATTACAGTTTTATGAAATTCATTTTACTGTACTAATTATTGAAAATTACCGTTTTGCTGTTTTATCCCAATTTCACCGAATTAAGTTCAGTAAAACTCTCGAAACAAATTTTCTCCGTGTGTTTTACTTTCAAGTACTTAAAAGTGTTTTCTTTAATGTCTAGGGCTGCGTAATGAATTTTTATGGAGGTACAATAATGTTACTTTATCCATATTCAGATTTTTCGTTACAACATTTTTTTTAAAAAAACAATAGTTTTTTATAAAAAGTTGAATTATTTACAAAATAATATTCTAAAACCTTATAGTTGAGTCCATAAAAATTTACTGCGCAAGCCTATAGACGTTAAGGAAAACTACTGCGTATAGTAAATTTACCCACGTTATTATTTGGAAAGTAATTTGGAAATGATTTCATGTTGCTCACCATCATTTCAGGAATATTGACATTCTCTGCAGATTTGCAAAATAGTTAAAAATAATTAGAATAAATCTTATTTTTATAAGTCAAACTTTATTGGGAATGCATCAGTGACTTTAGAATTTATATTTTCAGTGTAGGTACTGAAATTTAAAATTAGAAATAATGTTTTATTTTTGATGAACATATATCACTCAACTTTTTTCATAATTCTTGGAGCATGCAAAAAAAAAAAAACGAAATTTTAATCTTAGTATTTCTGAGAACTTAGTAGACATGCTGTTTGTTTACGTTACTCCCCGTCATAAAAAATCATGACAGTATGTGAATTACATTTACGTGCAATATTTCAACGTTGTTTTGTAATTCTTTCAAAATTAAGTACAATAAATTACAAAATAAACTTTTCATTACTCAGGAACAATACCTTTCGTAAAAAAAGTATTCGAAATTTTTTACACTTGTAAACATTATACCTGTCGGGAAATTGTTTTAGTGTAAATATAGATAATAAGGAAATTAGGTAAAAATTTCATCAATTTTAGATCATTTGAGCAAATTTTTTTGAATTTGCTAGTTTAGGGTTCTTGGAGAATTAGAAAAAAATCTACTGACTCCTCTGTTTGGCTCTTACTGGCTGCCTGATGTGCAGGCAGCTGGAGGTGTACAAGCGCCTTAATATAAATGTTCAGTAAAGTTTTGGTTCTGTGTGGATAATAAGTTGATATGCTTTTTCATTTCCTTGAGTTCCAATGCATACAATGAAATCGCAAATTAATTATTAAATTAATAGTAATTAATATATTGTTTAAAGTTTTTAAATAAATTGATGAGCCAAGCTCTAAAAAATTGAAAGTGCTTAAAAAAAGTCTGAAATTGTGGAAGTTAAATTTTTTATTACTTAAAATTATTTTAAGCGCAACGTTTAAGGTATTAAAAGAAAATACATTTGCTTAGAAATGCGATCTTCATTTTATTTACAAAGTCATTTAGCAACTTCAGTCAGTATATATGAGCGGCAACAAGATTTTTAATATTAATAACTCGAAAATAATATGAATTCTATAATGTAAAATTGTTATAATTTAGGTTTTATAATACAATGATTGATACTGAGTCGCGATTGTATTCATATGCGTCATAGTGATAAAACGGTTGACGTACATATCCTCCAAAGTATATCTAAATATATTAAAATTAGAAAGTGTTCACCTTAATCAATAGTACGTTATTTTTTCAGAAAACCAAAATCAGGTCACACTGATCGTTTGTACTAGTTAAACAGCTATCTTAGAAGTTACAATAACATTCTCATTTTTAGTTCTAAACAGATTTCTGTATTATACATGAATAAAACATTTATAATGCCTACATATATCTGTAATATTACATTAGAAATTTGAAAATACTGTAAATAATTTGTATATGTAAGAAAATGATATAAAGTTTTTATCTGGGTATTCCAACAGGGAACGAGCTTCTTTTGACATCACAGAAAATTAAAAGGCATTAAAATAAGCTGCAACGCTTATTATTTTAATCCAATTTTGCTTATTTTAATCCATTTTGGTATTAAAAAATTGGATTAAAATGATAAGCGTTGCAGCTTATTTTAATGCCTTTTAATTTTCTGTGATATAGTGCAGTTATCAATAATAAATTTAACCATATGGGGAAAACTTTATTCTTTATTAACTGAAATTAATGTTAAAATGATTGTGCTAGAAAAACTAGAACACTCCATTTCTGAATTCCATTCACAAAACAAAGATAGTATGCGAATTTTTCATGTAATCTAATCGTGAAATAAAATAGTAGTATACAATAGTATAAGTGAAAATACATATTCCGAGTTTCAGTATCGAAGGTCAAAATAGCTGCGGTTTCAAATCACAACGTACAAAATTAATTTCTTTTACGGCCATTTCGTAAACAAAACCTAAATAGTCCTTTAATAAGGACAATCACTTTAAAGTAAAAAAATAAAACTTCTTTAATATTTTGGTTGAAGCAGTTTTATCCCTCTAATTCTTTAAAAATAGAACAATATTCTCCACTAGAAATATTAAATTTGTACAATACACAAACCTCCTAATGTCGCTGCACAGTAAATATTCAAGCAAAGAACAAATATTGCTAGTCGCATTTTCACTTAATGACGAGTAGATATATTTACGCTCGAGAAAAATGATTTTTGCAACCTACAGAGACACGGGAAGTGCATGTGTCTCTTCATTATAGCGTGAATAGAATATAACTTATCAGGAATCTTTTGTTTTTTTCCGCTAAAACTTAAAAGATCATGATAATTTTAGTCAAATGATGTGATATGAAATTACAGTATGACGTAAATTAAAACATATTTGAATCAACGCGACTTGAACGAAGCATTATTGGGTGGGTGATATAACTAGGTGTCTATAACGGGTGTTCAGGAATCGATTTAGGAATATGTTCGGAGTTGTATTCTTCTGACTCTTATTGTTAATGTGAATATTACTGAATGCATATTCAGTATAACAGTGACAATATTGTATAAAGTCTCTTTCTAGAAATTTTTAATAAAGTGGCACAAAATATTTCCAATTTGGAAATTTAAAAACAAGAATATCCTTTCCTTTCAATTAACTCCTTCATTATAAATGAGTGTAAAAATTTAGTACGTTTAACTGCAACGATAAGTAAATTTTGCGAACCCGCAGAGGGAATTCATTCACGTACAAATTAAACGAAAGTTATGAAGTTAATCAACAAAGCAAAATCATCAAAGAAATGTACAGAAACCAGAATATTTTGTAGTAATATATATATATATATTTATTTAGAGTATTATTATTGGAAGAGAAAATTTGTCCGTGCAAATATCTATATATAAGTACATGGCAAAGAGTTCATAGTAGCATGATCGTTGGGAACCAAATTCAGAGCAAAAAAGGGACTAATGAAGTAGACAATGGCAGAAAATGAAGATGGATCGAATGTTTTTGGCACGGTCTGCTGCCGCTATTTCAACTCATAAATGTGAGTTTCTCTTCAGTGAACAATTCCACTGCGAAATTTCCACTAACACTCTACTCCATTCCCCCAAAACTTGTATATGTATGGAGAGAAAGGTATTTCAAAACAAAGGCATGATTACAGTAGCACTTTTAAAATTGCTTATACCATTCCCATAATGTTTGCCATTTTCCCTCCGTTTAGTTGTTATCAAATAATAGCTATATAAATTATCTAAAATTTTGCCAAACTTCGTAGTAAAAATATGATCTGATATGAATATGAACTTTAAGAATTACCAATTATTTCGGTAAAAAATTCGTTACATGTCAAGTGGGATATATTTGATATAATGATAGAGGCTTACTCTGCAGACTTTATATCAATATATCTAATTATTTTCTTTTAAAGTTCAAGTTATTCATTATTGAAAGAAAATTTTACATTCAACAACTGATTATATGGTATATGATTTATATTTTAAGCAACTGGTAAATGTGAATTTAGCTGGGGTATAAAATTTTCAAAAAGCCTAAATCTGTACTGGATACGGTATGAACTGATTTGTATCTCTTTCAGATAGAAATTCAATGTGAAGATTATTCTCCTTAGACGAGATAAGATATCGATTTGCTCCGTGTAAAAGTATCGTCTGTATTAGTTGTATTTTGTATCACGTTAAATTGTTTCTTTTTGCGAAGGCATGATAACACTAAATTATATATTGAATACATCATTTTGAATTTTCTATAAGGATGCAGTGGATACCAAGTTTTAATTGTAATTATGAGTCAGCTATTTGTACAGATATAATCATAAATTCCCATATATTACCCTGTCCTCTAATCCCAAACACCTTGGAGTGATGGTACAAATAGAGTCGCAGGGTATTATTCTACATTGAATGTACAAAAAAGTTTTGTATAATATTCTATCAGGAAAATAAATCTGTTACTAAATTTTATTAATGTGAGTTTTTCTCAATTAATAAACATGGTAACGTAATATCAAATACTTCAAATATTTCTCCTCCCAACAGTAGGTTTGATCAGATTTTAGTGGAAGTGCGTTTGGGGTCGGATACGGTCGAAGCATTGCGCACATGCGCAATAAAGTAAAAGCAGAGGAAGAGCCTTCTTCATGTTCAGCTTTTATTTCCATTCTCTATAGCCTTGAGCGGATGCCTTACAGTGTTGCCATACTGCGCATCTTCTTTCAGGTTTCGTAAAGAATAGATTTCCATTATAGCATTTTGTCAATTAAAAAAAAATCTGGACTTATGAAATACTTTCACTAATAATTGTCGTTATTTGACAAATTGAAAGGAAATGCCATTTTCTGAAACAATTCTGAAAAGGTCATTATGGATTTGGTATATTAAGAATATTTCTTTACTTCTGTTGATTTACACCTTCCTCTTCATCAAATGATGGTGCTAATATTATTTGGTTCCAAATTCTAAAAACATTGAATTAATTTTTGGTAAAAAATAAAGTGATTTCTGGATTTTTCATAAGAAACAGTAGAAACGCTCAGAGTTATAAAATATGTAGGAATAGTAGACTCGTCCGTATGGATGAGTTGAAGTTATGAAAGCAGGAGGCGTCTGGTTTCTCACTACTACAGCTATATACCTACAACGCTCCCCTCGTAATTCAGTTCACTACGCAGCAAAATGCTTTCCATCAAGTCACCTGCCCATCATGGCAAAGCAACTAAAGGAGTAGACTAATTCTTACGGACAAGATACATGAAGGAAAACAAAATGATAGATATACGCAGTTGTTGATGGATAAATAGCGGAGTTTGCGCAACAAATATCGCAGGTCACTTGTGATAATTATTCTCTTTCTTTACTTTACTACTTAAATAGCAGTTCTATATGAAGCAATTCTGTTTTATAAAGAATAACCATTATATTTATGTACAAGAATTCTACATCATTGTTTGATGGATCGCAAATTTTCTTTATCCTTCCGTTCTCTATAAAATATGTCTTCAAGCTTTATCTCATACATTTGCGCAAACTCGTGATTATCAACAAAACTTTCGACAATATATATATAAAGTACTTCTAACAAAAACGTTTGAAAATTTCAGTCAAAAAAATAATCCAGAACTAAAATGTAGTTGTTAAATTAGTTAAGAAAAGACAATGTAAGGGTTGATTATGCAGGAGAATTACCACCAATACAGAAAATCCATTTTTGTGAATGTTTTAATGGGTGGAATAACAGTAAGTTTATCAAAATTAGCCTCTGCGTGCTTATGGAAAGTCTTTAGAATACGATTCTTTTTCGAGAAATTACCGAAAATACTACACAATTATTACTACTACAAATAATCCTACAGTACTAACGATATTAAGGCGTACTCCGATTGGACGCATATAGGTGTTAGTCTGAATTGCGAGTAAAAACCTCTCTAAAACTTTCCGTACGTACGCCGTGAATGCAGTTTAGCTGAACATATTTTCTTATCGCAGTACTTTTGTAGAGTGACTGACAAGAAAATCTTGCTAGAATTACAATTTGAAAAACTGCACAAGAATGAGAATACCGTTTATTTTTGATGTCAGTTTGTGAAAAATCGAAAGTTTAGATTATGTATGTGTAAATTATTACAGTATTATAATACAGTGCAATTCTATTTGCCTAAACAACAGTCAATATACGATCTATTAAAAGTAGGTTAGTACATTTGTATAACTTTGATAATAATCAAGAACTAATATGTTCAAACACTAGGAACAATAATATATTGTCATAATTGCTATTGTCACATACGACTAGTCTAAAAATCAATAAGTCTATTTTTACTAAGATTTATATTTATAAAGTTAGTTTCATATATATGTATATATTTATTGATTATTTTTAATGTACCTGATGGCATTATCTATTTATCCATTAATGTTATAATATCATAAACACGCAATACAGAATGAGCAGTTAAAGAAGGGATGTTTTGAAATACTTGAAGTTTATTAGTAATGAAGCACTCTTTCGCCGTTAAAGATTAAATTGCCGTTACTTTAGAATTTAAACTAGAAGTAAAAGGTAAAAGTAAAAATGTTGGTATAGAAAATATCGGATCCCTAATTGGCTAATCGTGATTGTTATGCAGAATTTTTCCTTTGGAGTGCTATTAAAACAATTTCGACTTCAGTTTTTGGGAATTAAGCATGATGGATGATGGAAATTGCTTCGGATCCTATTCTGTCTTTTTTAATAGGTATAAAAAGAAGTAGACCATGTTATCTGATATAAATAGACTGTTAGAATCTTAATATTAATCATAAAAGCAGTTCTTTATTAATATTAAATTAATCTATGTAACTAAGCAAGCAACACAGCGCATCTTATGTCTGCGTCATTTTTGCCATCGACATTCTCTAGCATTCCAATAGTGGTATATAAGATATGAGAGTATTCATATTTTAAATCCCCATATCACCCAAAATGTTTTCAAAAACTGAATAAGATATATGAAATACTACTTTTATCATAGGATAAGAATGTGGAAACAGTGTGAAATTGCTCCATTATTAGTTATAGAAATACAACACTTTAGATAAAAATGCAGCACATCGTAAATAGTGTAAAGAATTATGCAATAGATTTAATAAATCCAAAAATAGGAGACATATGGTTCATCTCGAATATTTATGAATGATGTTTAATATAAAGATTTGATGTCCTGAGTGTCTACATTTGGATACCATAGGCCAACCTAAATTTTGATGGAATCAGGTATCAAAGTAGAGGACGCAGTCATATTACGGCGGGTTAAGTCATCTAGAAAATGTCTGCTAGAGCGCTTTCCTTTTCTTGCTAAGCTCGTTTCAAGTTGGATTGCTGGGGTTTGGACGACATGGACTCGTCCAGTTTGGATCCCCTCCGTTGGCTCCCAGGTTGAACGATCCAGTCAGGAACGTAGTTTAAGTCATTAGTGCCCCAGGTTATATGCTTGGGACAATGGAACAACCGCGTTTCGGAGTTCTCTCATCAAGAATAAGCGAATGTAGAAGTGATAAATATTTAATATGTTTTGCAATGTCATCAGAAATATTGTATACAGTAATTCAATAATAAGCACTTTCTGCATGCATGGCACATTCTATTTACTATATTGGAGCTATAATACGAGAAACTTGTATTGCATGCTCTAATAATAAATTCCTTTGGATAAAATTAGAATTTACATTTAGAGAATTTTACCAAAGACATTCTGTATCTTGTTCCTTTTGGTAATTACAACTTGACCTAGAGGAAGCTTTTAATGTATATGCGTTGAAAAACCCCTTTAGGAATAAATTAGCTTATTTTTTTGGGCTTAAACCCTAAAATCTTACATGTTTAGGAAATCCGTGTGTTTTCTTAATTTGCTCTGAATGTTATTTGCTTCGTGAATGAAACAAGAGATTTCTAGATTCTTTATTTTGATAATTGTTGCATTCTCAAAACCTCATGCAGGAATCGTTATTCTTGGTAGTACAATTAACAAAATTTCTGGTTACAGTATAACCAGTGAAATGGGTATTCAAAGACAGGACCTGCAAAGCACCTAAAATTGTAGCAATATTGACAACATTGCCTCATTATTGACATTATTTCTGAAATGTTCCTATAATATTGTGTCATTGTTGCGAAAATTGTTGCAAGTTTAGGTTCTGTGAGAGTAATTTGTTTGCTCAGTATAACTATTTTATGTAACCATTTTTTCTGATTGTATTAATTTGGTTCCATTTTTCTGTATGTAAAATCTAATCAATACTGATAGTATTTAATATTATAATATCATCATCAATGTCTGTAGAAAAATTCTGATTCAAATTTTAATTATGAGGAAAAAGTGAGGAGCAAGATTTTAATAATCGGATGGGCCATGGATGGCCCAGTTAAGGAACAAGACTTTCATAAATGAGCCATATGGATCCAGGCATCAGTTTCTACTTGTAAATTTCTTACCAGTATTTATGGAATTACATTTAAATTACAGAATTTCTTAAAATTAATATAGGGTGAATGATACAGTAGTCGGTCACTTAAGGAAATGTAGCTAAAGTAGTCGGCCACCATTTTTTAGTTCATAATATATAAATATGATTTAAACTTAGGTATGCAAAGTAAAAAGTGACGTACTATTAAGATCAATGAATTCTTTATTTTTCTACATAAGTGATTTCTTTTAATTTTAAAAATAAAAATCTTACTCTCGCAGTTACCCTATAGCTACAGTAGTCGGCCACTTACATTATTTAGTTTATATTATAATATATATGTAAATATTATTTAAGTTTTTGTGTGCAAATTGAAAAGTGAATATGCTATTGAAAAGAAAGAATGTTTTACTTTTCTACATGAGACATTTCTTTTAATTTTATGAATAAACGTAAAGTGGCCGAACTTAGTCTCACCTACCCTACATTGGTAGATTAAGTTTTTTAAATTTGTGATCATTTTTAACAGTGAACCACGCTATTCTGACATATCGTTGATTTTGATCTATATTTGATTTGGCCACAACTGTTTGATCTTTTTATACTATATGAAAAAGAGTAAAAGCTACTAATTTTACAAAAATGTTAAGTCTGGTTGCGTCGTGGGAGAGGAATTACGTTAGGGTTAATTTTAAACATTTTAACCTTTCCCATGTAAGGCTGAGCAAGAGTCCTCCTCATCTTTTTACATAATGCTTCAAAAAATTGTAATTCCAAGTTAAAATTGTTCGTATGTTCCTTTATTAATACACACAGTTTGTCCTCATTTAACCATGCTTGTTTCTATTTCAACTCATATCGTCCCCACAGCACCGAAACTTTCCTAAAGATTTCCTAAAGATTTATTTAAAATATTCGGAATATTTAATTGGAATGTTTAGTGAAAATTGTGTAAAGATTTAAATGTCCCACTTGAATAAATGTTTAGCGCGAAACTTTCCTGAACATTTATTTAATCGGGACATTTAAATCTTTACACAATTTTCACTAAATACAATTTTCACAATTTTTCACAATTTTCACATAAACATTTCAAATAAATTTTTAGGAAATCTTTAGGAAAGTTTCTGGGGCGCGAATAAAGAACAAAGTGAGTCTAAAAACAATATATCAAAAACTCAAAATCGTTTTTAAGATCTAAGGTCCTTTTTCTCGTTTGTTAACCACTACGGTTTAATAGAAATTTTATTATATAAGAATTCAGTTTAATACAAAATTTGTGATATGAAAACCCGTTTAAATGTAAATTCTACTTTATAAAATTCTGCTAAATATATAGATTCGATAATTTTGGAATTCGAGATGCCAAAATCATTCGTAGTCCTTCTATTATTTTGGAGAACTAAATGCATTACTTTGAATACTATTATATTATATTAGAGCTTTTTATATTCCGAAGAAAATTGAAGTTCTCTTAAGAAATTTATAAAATGCATTTATGATTCATCAAAGTAAATATGTTTAGAACTTAAAATTCTCATCTTCTTTGGCATCTTGTATTAAATCACAGCGTTGGATTCTACTTATTCCGAAAGAGAATATTAAGAACTATTCAAAATATATATCCTTACGTGAGAAAATCTTCTTGATCCCTATATATAATCTACCCCAAAGTAAGAATCTGTAAGGTTTTCTTATACCTTTCCCTCCACCTGTAACCTTTACGTAATTTGTACATGACCCCAGAACAATTTTTTCAGTATTTTTTTAATTTAAAGAAATCATCTGCATTCTTAAAATGAAATCTCCAATTGACTCCGGCGATTCAAATCATTTACATTTTTCAAGTTTTTCTTCCTCATTATCTATATATAATAAGTTGAAAGACAGTGATATGTATCTTTTCAATTTTAAATGCATTAAGCAAATCTAACTCTCCAGCTTGTAATTTATTTACAAAGTTCGTTTATTAAAAAAAATTATTAAATTTTGTGTGAAATATGACAACATAACCTATAATTTTTCGATCCGATTCAAAATTGTCTAAATAGATATATTAAATTTTTTATTAATAGGAAATTACTTATTCAAACAAAGTGCTACCTATTCAAAATGTTACATTCCGATTGAAAACGTTAATAATGAATCCGCATTCTTAAACTGCACCGTCTAGTGAATTTTTTTTTTTTTTGAAAAATTCATATTTCATAAATAACTTGATAGAAAAATTCAAAAAAATCATCTAACTCTTTTTCAAATAAGAGTAGAAAAAGATAGAAAAAGATAGAAAAAATAAAAGATTTTAGCCAAATAAAAAATTTTAGAAGTCTTGTTGGTATGGCGTGGACTTACCAATATTTTATACGTTACTGACTCGACACCAGAAAATGGAACAAGAGGGGGACCGGCGAATGGAGGAACTGAAATGGAATGAACAACGAACGACACAGCAGCGGCTGCGAGTGCAAAGATGTCCGCTATAGTTCACGACCCTGCTTAACGTTAGCAGAAAATAGATTTAAATAAATACTATACAAACAATGTCGGAACTTTGTCAGAAATTTGGTGTTTATTGTTTTTGATTGGTGCCAGTATTATAATTCGCGGTCAAGATGGATGATTATACATCGCATATTTCAATGAGTTCTTTAAATTCTGATTACAATGGAGACATGACGACGACAACACACGATGGATTGGTTACTATTAAACATGAACCACAAGATATTGAGGAAGAAAATTTTCACATTCAAACCACACAATTTTTACCATTTTTAAATCAGGTAAGTTGTATTTGTTGATTTTTTTTAAATACCAAAAAAATACAATTATACAAATACATTTTCCAAAGTACTTACCCTAACTATATTTGACTTTCATGCAACTTGTTTAGAAGTGTTTTGTTTCGGAAACTTTTTATATAATATTGTCATTATTTTAGAAGATAATTTTTTCTATTTTTTTTTCATAAATTCTACAAATATTTTTATTATTGATAATTCTTTTGAATTAATTAATTTTGATTTTTGTTTGTTCCTTGGAAAGTTATAAGGTGTTTTGTTGTTTATATTTAATGAGAAAAAAAAATCACATGATCGGTTTTTACAAAGTTTATAAAGGGTATTTTTTTTTTTTTGAACTTTGTGTACTTTTTGATTACAAGAGTATTATTGATACCGTTCCAGATAAAAATGTGCATAGCAGGAGTAATTATATACATATATTTTTTTTATTTTTTGTCTGAATGAATATATGATAACTTTGTAGTTTTTATTTTTTGTAATTTTATTCGAGTTAGAAAATATTGCATATTTTATATTCTATTAAAATGTATTTTGAAAATTTGTCTTTTTTTTAATTTATAAAAGTTTTAGTTTCACAAAAATAGAAAAAATAACAAGTGTTAATAATTTTTAAAATATTCAATTATTTTTTTAACGAATAATTTTTTTTTTTAATACAATTTTTATATTTTTATAAAATTTATCATTAATAATTTTGTTTATTGATAATTTAATGTGAAATATTTTGACAATTTTTAATCTATACAATATTAAATATATTGTGATGTAAGATGTGATGTGATCGTAATGTATAATCAGGATTCAACTGGAACACGTGTTTGTATTCCCGCCATAGTTTTGAACACAAACTTGCCGGTAAAACAGAGTTGCGTGAATTAGAGAAATTCAACTTACCATCAACCACTTTCAAAATTGAAAAAAATTGTTTTTAAGTACAATTCAAAAATAGTTATAATTGATAGAAGTACAAAAGTACAGTCGAATAATAAAAATACAAAGTTTAGAATAACTATAGTTAAGTGTAGTATGCTGTTAAATTTTTTCTTTGTCTACCTGCATTGAATACATCCTTAGCTCCTGTCCTCTACATACACACACACACACATACACTTTTAAAAAATACAGTCGAATAATAGAGTATACAAAGCTTAGGGAAACTATGATTACAGGTCAAAAAATCCAATCCAAAAAATCCAGACCGAAAAATCCAAAAAAAAAGTCCAAAGTACAAAAAGTCCAAAGTAAAAATGTCCAAAGTCAAAAAGTCCAAGATAAATAAAAATGTCCAAAATAAATAATGAAACATTGAAAATTGTATAATTCATTTCTTGTTATTTACATGTGAATATTCTGCCTTGATAATGTCCATATACGTTTCTACCTTTTGTTATAATTTCTAATGGTTCCATATTGTATTTGATAATTTTAAAAATTGTATAATAATAATAATAATTTTGTTATCAATAATACTTAACAATTTTGTTACTGACGTTGAATGTGAAGGGACTAAGTGTTACGAGAGATTTTGAAATGACATAACTTTATAAACAAAAAAAAAAGACAATCACATCAATTTCATTCAACAGAATTGTTTCCATTTTTTATTTTGGATTTTAATATTTTTATTTTTTTTGTGGATTTTTTGACCAGGACAAAAAATCCAATAAAAAAAGTCCAAAGTTAATAAAATTTTTTTTTTGTATTTTGGATTTCATTTACTCTGGATTTTTTTTTGGACTTTTTGTCCGGATACCAGAAACTATATAGCATGCTGCTTAATTTTTTTTCGTCTACCTGTACTCAATACATCGTTAGTCTCTGTAGAATAATAATAATTTATTATTGTATTTAAATTCAAATATATTAATTAAAATGAATTAAAAATTATTTCATTAAATATACAATAAATGAATAATAAAATAAATACTTTCAGTGAAATAAATAGTAAAATTTTAAAATTTCATTTTTACAAGAAAATTGTAATAAAAAATACCAATTTTAAAAATTTTCCCATTAGAATATTTTAATTTATTTCTCTATTTCAGGAACCCGTAACGATTCATAATCAACAAACGATCAATAACTATACAAAAAGATTTGATTTAAAGGAATGCTACATTTGTCTTGAGAAATGCGATAAAATATGGGAAACATTGAAAGTAATTAAAAATCTTCAAACACCAAAATCTAGTAAGAGCAATAAAAATCAGAAGACAACAACTAAAAATAATATTCAAAATCAATTAAAAATTGCATCACCAATTCCATATCAACCAGTTTTAAACAATGGAAATTCATCATTACCTAATTTTCAATTTGCCATTAAAAGTTGGAAGAGATTATATACATGCACCTATTGTGGTAAGCAATATGTGGATAATCGAAGTTTAAAATCTCATCTTTTGAAACTTCACAATGTAACTACAGAAGCAGATTTATCACAATCAAAAGAAATTCCATCACCAATTGAGATTCCACGTCCATTAGAAATTACACGAAAAAAAGAAATTACACGTTCAAAAGAATTTCCACGTCCAATGGAAATACCAAAATTTCAGGAATTTCCCCGATCAACTGGAAAAACTGTTGATCCTACAAAACCATTAGTTTGTGATACTTGTGGTGTAAGATATTCAGATGCTCGTTCACTCGCCAGTCATTCACTTCGAGTACATGGAATTCTCACTGAATTTCATGAAAGATGGTTGGCACAACAGGAGAATCCAAATGACTATACTGTTGAGGATTTACTGAAACGTCATTCATGTAATTCCTGTGGTAAAAAATACAGTTGCATGAAAAGTTTACGACTACATTATTTACGTGAACATAATTTTGTTTTGCCACCACAGCGAGCTGGACGACAAAAAATATTTAAACAACCTTCCACAACTGCCTTGATACATACAGGTGATTTACAAAAACACATGAATGTTTGCACAATATGCGGTAAGAAATATACGAAAAATTGGTATCTACGAGTTCATTGTCTCGAAGTTCATGGTATTCCAATGGTTTGCAATAGAACGAAAAAGAATTTTAAACCCACATTGCGCGTTATTAAGAAAGAAGTCATTGATGAGCCGGAAATAAATAAAAATTTACCCCCCACCGATATAAATTTCCCACTAACATCAGTGAAACAAGAGGTAACCGAAACAGAAATACCAGCTAAAAATCTACTCAAAATGTATCAATGTACAGCGTGCAAGAAAGAATACATTTCCATTTCAAAATTACGTACTCATTGTTTTGCACTTCATGGAATTATAATACCAAGGATTCGTAAATCTTACAAAAAATCAAATAACACAAATATCCCTACCGAAGTGAAAACAGATTCAAAATTAAAAGTCTCCACACCCAAACAAGTGAGTCTCGATCGTTATTTCAAATCACCAATAAATGGAGAAAATGTTATTACAAATACCACACAAAAACTCACCAAAAGAGTAAAGGTATCCAGGGAAGTTCCATCTGAGATGGAGAAAAAAGTATTAAAAGACTTACCCAAAGAAAGTCCACCTTCAAAAACAGTCATTCAACCAAAAGCACCGGTCAATCTAATCAGATGTAATCTCTGCTCGTGCAATTGTAAGGATATCAGAAAGCATTATATCGCCTATCACAAGATTCGTTATCCAGAGTCAAATGTTATGAAGGATTTAGCAACAACCAGTGACAATAGCAGCATCACATTATCATCAGCAACAGAGAAACAATCGGATTCTATTATCAAGAAACAACCGCCAAGAAAAAGAAGACGTAAATTCATCACAATGGGCAAGAAAAAGAAACGAAAAATTGATAATACACCAATTGAATCAATACCAATGATGATGGAAGTAGATGAGGTTGAAAATCAAAAAATTGTATCAAAATTTGACGAGAGTCAAATCATTATCAAGAAGGAATCTCCAAAAACAATTGTTCCCATCAAGACCCAATATAAATGTAATATTTGCGGTGGATATTATGCTACTCCAAAAAGTTTGAAAATTCATCGTCAACTACATCGAATGAAAGGCGAGACAAAAAATAATATACATCTTATATCGCACAAATACAAAAATAGATGTAAGACACCGAATTTGTTGACACAGAAAAATAACGAGACGTTCAATGAGGATTTGGATGGAAGTATGGGAAATGATTCGCGAACATCTTCTAATGAAAGTATTACACCATCATTGTCGTCAGCATCATCTACAACGGATTCGGTAGATAGATCAGTGAAATCATCATCGTCTTCATCATCACGAAAAATCTATAGTGCAAGTGAAACAACCTGTGAATGCGGACGTGGATTCCGTGATCCTCATACAATGTATCTGCATAAGGATAAATGTCCGACAGTTATTAAAATGGAACGGGATAAAATTATAGTGGCAAGATCAAGTAGCGATCGTGATTCTGGAATTGGAATTAGCATTACAATAAAGAAGAAGAATGATTCCTATGAGATAGTTAGCCGTGACAGTGGTGATGATGACAAGTCAAAGGATTCCAGTATTTCAAAGGATTCTGATCAGATGTCTCATTCGTCGGATAGTAATTTCTCCAGTTCGGTTTTCAATGACAGAAAATTCCTCGACTTGATACCTGGACAGTGCAGCAAAGATCACAGCGTTCTTAAGATTGAAGTATGTATGTTTTTAAATATTATATATATTAAAGCTAATACAACTTGGGTTCCAAGCAGTATTTGCTTGTTAAAGGCAAGCTGCATTAGCTGGGCAATCTAAAGCGGCGTTCACTTTGTTCTGCACAGTTGCAAATACTTGACACACAAGTAGAGTAACTTGATGTGTAATTTTCCAATGATTTTATCAATATAGAAAAGTTATCTGATAAACTGATACATTTTTGAGGTTAGCTTCCCAAAATGTAAGATGTTATTGAGAATATAAACAAATAAAATATTCCTGCTACTTTAGTGACTTCCAATTATTGTATTTTAGTTTATTAATATTTTAAAATATATTTTAATAATGTTTTTTCCATATTCATTATCATTTTTTCAATAGTGGGTGTCGTTTATTGTCAAAGTGTTAGCCACTGTGCCCGTTATTCTACTTGTGTGTTAAGTATTTGCAACTGTGCAGAACAAAGTGAACGTCGCTTTAGATTGCCCAGCTAATACAGGTTGCCTTTGCCAGGAAAATACTGCTTGGGACCCAAGTTGTGTTAAATTTAATGCTACTGCTTTGTTCACTTAGGCAGTTACTGCTTGGGTCTCCGGTTATCATAGCCTTTTTTTCTGTCCGTGTGAATTCCCACAAGTGAAAAAAATATTCTTCTGTAGGGTAACAGCGCTCTTTTATTTTTAGAAAAATTACGTACAGATACGTCAGTTCTCCCAAAAATTGGGTTAATTAAAATGTATTAAAATAATTACACAAAATTTCAAAAATGACTTTGGTCGTAAGAGAGTTCCAGAATATGTGCAAAAGCCAAGTACAACTCCAAATACAATTCCTATTCATCAAAATATAGGAAAAAAACTTGGACCTGCACTTGGCTTTTGCACCTATTCTGGAACTGCCTATACACTCAAGTTTTACTTATTTTAACAGGAATGAATCAATTCGATGGGAAAAGTCACACTTATTTTAACTGTATTGTTTCTTATGGAGAATATCTGATTGGCTGATTCTACCCAATGGGAAATTAAGATCACGATAGGTGAGCTTATGAGACGATCCTAACTAAAAATAAATGAAACTGCAAAACTGTTAAAATAAGTGAAGTTTTAGTATTTGTAATCTACTGTGGTTACAGTTACACGAAGCAGATTAGCAGAATAGATTTTAGCCAATTAAGATTAAGTCTCTAGCAGAAAACGTTAATTACCGCAAGATACTATTTCTTGATTGGTCAACGTATGATGCACTAATCTGCTCTATGTGATTGTATCCTAAGTCATAAATGACTTCAAACAATACCCCAACTACGTAGTGTACAGAAAAGGATTCAAATATATCTTTCACCTTTTCTATAAGCTTTAATAAAATTGGAATTTTATACTTCTTGAAGTGTACTTGAAGTATAATTAGACTCCTGTAATAGTAGTAGGTTTTGGTTTCATACGATTTGTGCTTGGCGCTTCAGCATTTAAAGTATTAAATTCATACTACGAAAGCGTGTTTCCCAAACCTTTTAAACATGGACACCAATAAAACCAATTACGTATGAATTCTTACTAATATTACTAGAATTTTTCTACTATAATAGCATGGAAAAGATTCATGCGTTAAACGCATGCTTTATCATGCTATAAAAACTAGATTTTTTGCTGCGTGTAATCCTCATCCTAATCTGCAAAAATCTAAATTATCGAAATAAGTAAACCACTAATTTCAATTATTATGTGCTAAAGATGCAAACTATCACTGAATTTAATTGGCTCTGACAAATATTCCATTTCCATCTTTGCTGCTTTCACTACAAACGTTCTCAGTGGCTTTGCGGACTCTTGTCACACCCTGGCTATCTCAATTAATGTAAAGAGTGCATTCACCTTCGTTCGCCCTGACCTATTTTTTTCAACCTCTACCTGTGGGAAATTGAGCTTATTTTTCTTCATTGGATCAAGTACACTATGTACGCTGATGACCTTCTGCTGTATGTCACTTTCAGCGATTCTTCACCGATCTCTGAAGACGTTTTTCAGTGGCTCTTAGCCGCTTATCATTTGACGACGTCCATTTGGTAGTAGGGGATTCAATTATTTCCTGTGATTCAACAATGAAGCACCTTGGCTTAGAGCAACTTGGGGTTCTTCTCCCACTTTGACATTGATGGTTAACCAGAATTTGTGTGCTCTGTAACTATATTTGATGTAACTACTCTTTTCTGGTTATCTTAACCTTGTCTTCTCTCAGTGTACCATCCACTGTGTCTTCAGCCTAATTATTATAATAAAATTTGACTTTTCTGTAGATTAAGATTATTTGACTGTTAGGTCTGTAATGTTAATTTGTCCCTTACTTTTCTCGTAAAATACTTGAATGGATTGAGATAAAATTTTATTGAGGAGTTCCAAATATTATAATAAGTAATGGTTGCCAAGTGCGAAAGTGTTGATATATTGTTTGTGGCTGCATCTTTTCTAAAAGCTCCATGACATGATGTACGTCACACCTCGGGTTACACTTGAAGGATTATAATATTATTTCCTGTCATAAATTATCTGGAGACGATCTTTTTTAATACCTGGATCAATATTATGTAAAATAAGTGGTCAGAATGACGGCTCCCTATTCAGGTATACCTGGAGGAATATCCTCATTATGTAGTAAATATTAACTGGAAGAGATTTGTTATTCTTATTTGATCAAAAATATCATTTTCGTTAAAGGGATAAAAAAAATAGGTCCGTCAAACCAGCACCTCCACAATTAAAATTTAGAAATCGGACTACACTAGATTTTTGGGCTTTTTTAGGGCTATTTTTGGGCCCTATTAAGAAATTTTGGGCTCTTTAAATTTTTCCAAAAATTTAATTTTTTTGTGGAGCTGCCCGCACTTACGTCAAGCTAGCACCTCCACTATGTAAAAACTTAAAATTAAAAAAAATCAAATACACTATATTTTTGGGCTTTTTTGGGCTCTTCAAAAAAAATATTCCCGATTTATAAAACTCACCCCTTCATAAAAAACCAACCCTTTTAATATCAGCAACTAACATTTTCCAAGTTTTCCAATTAATAAATTCATCGGATTCGCTTGAAACTCGTTATACGGGGGTTTTCGAGGTCGCTGATGACGAATCTGAAGTCCGTTTTCAAAAATTCAAAATGGCAGATCCAATATGGCGGACGAATTTTAAAAAATTCATCGAATTCGTTTAAACCTCGTTATACGGGGGTTTTCGAGGTCGCTAATTACGAATCTGCAGTCCGTTTTCAAAAATTCAAAATGGCGGATCCAATATGGCGTTTTACCCCACTGAAAGAAATAATTCGTCGGTACAGCTAGAATTATTTCTAGTTTTCCCATAATGAATTGGTAAACAGCTATTTGGATACTGACATATATTATATAGGCAGTTCAGCCATACATAATTGCGTTCAATACATATAGATGTTTAAGTCAACAGAAAAGTGGGTAACATAACCTAATTTTATCGCCAGTTCAAAACAAAACCCCAGCCATATTTATTTGTCAGTTCCCCCCAAAGCATTTCTTTCAGTGCCCTAAACCCTAAAACCACCCTTAAACTTTGAAATCAGAGTATATTTTGAGCCATTTACGCTATTTTATTTCTTCTTCTAACTGATCCCAATATTTTTGGGCTCTTTAAAATTTTCACCCTAAATTTTTGGGCTCTACATCTAAACTCAAAAACAACCCCTAAACTTCAAAACATGTGTAAACTTTGAGCTATTTACGCTTTTTTATTTTATTTCTTTTTCTAACTGATCCCAATATTTTTGGGCTCCTCAAAAACAGCCATCCCGATTTTTGGGCTCTGCCCCTAAACTTTAAAACAAGTGTATATTTTGAGCCATTTACGATATTTTTTATTATTTCTTCTTCTAACTGATCCCAATATTTTTGGGCTCTACCGCTAAACTCAAAAACAACAGCTTGACGTAAGTGCGGGCAGCTCCACAAAATAATTAAATTTTTGGAAAAATTTAAAGAGCCCAAAATTTCTTAATAAAGTCCAAAAATAGCCCTAAAAAAGCCCAAAAATCTAGTGTAATCTGATTTCAAAATTTTAATTGTGGAGGTGCTGGTTTGACGGACCTAAAAATAAAAAATAATTGATTCAAAAGCATATGCTATAGAATTTGTAAAATATTATAGGTATAGATTCTGAAGCATATGTTTTTGAATAAATAATTTTTGTCTTTGGCAAAAATGTTCTTGATTCAATAGCATATATTTCTCAGTCTAAAGGAATTCTTTTGCAGGTTGGCCTGCTTAATATTTCTTGCTCACTACTCGTTAAAAAATTAAATATTTCCCTATTGATTGAAAGCTTGGTCTATAGAGCTGTAGTACAGAGGAAGAAATTATTTGAATTTCAGAAAAATAAAAATTATACAACCAATTTTTAAAACTGTCTAAAATAGACTTCCTAAAATTTTTTTACATGAGAAAGTTTTAAATTTAGATGATTTTTTAATTCAGGTTGTCCTGTATTTAAAAACCATTAAAAATGTAAAAAAAATTAAGTTAATTTAAATGGTAAAACTTATATTAAGTTAGAAAGTTAGAAAGTTTTCATTGTTCTATTAAATTTTCAGGATGCCGATGATGATGTTGATGTCGACATCGAAGACGACAGTCAAACAAACAACAGTGAAGGCGAATTAATGCACACATCCATCTCAAGAAAAGAAGCAAAATCAACTAAAGAGATTGATGAAGACGATGTAATTAATGACAACGATAATAATCGAACAATCGATCCATTAGATATGGATCTTTATAGATGTGCAATTTGTCTTGAACTCTTCAAAGACATGGAGAGTCTCACAAAACATATGTCACTTCATGAATCAATGCGTGTTGTACGACAAGAATGTCCATGTGGAAAGACTTTTAGAGGTGCTCAAAGTTTTTTAACTCACGTAGAAAAATACCATCCATTATGGCTTCAATGTGGTTATTGTGATGTTACTTTTCTAAGTAGCAAAGAATATTATTCACATTCTTGTGACGTAAACAAAAATGGTAAAGAATTTCAAGATTTACAAGAAATTATTTGTCATTATTGTTCAACGAAAGTGCGTATGTTAAATTTTGAATCGCACGTCAAAGCCCATCATTTCATACGGGAGAAACCATTTTTGTGTTATTTTTGCAAAATGCGATTTTCAACAAAGAGACAGAGAACAATTCATTTAACATCCGATCACGCTAAACCAAATTGTCAAATTTGCGGTCAAACATTGCGTTTTGATTTTGTCGCTAAACACGAAGCCTATCATCAAGGTCTTGGCTATCCTTGTCATACGTGTAAAAAAGCTTTTGCTTCCTTTAAACTAATGAAACATCATAGATTCGATGTTCACACTAGAGACGATGTTAAGTGTACCATTTGTATGAAGACTATGACTCGAAAACACATTAAATATCACATGGAATCTCACAGCATTAAGGAGAAATGTAAATTATGCACTAGTACTTTTCTCAATAACACTTCATTTGAGAATCACATTAAATCAGAACACAATAATGTTTATCCATTTTTAAAATGTGACACCTGCAATGAAACATTCATCGTTGAGAAAGAATTAAAAAAGCATTTTGCCCAAAATTTATGCAACAAAAATGTTGATAAAAAAATCATCAAAAAGCCAATGGTAGTAATGGAAATACAAAAGAAAAGTGAAACTTTATCTCTTGAGCCAGTGAAAAATTCTCTCAATGGAATAATAAAAACTGAAGTACCAACGAATGATGGTAATCATTCTGAAATGGAGGAATCTGTCGATATGGATGAACCACTTGCATTGGAGGCATCATCTGATATGGAAGGTCTTTTGGAAGCTGCCAATTCAACAATGGATGATATTCGCGAGCAAAATGATGGTTTAGAGTCAGAAACAATTTCCCCATCATCGAAAGATGAATTTTCACAAGCGGAAAAAATGGAAATAGTGAAAGAAAAGGAGATTGTAATCGAATGTGTGGAAAAAAGTTCGAACGGGACTACAATGGAGGAAATATCAAATGCTACTGAAATTTTACAAAAAATTCCAAATGTGACTGAAAATTTGAAAGCCAAGGAAATTTTAGAAACAAATGAGACATTAGAACCAAAGGAACAATTGAGTGGAACTGAAAATTTAGAACCAAAGGAAACTCAAATTGATACTGAAACTTTGGAAACAGAAACATTGGCCGTTACTGAAACTTTAGAATCAAGGGAAACTGAAAATATAGGAGAAAAATTGCATGAGGAAAAAGTTTCAGAACCAAGTGAAATTGAAAAAAAATTAGAATCACAAGAAAGTTCTGATCTTGATGAAAGTTTAAATTTAATTGATAGTTTTGGTTTCGAGGACACTGATACTTTACAAATTGACACAAGTGTGAGTTGCAATTTAACGGCAAAATCAGAGAAGGAGATTTTAATTACAGAAAATTCAGAAACGAGAGATATTTCCAAATCGTTGGAAAATTCTGATGAAAAACAATTTGACGCGTAAATTTTTGCGAATTGAAAAATATTAAGCGTGAATGTTTACTAGCCTGATAATTATAATAATAATAATAGTAATAATAATAATAATTAAGATCGCGATTTTTTTATTCATATATTATTTATTTTCTCGCAAAATGTAAAATATTTCTTTTCGTAATATAAAATAGTATAAGATTGTTAAAAAAAAATTAGAAACAGGCTTTTAGAGTCTCAAATAAGAATGTAATTTGCTAATTTTTTTCTTCAAAAATTCAATTGCAAACTACATTTTTAATCCAGACTTTTTTTTATTTTTCATTATTTAATCATTTTAACATTATTCTTTCTTTATTACTATTGTCATTCATTTCTCGACTATTGAAAAAAAATTTAATGTCGAGAGAAATGTATTTTTGACTGATAAATCAAATTGCATTGAGTTAAGGTGACATTGACGAAACAGAATTGACATGATTATCAAATAAAATAATTAAAGAAATGAAAAAATTCATATTGTCAATAAACAATTATTATTATCTGTTCATTTCGAGGAAAAAGTTGTTGAAAACTAGAATTTGTTAAAGATAGAGAAGAGATTAGGAGACGAACAAAGTGAATATATATTAAAAGGTATGTTTGACAAAAAAAAAAAATTGTTCAATTCACTTGTAATCCTATAATATATTGTCTACACTGAAATATATATCCTTTGTCAATTGTTATTCACAATTTTTTTTTTTTTTTTTTATTTTTGAGTTGTGCTGGGAATAATCATAAATAATTATAAAAAAAAACGAAGACATAATATTGTTCTACGTGACCATACTGTGTTATATTAGATTTATGCGACTCTAATATTTATATGAAAAAAAAAATGTGATTTAACTTCGATATTGATGATTTTTTTTTAAAGTCGAGAGAGAAATCATACCTGAGTCGAAATTTAAGTACCTTGAATTTTTAGGGTTTATTAAGTTTCAGCAATTGTAAAGTAGGTTGTAATTTTAATTATATTTAGATCGTCTTTTGACTCAAAAAATCGGGGACCGTTTTTTCTATGAAAAGGCGTAAAGTAGAATTTAAAAAGATTTGAAAAATTGAAAAAATAATAATAATTAATACCTAATAATTTAAAAAAATTTCGAAAGATCTTCTCAGATGTTAATTCAAGCACTACATATGGCTAAAAGTCAAAAATGTGTTTAATAAACTATTATATAAATTATATATGTTATATATATAAAATTATATACTTATAATTATATAATTATTATTATACACTATTATATATTGTATAAACAGTATTAAACACATTTTAGTCATTTGTAGTGTTTCATTTAAGATCTTAGCAAATTTTTCGAATTTTTTTTTTAAATTCCAGGGTCTACACTGAAAAAAAAATTTAAACAATTGGTTAGTTGATTATTATCAAACAAATATTTACTTGGACCAAATATAATTTTTATTTGAATTAAATAAATTGTATTTGAACCAATAATTTCTGTATTTGAAACAAATACCATTTAATTAATTCTAATAATTATTTAATACAAATAAATATTTGATAATAGTCAAGTAACTATAATCATTTCTATATCTTGAATTCAGCTTCAAAAATGGGCTGAAATCAAGTATTTTTTTTTAGTGTATACTTTATGTCTTTCTATGTAAAAAAGATAAATTTGCCCTGATTTTTAGAATCAAAATAGGACCGAAATGTATTGGAAATTAGAATCTACTTGACGACTACTAAAATCAAATAGATCCTAAAAATCATGGTCATAGTGATTAAATTTCTACCTGGGACACATAATATATAAATTGCTACTGGTAAAAATCATCAGTTTTGAAAATAATATATATCTCTATCATTAACGAAAACCAAAGTTAAAGAAGTTGCTGGTAGCATTAAAAAAAAAGACGAAATTTAAAATTCCTTGTATATTTGTTACTTATTACTTTCTTCGCTAATTTTCTCATTACAGTATATTTTTTTGTTGTTGTAAAGGTTCTATACTTTTTGCTTAACATTACAGTATTAATTCTTTATTTTTGAAACAATGAGTGGCGATGAAGAAATTAATAAAATAAAATTTGTTGGTCTATATAATAATTGTTGTTTACTGAAAAAAAAAAAAAAAAAAATTGTGAATGACTAGGTAACTAAATAGAAAATAGGAAAAGAAAAAAAAAAGAATGAGAAAGTTTGTGTGAAATGTTGTTGCATATTTTTTTTTTGCTAATTTAATTGCATTTTTATTATAATTACCAAGACGTCAACAATTTTTATTTACTACGAAAATCCGTTCAGAAAATGTGTTTTTTACGATCTAAGAGCAACATATATATATATGAATGAAAAAAAAACATGCCACTGGTTGCAAACGATATAAATATTTTTTTATATATACATGTAAATGTTGGATTACAATGTGTAAATATAGGCAGGTTTAGTGATAAAATGTAAAAATTACTTTTATTTATCCTTGATGTGTCATTTTTTATTGAATTTTTTAGACTGACAAAAAATTCATAGCGATAATTATTATTAACAACTAATTGACATGTAATTACTTTTTTATTCTTTCTGTTGATTATATCTACTATTGCTACAATGTTTGAAGTTAGACAAACGTGCGGCGTCAATTTGTCAACAAAAATTAATTTTGATTTAAAAAAAAAATTAATTATTAATAACCTTCTTTGAACTTACATTGACCTAAATGAGTTTTAATTTTTTCAAATTTTAATTTTTCTACAAAAAAGAAATAAAAATGAACTATTGATCCTAGAAATAAAATTCTTTTTACTATAAATGGAAAAAATTTAATTATTTATAAATAAATAAATTTTTTCAGTTAATACTCCTGAAAATTTAAAAAGAACTCTTCCTTTGATTAATGGAAATATTCTTTAATTGGAATTTTATGAAAATTATACTTGCCTACAAATTTTTTTATTTTTTTCATACCTATTATTTATTGTTAAAAAGGAAAACTTTTTACATTTTCCAAAATTCAATCTTCAAAAATTGTTATATAATTTTATAATTTTTATTTAGAAAAAAACATAGAAATTTATAACCATAATACATTGAAAAGAATTTATTTGATTTAAATAATCGGTTGCTTGGCTATTATCGAATTTATTTGTATTAAATATATAATTTTTTTTCATTATATAATTATTTAAAAAACGGTTTTAATACAAAACAAATATTAAATGGATTTAATAATTATTTAAAAACTTCTTTAAAATTATTTTTAGAATAGATTATGCAGTCGAAGGCCAGTAGAACCGAAATTTAATTTATTTTCTACTAGCCGGCCAGTAGACGAGGAACTCGTTGACTACTAGCCTGATCATTTCTAGGCCGGTAGAAAAAACATTTTCTAATTATTACACGTTACATGTTATTTAAAAAGTAATTTATTTAAATTCTATTTAATTAATTTTATTTGTTGCAACACGCAGAACTTAAGTGTCAGCGAGAATTACACATAACCTTAAAATTTGTTTTATTCGGAATTTTTTAGTTCTTAATATTTTGCGGATTTTAATAATTACTAAACAGACTAATTTACTGTAATTAACAATCGTTTAAATTCTATTTCTAAATTAAAAGAGTAAAATATGTTTAAAATTGAGTTTTTTTTCAAGAAAAGTGGAAAATCTGTATAACCCTTGGTATCCAATGCAGATGCCGAAAGCTCGTGTGTCACAAAATGTACGTAAATATGTGTTTGTTGTTTCTCCAGACATTGACAGACCATATTTAAAGTGACAAAAAAAAATTCAGATTCGATAACGAATGATGAGTGAAAACGGCAAAAAATTTCGAAAATAATCGAAAAAAGACATTGACTTATCTCTGAAACAATTGTTACAGTTAATTACAATATAAAAAATAGTCATTTTCTGTCAATTTTGCTAATTTTCATTAAAACTGCTATTGTGAACACTGTACAATGTAAACATGCATAAAAGCCGGTAACTGAGCGTAGATATTGATTTTACCAACGTATTCAAACGTCACACTACTGAACTATATTCAAATTAGTTCAAAAAGAAATTAATCGATAGTTTTAAATTAAAATTACTAATTATTATTTTATATTAAAATCCAATGAAAAAATGATTAAAAATTTTACATTTTAAAATAGTATCTATAAGAAAAATTAAAAAAAAAAAATATTTTCCCGCGATTTTTTGAAATTTTTTTGGAGTGGTGGAAAGATAGTTTCCAAAAACGAGCACCAGGCGTCACTCTACACAAGATCCCTGTTTGTTCAAAACGGTATAGAGTCTCACGGAGGGTGGTTGTATTACGCTCGAACTCTCCATTAAAATTACGATTAAAACAAAAATATACGTGTCTTTATTTATTTTTCAAAAAGAAAATTAACTCGGTTATTGTGGAAAAAAAAGTGAAATGCGCGTACAAATTGTGACTTGACAGTGAAGGGAAAAGTGTTTTATTTTTTTTTTTTTTTGGAGCAAACCATAATATTCAATATAGAATTATATATATATATATACACATATATATATCTATATAAATTGTAAGGGACTTTATATATTGGTAACTATCTTATATAGTAGTGCGCTAGAAGTAAAAACCCCTGAAATTCTAGCTGGCGAGGCGTTCTAGGACGCGTTCGATAAATATTGGGCGTCACGACAACTCGAAAAAATGAGAGTTGCTCCAAAAAAATTATGAGTTAACAGTTTTGACAATTAATTATAATGTGCCGGCCGGCGTGACAATTGACAGATATTAGGTGTTACGAATTGTATCAATATTTATATAATATATTGCTTCATATAATTTCGTGTGTTTGCAAAATTTAAATACTACATTAAAAATTATAATTTAACTTTAAAAGTTTAAAAAAATGAAATTAAAATTGTTCTCGTATACTCAGTATGTCATATTTTGTTTTGATTCTTTCACTTTTAATTAAATCTCAAGTCAAGCTCCTGGCACAAAACCGGTATCTGTCAATGTAATCCTTGACCTATCCAAATTTAGCCTTTTCTCAGTATAGACTTCTGCCGTTCATACATTGCGTCTCCGTGAACCATTATACCTTATGAGAAAAAGTCGATTTGTTATTTCTAATTAGAATCCATTTTTGGAGTTTGTTTTTTCATTTTTTGGAAAAATAGTAATTTTATTATTAGTCTTCAAAAAAAAAAAAAAAAAAAAAAAATTAATAATAAAACCAGAAATTTCCAGTTTTTTCGCAAAATTTTTTTTAGGAAATTAACGTTAAGTTTTGAATCCCCGAAACACTTTTTTACTATTCTTTTAATAGAAAGCAAAAAAAAATTTTATTGTTTCGAAGAAATCAATTTTCTTTAAATTTTTCTCCAAAATTTTAGAAAATGATCCCTTATGTTTTTATGTGATGAAAATTCCAGAATTTTTTTTGCAATTCTTCAAGAAAGGATATTTGATTAATATTCTCAATTTTTAACATTGGATTATGATAAAAGTTGAAAATTTCAAATAAATATTCTTTTTTTTGAGAATTGCAAAAGATTCTGGAATTTTTATCACATTTATGGCACATATAAGGGTGCATTTTTTCAAAATTTGATAAAAAATTAAACAAAATCGATTTTTTAATGCAAGAAAAATTGAATTTACAATGAAAAAAAAATTATTTTATTCGAAAAATCTGTTATTTGACTATTATTAAATAAATATTTACTTGCAACAAATAAATATTTTTTTGTATCAAATATTTTTCTAGTACTGGATATTTGTTAATACAAGAGGCCATTTAAATAACAGAAAGAAAGAAATATTTTTTTTGTATTAAAGAAATATTTAGTTGTATCAAATAAATATTTGTTTGTATTAAATATAATTATTATATTTGAGTCCGTTAAAATGGTATTTGATTCAAATGCAAAAATTATTGGTTCAATTACAGTTTTTTTTTAATTTAAATAAAAATTATTTGTTTCAAGTAAACATTTATTTGATAATAGTCAAGAAATGGATTATTTGAATCAAATTAATTTTTTTTCAATGCAATTATGGTCGTAATGAAAAAAAAATTTAATCAAAAATTTTTGATTGACTAAATTAATCAATTAATTTATTCAATACAATGTTTGGTTAATTCAAACAAATTTTATTAATAAATCAGAAAAACAAATAAAAATAAACTAATATTTACTTGAATTATAAATAATTTATATATATATATATATATATATATATATATATATATATATATATATATATATATATATATATATATATGACGTTTATAATCAGCCTGCGCAGTGCGAGAATGTCGATTCGATGAGGGCGTGTTGGTCGATCTGCAAATAGTCACTGCATTTGACAGTTCGTGATATCCCAGATCAGGGAAAAAGGGAGAAAAATGTAAAAAGGAAGGGATTATATGCCCTGGTTTCTTACTTACTTTATTATATATATATATACGTTCCCAAGATCTACATAATCTAATTTTCTAGTTGAGATTATCTTTTCCTTGAGCCACTCTTATAAAATCCCGGGGTTATCCTTTTTAAATCTGAAATTTCGCATTTTATTAAAACAAAAAATTCTCTCATTCTTTTTAAATATAATAAAGACAATCATTAAAATTTTCTCTACTATCATTATTTTTCAACAAAATATAATTCATAATTTTTTGGAGCAACTCTTTTTTAAAAGGGGATTTATTCATTAAAAACCATAATTTAATAAAAAAAAAAAAAAATAATTTTTAAAAGTTTTTTTTGTATACTTTTTTGTTTCAAGATTTCCTCATTATAGGAAAACGAGAAATTATAATATATATTATTCGTATATATATATATATATATACAGTGATTGTGTATGTGAGAAGAAAGGTGATAAAGGGGTAAAAGTTTAAGAAGGAGGATAACGAAAAATAATAAAACGATTCGGGGGTGGCGAGAAGGGAGTGATGACGGGCGTGGAAGGAAAAGGTGGCGGGGGCGAAGGGGGTACTGATAGTTCCGATAATACAAATGTGATTAACAATGCTAATGTTAATACAAGTCATCAAAACGGAGGAACGGAGAAAGCTCCCGTTGTAGGTGGAACAAACGTTGAAACATTGCCTCGACCAGGAAAACAGGTAAAATTTTATTATTAATATTATTGTAATTCAGTTTTTTCCATAATTTTTAGTTTCAAATTTTTCTTTTACTAATTAAATTGAAAAATAAGAGATTAATTTTTTATTAGACTTTATAAAAGGAATAATGATCGTTTAAAAAATCTTTAATGGGCAATTTAAATTAACGCGCTTTTTTCAACCAATAGGAAAACGTTCAAAAGACATGCGCAAATACTTGTTTATTTTTACTAAGGTTATGTTTCTCATTATGTTTCTTCCACGAAAAGACCTAAGCAGAATGAAATCTCTAATCGTGAATCTTAAGCTTTTACATGAGAAAGAAAAGGACAGAAGATATTTCTATCCTTTTCTCTCTCATGTAAAAGCTTAAGATTTACGATTAGAGATTTCATTCTGCTTAGGCCTAAATAGTATAAGGAGTCCCTAGTTCCCTTTAAGGTATGTAGTCGGTTTCCCAATTCTCTTTCGGATTTGTTAAGTTAGCGATACAAGCAAACCTATAGTGAAAATGTCGAAATACTAAAATTGTCGTCTGCTGCGCGTCTGATGATCGTTTACTAAATTATCACTCGACGTAAATACTAATAGTATTGTTAAAATCAATTTGCAAAAGCTGAAAGCCACAAAGAGAAGAAGAAAGAAAAATGAATTTCCTGTATATTAAAAGGATACATTGTAGTCAGCCATTTGCAATTTTAGTTGCAGTGCTTTTCCCAGAAGACTGCGCTAGTATCGCTAACTTAACAAATCCGAAAGAGAATTTGGAAACTGACTACACGTTTTTTTTTAAATCGCCTATAGAGTGGGGACTTTGTGGTTTCTTCTTTTTTAAAAATATAGATATGATGCGATTTTTCCATTGAAGTTCTATGTAAAAATTGCTTCGACTTTAACATGCCCTTAAAATTATGGAAAATCTACCTTCCATGGATAAAATTTTCCATAATTTTAATCTCTATATGTTTTGAAAAGAAGAAACAAATAATAGGCAACGTAAATGATGAAGTCCACAACGTTTTTATAGACGAAAACAAAAAAAAAAAAAATAATAAGACGATATATATTACTTTGGCTTAAAATTAGTTATTTGGAGGTAATTGGCTTCTATAAAAGTGTTAATTTCTAACTTGAAAGTTTGTGAAAATAAAAATTAGAAATAAATTGACTTGGAAAAATAATTCTATTTTAATTTTTCGTTTTTCAAAACGTTGCGGACTTCAGCCTCATTAACATAAATCTAAATAAAAATAACAACCTTATTAAATATGTCAGTTTTACAAATTTTGATTTTACAATTTTGTATATAAAATTACACATAGATATTTCCCATAAAGATTTTAGTGTATATGTGATGCGCTTTGAAAAAGGGACCTAAAAAGCAAAAAATTATAGGTTATGTTTTGAAAATTTAATGTGAAAATACACAGAGTATAAACTCTTAATACAAATAATTTGTTTAATTCTTCGTTACATTAAAAATATTCAAACTAATTTCGATTTTACATAAATAAAGAATTTTTAATCAAGGTAAAACTCGTAATCATTACCTATAATTCATTTACTTCTTAGGTCCTCTTCTTCAATGCGCATATCTTATATATTTTAGTAACCATATACTTCAATTCTATGTATTCAATAAAATCATTACCAGTATTGTAAAAAAAAAAGTTGCGTAAATATTGAATAATTTTAAGTCGATAGTTTTATTTTTAGACACTAGATGTTTTCATTATTAAAATGGTGTTATAGACAAAATAGTCTAAAAACGTTGATTATAATCGAAACTTTGCTTTTTTTTTCTTATAAACATTATTCGATATTGAAGGATAAATTGTTTTTTTCAATTTATAAAATACTACCATGTATAATTATTATTGATTAAGTCATTGAAATTAAATCGTTTATTTATTGAATGAAATTATTGAATAAGGATTTATTAGTTTTAATGAAACTAAGCCTGCTTAAATATTGGTAATACGAGCGTGTAAATCCGCTTTATATTAGAAACGCTTTTCCCTTACTTAGAATTAAATTGGTAATTTATGGGATTCTGTGAATTCACATGGTTTAAAATCTCTTATATGCATAAAGGGAAGAAAATCCCATCTGCTATTGAAAAAATTTTCTATTTTCCCGAAGAGTCTTTTAACAAAAGAATTCAATTACTAAAATATTATTGAATAATTTATTTATAAACAACAATAATATAATAATAATAATTATGATAATAATTTTTATTATTGAGTAATTTATTATTTCAATTAAATTAATATTAAATTAATTACATTAAATAAACTACTATTTAATAATTACTAGTTCATAAATGTATATAACTTAAAAATTAACGTACGTAACTTGCGGAAGGTTTAGGAGACAGAGTGGGGAGATAAGAGTGAGAAAGACAAATGCTTAGTATCTCTCACGCTCTCATCTCCCCACTCTGACGTTCGGCTTCTCGCTATTTTTGTTCAATTTAAAGTAAATAAGATTCTCATTGAAAATTCCAAACACAAATTTCATTTTAGTTATTTGTTTCTATTTTAAAATTCTGTTTAGTTTGTGTTTTATTCGAGTTTTTAAATATTTTATTAAAAATAATTTTTATAGACATAATAATTGTGATAATATTAGTAAATTATAATCAAAATATTTAAATATATAGTTTTCTTCACTTGACTAGAAATTGACGTTATTGCCATTGTTATAATTGCCTTAAAAGAATATATATATATAGTAATAATGTACCCACATTGTTGTTAGGTAATATACAAGGGACAATCTGTCGTCGCGTGTTTTTCAACAATTATGTTCTTAGTAAAGCGTAAGCAAGATAAGAATTATACGATTGGAACACACTGCTCGTCTTATTTTATTTCTTGGGTAGGATCAGAAGGTTCTGAGGCTTCCGGTGATCTTCTTCTATACTAGCGGAAATTCCAAGTCGTTGAACGCGATAATTATTCTTATATAGGGATGACAAAATATACACACAGCTCTTTCTATATATTTTTTTCAGCTCTTTAAATCCATTATTCACGAGAGCGGTATCTTTTATAAGATATATTTTTATTATCAGATAAACACTTTCTTAATGATGACATCTGATATTTGAAAGTTCAAGGTTAAAAGAGTTTAATTTCAAATATAAATTGGATGAAATTCTTTCAATTTTTTATTTTCGAGAAATAAAAATGTATTAAAATTCTTTTTTCGAAAATTGCTAATTATTGTTCTATATCACCGTCCGACAAAATTCAACTTTTTCTTTGACCCACAAAAAAATCTAACATTTTTGGAAACTAGGAACCAAAAAAAATACCCGTGTCTGACAAGATATCTTTTAAAAATTATTAATATTTTATAAAACTTGGTATCTGGGGTTTTCGGGGTCGCTGATTATTAATCTGATATCAGAATTTCAAAATTCAAAATGGCGGATTCAATATGGCGGTCAAAATTTTACAAAGTTATTAAATTTTTTTTAAACCTTGGTATCTAGGGATTTTTTTGGGTCGCTGATGACGAATCTGATGTTAAATTTTCAAAATTCAAAATAGCAGATATAAAATAAAAAATTAATAACTTTTTAAAAAATTTGATCGCCATATTGGATCCGCCATTTTGAATTTTGAAAATCTGACATCAGATTAATAATCAGTGACCCCGAAAATCCCCAGATACTGAGGTTTTATAAAATATTAATAATTTTTAAAAGATATCTTGTCACTTTTCATTTAGAGGTTGTTTTCATCCCTAAAAACCACAAACGACTTGATCTAGCAAAACAGCCAGACACGGGTATTTTTTTTGGGTCCTAGTTTCCGAAAATGTTTAATTTTTTTGTGGGTCAAAAATTGTGTCGGACGGTGTATATTAGATTTTATTTGGATGATATATTTATTTAAGGATTTTTTTTTGAAAAAGAATAAATTTTCACGTTTTAAAATAGCCAATAAATATTAATTTAAACGTCTGTCTAAAGTGAAAATTGTAAAGCGAGATAGAATTGCAGATTGAATATTAGAAATGTAAAAAAAGGCATTTTAAAATCGATGACCCGAAATTGGAATCGGAAATGAATGTTTGTTTTAGTTGAAGAGATTGAGCTTGCCAAAAAGCACATTGAATCATTGATTAAGCTTATTAAATACATCACAAGCTTATTCTTCAGGAAAATTGACAATTAATGTTTTGATAAAGATTTTATTTATAGTCGATGATTCTGTGTGGAAATTTTGAAGGGACCTTACATTAAAAAATTTTTTGTTTATTTTTAGTGATAGTTTTAATTTTTTCTTCAAAAAATTTTTGAATTTACAATTCAAATTTGTATAAATAAAGTTCTATCTAGAAAAATTCCACATAAATAATAAAAAATGTCGGGTGGCGCCGCTCGTAAAAGAAATTTCTCACCAAATTATAAAGAGTATTATCTCATGGATGATGTAGTTTAATATTTAAAAAACTTTTTTGATGACTCGACTAGAGTATTTATTAACATAATATATGTATATATTGTGTTGTCAATTTTTGAGACTGACGTCAGATTATATCAGGTATTAGTTGTATGCACATACACAAACAATATTCATATTGTGTAGTCTAAATTCGAATTAGGCACACGCATGCTGACTCAGTTTGGGAATTATTAGAAGGGGAAACAGTAGCAGCTGTCGCGTTCTCATGCATTCGCATAGTTGGGTGTCATTGGTCTGATCTTTTACTGGCGCAGGAGGGGAAATTTTATGTCTTTGACCAAATGCTAAAATTCTCTCTCAAATCTATTATTGTTATATAGGTTTCCCAGCAGCTTTATTTATCTATTTGAAAAATATATTTGTTTTGGGAAAATTATTCCTTCTACCTTATTTTACAACGTTAAAATTTAATGATTTTTATTTAAAAATTTCCAATTTTTGAAATGAAAATAGGCAGTACTTTTCATTTTATTATATAATTATACTTATTTATTGATATTATTAACCAAATAAGGTGTC